TATCGAGCAGCGGTTATTAAGGGAATTAAACCCTCGCCCTTCTAGGTACGGCATTTAGCCTACTAGAAGGAGGATAAAGTTCCGAAAGCGGCTACTTCCTATATAGCTAGTTTAACTAGCCGGCTTTTATATAAATAGCCCGAAGGTTGCTTAGAAAATAGGCACTTTACTATATAGAGTCTACGGACCCCGAGCGCGACGCATGTAATGCGCGCGCGCCTCTATTTCCTAAGACCCCGAACTAAGGCTAGTTCGTATAGGGGAAAGGAGGTAATTATAAGGGCCGTATAAGAGCCCTTATAATAATAGGATTAATAGAGGTAGCTAGATTAACTAACCTTAGAGAAGGGAGTGTAATATAACCTAACTACTTAGCGTAGGCTTAGCGTATGCATAACTCCTACGTATAGCGCACATTTAACCTACAAGAATTAGTCTTATCTCTAATCGAGTAATTACGGGTGTCTAATATATTACTACATCTTTACCCTTATAAGCGGAGCGAGTTATAGGCCGCCCTTAGTTAGGCGCCTAGCTCGTACGCGATAGTAGGATACTACGTTTCTTTATTTAATACTAGGGTTATCGGACGTACCCTACGTCTATACTAGCGCTAGTAAATTAAGCCTTCGGATACGGTAGAGGTTAACTAGAGGAATTTATAATAGTTTTAATAATAGTTTATTTAATAGGCTTTATAGGGATCCTACGTCTACCTATCTGCTATCTTTCTTACTAATAGTCCACGAGGCCGTAGACTCTTCGAAGGGGGGGGATTTTAATAGGAAGGCACTACGGACCCCACTTACCTTACTTTAGCTTTAGTTCGATAGTGACTCAATCCATGACATGATCGACGATACTATCACGCCTTCTCTTCTCGTGAGCGATGTCACAAATCAGCGCAGCTTATCATGACATTGTGCAATTGAGTCTCTTCGTGAAATCGGACCACGTCTATCGCCGCAGAGGTTGTAAGGACAACGCGACAAGCCCGTGCTCTGCACACCACATTCCGATACGGATAAGATGATGCTACATGTACTCGCCCCATCGGATACGGCGGATTCGAAAGGAAAGAAAAAGAGCCTTAAATAAGGTAGACAGACTGGCGTCGAGCAGCGCACATCTTATGTGCGACACCTTGAAGCTGTGCAAATGCAAGCTTCGCAGGACATCGGACAAGGTTTCTACGCGAGATAGTTCGATGCGACGTCGGCACTGTCATCTTCTAGCAGGATCGATCCTTGATATAAGGCACACGGTCGCTGTCCACCTTCGACGCGCTGGGAAGGTGCACCAGCGCGAACTCGGAAACCCGGCTGTGACCTGCACGCTCTCAAGGAAGCTTACGAAGGAGCCATCTGGACCGTGCCTTGGTCAAAGCCCATTGACCTTCGTTTTACTGTTGCGTGGGTCGATTCGGTCTCGTCGAGTGACTTGAGCTCAGCACTGTGCGTTTCCGCTCTTGCTTCCACTCGAACCGTGTAAGCTATGCCTCGTACGCCTATGCATCATCATCTAGCTTTCACTTCCAGAAGCCGAGGAAGCTGCGCAGGCCGTCGCACATTTGGCGGCGCCCTGCGTATCTACCGTTCATCGTGGCCGCAGCCTCTGCTATGGCCAGAACATACTCAGGACTATCGGCGGATACCGACAGTACTGGTGTTCTTGCCCTTAGTACGGTGACCAGAGCACAGGACTTCTCTCATCCGCAGCGGGATAATGACCGCTGCTGGTGAACGAGTGAAGGGACCCAAAATCTTGCCAAATTCATGTTTCCACGGTATCTGCGGCCTCCCCCGCCAACAACGCAGCTTGTTCAACCAGTCCTTTGATTTTGATGTCTGGCTGTGATCGCGAGCCGGGGAGGGTGAGAATGATCGAGTTTCACGGCATCTTTATTTTCTCCTTGTTTTCCTAGGGCGAGTGCTTGAGTGACGCGAATTACTTCCTTGGGCTTGTAATAAAAAGGGGGGTATCACCGACCGTTGAAACGTGCTCACCATTAACTCCAAGGCCGCCTCCATCCAATTACTCCATCTGAGTGGTCAAGCAAACGACACAATCTCGCGCGATATGCGAATCGAAGGGAAACATCAACTTGATTCGCGATATAGCTCTGCAAAATCGCCCTACATCTCTGTTCTTCGCTGCCAACTGGACGGTCCGAAAAGAAACTGTGCTTGGGATAACATCTCACACAACGACAGACGCACGAGCTCGAAAAGGAAGTGTTCTCGCCCCATTGTCAAGAACGAGGGACATGCGCAATGCTCATGGTCCCCGTGTGACTGCAGGACGGAGGCATTTTCCGCAATGTTCTGTGCTGATCTTGTCTTCCGCCATCTCGACCAGCATTGTTTTGCAGACGACCCACCGTATCGGACTTTGTGATCTCAACGAGATGAATTGCGAAGCTACGCTCACCAGATGCGGCAGGGTAGTTTTCTTTGCTTATTCAAGGACGCTCCCTAGTTCTCTAGGGAGCGAAGGAGCCTCGAGGAAGTGACTTGATGGAGGAAAATGGAGAGGTCTTCGTAACAGAGATGGCGAAAAAATACAAATCTCACACGATGGACATGTTTGATCTTCCAAGACGACAATCCCATCAAATTTGAGTCTTTCATTCAGTGATCATTCTTCAGCATCAAGTGTTGAAGAGATGACTCGTCTCCCAAGACAACTGTTTATCGTGATACAGCAGGGAGTCCCAGTTGCATGTCGTTCGTCAATTTTTGACTCTTGGGTGCGCTCTCCGCTCACCGTCAAAATTTGATTGGCACAAAGCACGTCTTCGACCGACAGCAGGAAACCGTTGCACGTCGGAGCGGCGGAGAGGTATTCCGGTTTGGTAGCACACTGTTTCTCTCCCCGTTTAATCGCATGTTCATCATGCGCCTCGAATTTCAGGCACACCACGTGGAGACGGCATGGCTTCCATGAAAAGCAAAATCTGGTACCGGGAGCGGGTTCAAACGCTTCCAGGCACAAACCACCGAGGCACCGTTGTTCCTGCTCCACCATTCATTTACAACAAACGGTACCTTTACAGGCCTTCTCGCATTTCTGCGGCTGGTATGTTGTCAGCGCTAATGGATGTTCATCGGACGTCTCATCTGATGGTTCGAGCGGCCGCTCATGTGAAGCATATCCACGGCGCTGAGGGCGACTGCAGATTGAGTCTCCAGTTTCTTGCATATCGGGATTCGTCTAATCCACTGGGAGACTAATCTGGGAATACTACACATTCTGCGGTACATGCTGCGTAATGACACGCCGAAATACCTCTCCCTTTATCTGATCCCGCTGCTGTGTTGTTTCGCTATGCTTCCAGAGGCCTTCTGCGTCTGATTAGAGATTGAACTCGCGAGAATGCCCAATGAATGACTGAGTGGCACCCTGGCTCATCAGTCTGGTAAGCCGGCCGCGGTAGCTAGGCGGCAGCTTGCCAGAATGATGCGTGCCTTCCTGGAGAGTAATCCCACAACGCCGTACAGTATGGCGATTGCCTCGTGTTGTGCTGACCAGAGTAATTCCCGAGTGCTCCGTCAACGCAAGCCCGCAAATCTGATCTCTAAGCTCCTATTCAACGGTCAGAAAGCACACCACTCAAGGAGAGATAGCCACTTACAGCAGGAAGGTCCAGGAATCTGAATGGCTTGATGGGTTTGGTTTCCTTGGCTTTCGGCGCCACTTTTGCCTTCTTGGACTGCTTGCCATTCGACTGAGATGAAGTCAGAAATTGCGGGAAAGTGTGACAGATTGAACGTACATGACCGTTGAAGGATCCGTCAAGGTCATTGCTGTCCAGCCCATCGTCCCGGTGGCTATCGACAGTGACGTCCTTTCCGGCGTCTTGATCGCTCAGAGCATAGTCGAGCGACTCGTAGTAGTCGTCGGCAAGGTAAGAAGCCACCTGAGTGCGCTTTCACTTACTGGTGCGGGGCACCGATACTCGTGCGGCAGTCATGACTACCGAAGAGGACGTGTTGATGGAGATCAAAGGCAGGATTGTAAGGTATTGAAGTTCGGATGGTGTCGGAGTAAAATCAAATGGGAAGCCACGCCAACCTAACGAGAGTAAAGTAACTTTTAGGCACCAGTCTACTAGGTACACGCGATCAATCACGACGTGTTCTGAAAGGTGCGAAATAATACATTATCTTTTCCCATCAGGGATTTCCAGACGCGATTTCCAGACGCAAAGAATCCTTGGGCATCTGGCTTCCGCTGCAAGCCAAAAAGACGCTACATCGCGGCTTCCATTCGCATACGTCTGCACTGGAGTAGAAATAATTCTCACCCCTCCTGGAAATGTGAACTGACCTGGGGGTCGGTGTGGAGGCTCTGGGTGTCTACTGGGCACGTCCCTCCTCAGCTGCCGACGCTTCATCAGGACTGCTCCAGTGCCTGTTCGTCTTCCACTGAACCCGAAGTCAGTCGCTCATATACGCCTATGACAAGAGCATAGATGCAGAGCGAAAGGCGTCTAGCAAAGCGAGAGCTCTGTGGCATGGTGCATGCGAGCAGAAACAAGGATGCGAGAATGCCCGCTCCAGACTGATGTATGGCGGCCGAGCGGCACTTCTTCGTGGACGAGTGGACGGGGCAATAGACACTGGCATTACCAGGCACAGACGCTCCTATCTTGCTCTTCGTGAGCCAACGGCGCTCAGTCTCTGCGACTGTTGTTCTCGAACCATGACTTGACTGCAGAACTGCCCTCACGGGCTGTGAGAAAGACTGCGATTGGCCTGTTAGCCACAGCTCCAGTTGCGTCTGACGAATCACCCACGCTGCCTCTCGCTCTCGTCCAGTCCTCGAATGAAGTCTGTGTCTTGGACATGTCGGGTATTCTGGGCTCGATCTGCAATCTCCATGGCTCGTAGCTTAAAGGTCTACCATTGGTCAGCACAGGATCGCATCGAGACAAAGCTCAGAACCCACATCATTCAAAACGTCGCCGACTTCCTCATCCTCGAACAACTCCAGCATCCTTTCCCCAAGTCCATAAAAGCGCTGCGCCTGAGCACGAATGTCTACAGACTTGGGATCAGCCCGGAGAGCGTTCATCACGCGAGGTCCTAGAGGAGCAGGCATATCGAGAGACGCCAGAGAGCCAGATGATGGCCCAGCAGGCTTCGAAACGGCCAGCATTTCAGCTAGCCAAAGCGGAAGTTCCAATTTGGTGCCATTATCGATGACAGAGCCATTGTTGAGAGGTGTCAACTGAGGCACTGTGAGCTCAAATGTGCAAGGTGCCTTTTGAGAGTCGGTGAGGATGGCATCCGGAGAGTAGTACGAAGCCATTGTGAGACGAGTGAGACGACGCGACCTCGACGCGTCGAGCTTTTGACGTCGAGTCTCCGACGTGTCGATTGTCGGGTGAAACTTGTCCGAGCAGAACCCGAGTAATGGGGTCGTCAGAGAAGCCCAGAATGTGACGAAGCGTGACTTGTAGTCGTCTTCGGCGTGACAGCCTGGTACATGTGGCGATGGTAATCAGTTGATGGGCGCTTGCGTGGATTCTTCTGCCTGGGATGCTGAGCACAGTACAAGAAGATCCACAGTCGCCCAAGTGGCGGTTGGCCCTCGCACAAAAGCGGGATTGTCTTGAGGTCCTCTTCTCTTTCTCTGTTATTCACTGTGTCTTAAATCTCCAAAAAGGATAGCACTTGCAGTTTGCCCGTGTTTGTGTCGTGGTGTTCGTCGGTTGCCGCCGCTCGGCTTGAAGCTTTCAAACTTCCGTCGACATCATCACCACAAGCTGCACAACACATTGCATGCATCTCTTCAGTGTTGTGCTACCCGCTTGCATCTCAACACCACCTCTGCAGCTTCCCGTCGTCAGCTTCTGACTGCCGAGCACACACAGATCATCGATTCTTCAGCTCAATTGTATTGCGCATCATCTCTCGACACCGCCGACCCTCGGGAGCTATTGCCGATCACATTCATCGAGAGGTGCTCGTGTGAGCAGATCAACTGGCCCAACGATCCACCATCATCACCCGATTACCACCACGATCATCCGCGACAGCACGACAACTTGTTGCAAAGCTCCTCCCGCTGTCGTAAAGTCGCCACTACCAATGACACGGCGAGTGACCGCCACGAACTTTTCACAATGACGGCGGAAGGTGCAATTCACGATCGCGTGTCCGAGCTATTGGGCGCGGGCAACGGCCCTCAGAGCAATGGAAGCAGTCACGATGATTCACGCGCAACATCGCCTGGCGCTGTGGCTCGCAGCGATGGAGAAAGCGACGCTGAGCGCCTGGGGCGGACACGGGCACGAGTGTTTCCTTACCAGAGATACCTGCCCTACGAGACGGAATCATTGGAACAGCGAGAACAGGACATGGACGAAATGATCAAGCATCTCTATGTTTCCATTGCTGCAGGCGACTTCATACCAGGCGCCGTGCACTGGACCAAGGAGATTCGTGGCTGTATGGCTCTCAAGTTCGACCTCACAAGAAAGCAACGCATATCCTTGGTGAAGCTTTATTATGAGCTCGCCCTTGCCCCGGGCTTGGAGTACGCGGCACAGGAGCGTTTCGCCAGCATGTTCATGGTCCTCACCAAGCGAAAGCACTACCTACGACCTGTCAAGGACCTCATTCTGGACTGGCGGCCTCTTTACAAGGAGATTAAAGCGTTTGTCCTGCCTTCGGAAAGCAGCACACAAAACCCCAACGTCAGCAAGAGAAACATTCGCACACTCACAAAGTTGTGTACCTTTGCGCAGCTCTTCTTCGACCCGGCGGAGACACCGGCCATGCTGGAGGAGTTCTTGCCGTTCTACAGCATGTCCTTTGCAGAGCACGCGTTTGTKGTGGTCGGACTATTCAATCTGATGTTACCCACCACTCCGGCCCCAGAGGGTGACGTGAGCCTCATGCCACAGCACTACCTCCCGACGTTCTTTCATCTCTGGTCGACGGTCAACAGATCCGCGATGATGGATGCGCGTTTTCTCGACATCCTCTCCCGTTTGGCTAGAGACTGTCTTGGGGCACACCAAGTACCGTTTGGTGCGTGTGGTATCTACACAGAGGAGCAGTCATCGTTGATATTCACGGCTGTGCTGAGATTGCTTGAAATTCCCGTTGGACAAGCCACGACGCCGTACAGTGCACACGTCGATGTCGCCGTCGGCACAGGCTTGTATCTGGAGAGAGATCCACGAAAGCATCCGCATTCGCATTTCATCGCGAGGTGGATAGTCATGTCTCTTTCGCCGCACTGCCTGGAGGTCAACAACCTAAAATCCACATTACACCAGCTTGAAGGGCTGATACAGGGCATCGAGACATTCTTCCATCCTTCGAATTCTGGATCATGGACCAAGTCTCTATCGCAACTGGTATATTACCTCGCCGACTTCTTCGTCATGCGCTGGAACCGCGAGCAAAGTGGCGAGTACGATATTCCGGAGGATCGCAAGCTGACGCCCGAAGTCAAGCGCCGATTTGTGCTTTGCCTGAGAGACGTGGTGTTCATGGGAATATATGCGAAGAGTGGGACGGCAATGAACTACAGTCTTAGCACCCTTCAGAGCCTCGCATACCTCGAGCCGACGCTCATTCTTCCAGGCGCATTGCAGCGCATCTACCCGGCCATGCAGGGTCTGGTTGAAGTACATCGAACCGTGTCCTCCATTCGGGCATTGCAGATGCTAAGTCGAGTCATGTCCAAAACGCCTGGATTTCGGTGTCATTTGACAACATTGTTGGGACTCGCCCTACCTGGTGTGGATGCCAATGATCTGGACAAGACCATGCATAGTCTTGCCTTCATCCAATCAGTGTGCTACAATATTCCTCTACACGATCTCACAAAGCAGCGCAAGGTTGAGCATGGCGAGCTCAACGGAGACCAGGAGATGTCTGACACTGGTGGGGATTTCGCTGCGCAGGAAGGAGGCACCGGACCCGCTGTTGAATGGATAACAAATCAAGTCGCGCGTTTCGAACAGGAAGGCCCCGGCATCGAGATCGATTATGCGTCCGAATTGGACGCTGAAGACGAAGCAATGCTCCTCAAATCGTCCACGGCTGGTTTCGCGGAGTTCCTCATCAGTTTCCTTGGACGCGTTTTCACCTTGCTACAGAACTTGCCTGATCCAGCGAGGGTTAAGAGCGGCGGGCCCGAGGAAAATGTAGTCAACACATTGCCGGCCGCATTCGGTCCTCTGCTTGCCAGTTTGAGTCCCGAGCTCTACGACGTTGCGTTGGAGCAAATCGCCCGATTTGTATCAAATCATGTCGTACACCAAGCGCGAGATGCCATGGCCTTCATCTGTAATGCTCTGGTCAAGATCTCACCCAAGAAGGCGCTCCACCGTCTACTGCCGGGCTTAATAGCTAGCATCCGGACCGAGATCACCGAGGTTGGCGCTGGTTCGACCCGTACAATGGGCAGTGAGATTCTTCCCAGAGATAGGGCGTTGATTTGGCATGTCTCTCTGCTAAGCATGTGTGTGGTGCACGTGGGAAGGGACGTGCTCGACTTCCAGGACGAGCTTTTCGACATTGCAGCTTTCATGCAGGACAACTGTATTGGAATTCCCCTGGTGCACGTATCGAACTTTGTTCATCACCTGCTGCTCAACCTGACAGTAACCTACACGGTCGACTACTCTCTGTATAACCAGGCAGACCTCGAGAAATGTCTGACGGAGAACAGCTGGGGTTGGAATGCGGACCCATCAACTTTGGACATCAAGTGGCATGTACCTGTCCAAGAAGAGATTGATTTCGCTGTTCGATTGTTTGAAGCGCAATGCGGACGTGCGCTGAAGGCTTTGAACGACCTGGTTTCGGACACTGCGCCTGTGAAGCGCGACGGGGTCGGTAAAGACTGGTCTGATGATGTTTCGAGTAACCTCGTGCTGCTGCGCTTGGTCATCTCGGGGATGTCTCGCCTCTTCCGCTCGGACGACAGCACCGTCACGCCTTATGTGTTTACTGATTCCAGTGCCGCAGGCAGCAAAGTCGCTTCTATCCACGCTGGCGATCTTGAGCTAGACGAGTTGCTCGACGATAGCGGGCTTGATCTCGTTGAGCCCGAAGAGGAGAAAGTCAAGCGTACATTCCGATACCCGACAGGCTACCCATTGGAAGTTGGAAGCACCCAGTATCAGTCGATTCATCAGCTGCGAAAGACAGCAGGAGAGACGCTCCACAAGGTGCACGCTTTCCTCGTCAAGAACCAAGAGGATGATGTGCCTTGTTTCAATTCGCTTTACACTGCATATCGCTCATGGTTTGTTGACGTTGGCATAGAACGCTCCGCGCATGTCCTCGATAGACTTACCCGCTTACTGGGTGCCGACATCCATCCTTTCAAGTTTTCTGGAACGAGAAAGCAGTACCCACGACCGCTGCTTGTGAGGAGAGCAAATCTTTATCACTTTCAACGCCTGCGATACAATGAACACACCAGAGCCGCTTCAGATCTCGACAAATTGCTCATTCTTGATCTTGCACATTCGAGCACGTCAGTGTACACGGACATTCGACGCACAGCGCAGTCGGCAGGCGAGCAGGCAATGAAGAGTATCATTGGTGCCAAGCCTCTGATAATCCCGACCCTCCTTGATGCCATGGAGGATGCCCTGAAAAAGGGCGAGCATCCGAGAATTAAAGGCGCTGTCTTCTCGCTTCTGTTCGGCAGTCTTGCAAAGCCGATAGGAAGGAATTGGAAATACGCCCCGCGCATGATCAAATTGTACATTCAAGCATCGGAAACTGACCGGCCGAGCATACAAAAATTGGTGGCTCAATGTAGCTTCACCATCCAGGACATGGTCAAAGCAAACGACACCATGGTCATTCTCGACGAAGCAACGCTGGAAGACGCTTGGCCTGAAGATTGTGTGGCCGTCTCGAGAACCATCGCGTCCACCAGGGAGGACGCCAAGGCTCTCGTCCCCAAGAAGAAAGCGGGCATCGTCAAGAGACGTGGTGTGGTGGAGCAGCGCAAGGCTGAACTGGCGGCCGAGCTCATCCAGAGTGTTAACAACAGTCACTGGAAAAAGGCGAGCCGGACTGCTGTTATGGCCATCGGTCTCGACTACCGCTTTGCGACCATTTCGTCCGACAGCATGCTGGATCTCATAGTGAAGGGAGTCATCGACCAGCATCCACAGCTCCGGACGCTATACGCGTCCGCGCTGAATGCGATTTTTAATTTGACGCAGACGAGAGCACTGGTTGGGCACAAGTACGAGAATTACGTGCTTGATGATCAGAACGACCCCGACGCAGTTTCGGTCCCAACGGCTCCTGAAGATGAGACCTGGACTCAACGCTATCTTGAGTCATTTGCGAAGCCCGAGGCAGAAGCATACATCGACAGCGACTATCCTGGCTGGTTGGTCTGGCAAAAGACAATGCGCGGATTCCGAACTGGTCCAAGTCGATTAGAGTATGATGACGTTGAGAAGGCTGCCCGCCGTAAGATGGGACAGCATATCGATCGCAACTGGCTTTCGACATATTTTGGCTACATGAAGCAAGAGCCCCGTGACGGCGCCGATAAATTCCGCATCTCCAGCTCCATGATTGTCGCATATGCGATGGATCTCATGGCCGATGGTCTCACCCAAGTGACATTCGAAGACTTCAAGGATCTCACAAAAGCGGTGTATGGTAACGGCTCCGACAAGCATCAGCACCGGGCACTGTCCGAAATACTGGGAGCTATGCTTTCGAGTTCGGAAGACTTTGCGCCAGAATTGAGGACTGCCATCTGGGACTTTGCATTCCCCATCGTTCGTCGAGTGTTCAGTGATGGCTTGACGCCGGAGAACCAGTCCTATTGGACATCATTCGTTGCCATCATTGTCAGCGGCAAGGATCCACGCCRAGCCTGGCCTTTGATCGACTGGTTGGCGGGCTTTCGCCTCGACATGCAATCAAGTGCGGCCTTCAAAGAAAGTTCAAAGATCACACTTTTGCAGCAGACTGTCACCGCGGTCGGCTGGCACTTCCAGCTTGATCGCCCAATAGTACAGGACATGTTGGAGCACCTCGACCACCCGTACAAGAGCGTTAGAGAAGTAATGGGTAACACCCTTGCCACCATCTTCCGGACGAGATACCACGAGTCGTACAAAGACGTCCCCACTCTGCTGGATGCGCAAAGAGCGGCGTCATCGATTGGCACCCGACCCTATCAACCGACCGAGGAGTTTTCTGGCATTATGAAGAATGTCCTCGAGCGTCTTGAACAGTGGCGCCTCCAACGTCCCGCTGGTACCCAAACACCCACTGCGTACACGCAAGGGAGCAAGACGGTTCTTCTTTGGCTAGAGGGTACTCTCAACAACTACGACTGTACCTCTCTCGTACCATTCTTCCCAGGTCCTTTCATGGAAGAGCTACTCCACATGATGGACATCAAAGAAGACCCTGAACTGCAAGCACTCGCTTACCTCGTCTTCCGCCACTTGCCCAACATCCCGCACCGCGCCGGCGAAGACAAAGCTTTCGTTGCTTCCCTGGTCAAGATTGGACGGCAAGCACACTCATGGCATCAGCGGCTCCGAGTCCTTATCAACATCCAGGTCATCTATTTCCGTAGTCTCTTCCTGCTGCCGGAACAGCAGGCCGAGGATCTTTTCAAGTGCGTGCGCGAGATGCTTCACGATGCGCAGCTTGAGGTGCGGGTGGGCGCTGCTCTCACGCTTAGTGGCATGGTGCGATGCTCGCCCGTCGACTTCCGCAATAAGAAGGTGGAAGATCTGAGGAAGCACTTTGCCAACATGCTCATCAAAAACCCGCTGCCCAAGCGTAATAGAGACGGCCCAAAGGAAGACAGCACCAACGCTGCAGCCCAGGAACAGAACAAATTGGTGCTTACGCGTCACGCCGCCGTACTTGGCCTGGGTGCGCTCGTACAGGCGTTCCCATACACCTCTCCACCGCCGAGGTGGCTGCCTGAAGTACTCGCAACCCTGGCAGGACGGGCTGCAAGTGACCCCGGGATGGTGGGCAAGAGCGTCAAGACTGTGCTGAGTGACTTCAAGAAGACGAGGCAGGATACCTGGCATGTCGACATGAAGGCAAGTCATCTCCACCAAATTCCATCTCCCCATGACAAAACTAACACTCACTAGGCTTTCACTCTGGAGCAGCTCGAGGACCTAGAAGGCGTGTTGTGGAAGAGCTACTTTGCGTAGGTAATGCGCCGTGCTACATCAGCATCATTGTGCGAGAGTAGGGCGGGTCTGGATGACATGATTGTCACAAGGGTGGACTGATAGACATAGAATGGAGTAGTGGGGAACATGTCGTATCCTGGCGTTTGAGCGGCATTGCAAGGCGTATGTACTATAGAGTGTCTGTACGCGACTCAAGATCATCACGACATATCGAAGTTCTCTGGCAACGTCTTGTTTTAGCCAGGCTCGGGAGGCCTTTCAACTAGTTGCGGAACGATGCAGTGAAGGGATGTTCGTACGAGTCAAGTTAGCGAAGAGGCATCATGGCGTGAACAGTGATAAGATGCTGCAAGTGCGACGAACCAGCACGGGGAACAAGGATTTGTGATGTATGTGCCCCAAAACTGCTGTGTTTGTCTTGAAGCCTACCACGGGTCGTCAGTATATTGGATGCTGTCATCGATGAAAGTGCATGTACTGGTGCGGCTACCCGCTTAGAACTACTTCCTCCTCCCATCATACAGTTTCCAGCGACACGGACACGGACAACATGACTGCCGCAATCATCGCCTTGCTGCCGGGAACGGAACGGTATCTGGCAGTCGTTCACAGCCTTGATGGATTTGGCTGTCGATTGAGGCAGGCAAATGCTTGGTTGCTCTGAAACCTGCATGCTCGCGGCGCCCGGGAGCTCCAGTGAGGCGGAGGCGATGCTGCATGGTCGAAAGTCGATGTAACCGCCGGGTTGCGGGCAACGATCCGAATGATCGCAGACAAAAGGCAACCTCATGAGGCCGCTCGGTCATGAGTCTTGAGCATGCATGCGTATACAGCACAGCACCAGGGCAGGATTGAGACACATTCGAAGGACGAACGCAGGACGGCATAAAAAGACATTCCGCATCCTCGCAGCGCAGATGGAGAATTGCCAGTCAGCACGACAGAGACATCCTTGCCTGTGATTCAGGAACCCGCGAGGATGGCGTATCGTCCTCTTGACCACGGTTACCACTACCGCGAACACGAGCACGAACAATTCGACGCGTGCCCGCCCCTCCCACCACGACGTTATGAACATCCATACACCTATTACGACCGCCCACATCCCTACGACGACGAATACAATGTGAGAACGTCGCGTGCTCGTGACTCGAAGAAGCACAGGACAAGCCCGGATGAAAAACATCAGAGTCGAGAACGGAATGTGAACTTACTCGGCCGGCCAATCCCAAGCGTCTTTGTCGATTGTCCTGTGGTGCGATCAATGAACCAAAGTGCTGCGCTATGCGATCGTGTCGCTGTCKGGGTCAATGATGTGTTCTCGCGTTTGGACAGCGATGACTATACCTATCATGATTTGCTGGAAAGGATGAAAGACACATCGTTGAGAGAGGGCAAAGATGACACCAAGCGTGAAGACCAGACTCGCGGTATCGTTGACTTTCGCAAGACGTGGTTATATGCCAACTCGCGGCTACCGCCTCACCTGCTCCCGGTGAAGCTCTATATCCCGACCTGGCAGATTATCTGTATGGCTGCAGAAGCTTCGCTAGACGTGTATCGGCGTCCGCACAAAGGCGAGAAAGAAGACTTTGTAGAGGCAGACTGGCGGCAAGGGACCAAAACCATGGTTGTCAACAGTCGGAGGATGGATGAGCAGAATGTCATCGTGATCGCGATCAGAGGCAGCAAGTGGAACATTGTCGACTGGGGGGTCAATTTCAGGCCCGCTCCTTCTGAGCCTACCGGGTTTCTTGACGATGCCGGGAACGCATGTCATGCTGGATTCCTACAAGTCGCGCGAGCGATGGTCGTGCCCATTGCTGCCAGACTTCGGCATCTGCTGGAAACAGAGCCCTCTCGGTCGCCCAGCTCGTTGCTCCTTACGGGCCACTCTGCCGGCGGCGCCGTAGCAAGTTTGCTGTACATGCACATGATCTCTGTCACGTTAGAGTCTGAGCTGAACATCCTTACCGGATGCTTCAAGCGCATCCACTGTTTGACCTTTGGTGCCCCTCCTGTAACGTTCCTCCCTCTCCAGCATCCCGTTTGGAGCAAGAACATCTTCTTGGCTTTTGCCAACGAGGGCGACTGCGTCGTCCGAGCGAACAAGGCATACATCAGCACTCTTGTCAAAATCATAGCTGCACCTTCACCTCTTGCAATGTCTCGCAGTGGAGATGGGAAGCAGGGAAAGCAGGGAAAGCAAGGGCTGAGGCAACGCATTTCTCGGTCAGCGCTCAGTACTGCTGTTTCCACCGACGCAAAGTACAAGCCAATTTGGTAAGTCGAGCTGTTCGTAAGCGGACGTGAGCTCACACTATGTCATTTAGGTGGGAGATACCTCCGGCAACGCTCTCGAACGCTGGGCGCATCGTTCTACTACGAGAAAAGCCCATGGACCGACACGAGATCGAAGCCGTGCAGGTGACCGATGAAGAACTTCGCGATGTCATCTTCGGAGACCCAGCGATGCACTCTATGGAGCTCTACAAGTCAAGGATTGATCGTCTTGCGGTCGCTGCTGTCACTGGGAGGCCAGCCGGATGAACACTCATAGATGCCTTATCTTTGATAATGATTCTCCAATCAGCAGCACTCGAGCTCGTCGAAGCTACCACCGGCTTCCGTCGTCCGGCGAGCCGCTCTGCCATTGCGCAGTACTCCGGCGGCCTTCAACACGGATTGCGCGTAGAAATTTTCATAGTCAAGCAGTGGCGAGGAACGTTAGTTGTAGCCAGCGTTGTTGCTGGCGGGGATCGAACGGCCGCTCGCTCATGAACAAGACAAAGCGAAGGTCCCGCATCAAATACCTAGCATGGGCACCGCTGCCACCGCCACTGCTGCTGCTGCATGTACCTTACAAACCCTCGGAGTCATCTCTGAGGTCTTATAATAAGCGCCTTCTGGCCATCAAATGAACATCCCGGATGGCATAGAGGTCCCGACAAGGTGTCCATCATTCGAGAGTCTGTTATGGATTTTTGTGGTGAATCATTTTCGATGAACCTTTGGTGAACCTTACGTCTCACAAATAGCTTTTATGCAACGAATGAAGCCACACTTACTCAGTTCATGCTGAATCCAGCAGAACTCTTTCACATGAAGAGTCACAGCCTCACACAGAAGCCACAAGATGACGTAAGCGCCTAGGCTCTAGTACATGTATCGTTCGTCTGCTACACATGCAACAAACTACTCTAGATCAGAAGTCCGAAACGATGCCGCTCACTGTTCTGAGCGATCATGACGTTAGCYGCATACTCCACTCCTTGGACAAGCAGGACATCGAAGCACTGCAGGAGAGCCTAGCGGATGCGCTACACTGGTATTCATCCTCCAGTGATGCAGTTGAYTGCTGCAGCGACTTCCAGCCTGAAAGAACACATCTAAAGCGGAAAGATGGCTCGACTACGCTTTTTATGCCTGCCTCGGGCATTACTGGTCAAGGCGTCAAGGTACAATTACATCGACTTCTTTAGCTTCATCTCCCGATGTTAACAAGAAAAGGTGGTCAATATAGTTCCTCCAGATACAGCCGGACTCCCCACTATTGCGGACAGTCAGAGTTTGAGCTCCGGGGACTCTCGCAGTTCGATCAGTTCGCAGTCTCGACAAGACTCTCTGGCGTCAATAGAGACATCGTCATCTGCTGTGCCAGCATCTGTGTCCGATGCGTCTGGGGGTCTCAGCAAGATGGGGATTGCATCAGGATCAGTATCGACCATTCGAGGCTCATTGACTCTTCTTGATAACCTTGGAAACACCACAGGTATGCTATAGAAGATAATTCCGAGATGCGAAGCTAATTGGTCAACAGGTCTCATAAACGCAGAAGAAGTCACGGCTTTCCGGACAGCGCTGGCGTCGACAATGCTTCTCAAAAAGCGCCACTCTGTACACGATGTCACTGTATTTGGCGCTGGTAAGCAGGCATACTGGCACATTCGACTTGCGCTACTGCTTCGAGGCCCCGAGATTCACCACCTCAATATCGTCACGCGAAACTTTGAGAGCGCACGGAAGTGCATCAGCCGTCTTTACAACCCTCAGCCAGACGATCCGGACTATGTCAATACCATCGGAAGTGGCTTCAACAGCAAAACGAAGAAAGAGATCCTCACGCCGTCACACACGGAGTACCAGAGACTTCTAAAGCAGTAAGTATTTAGCATTCCTGCGTCGCAAAAGTATGTGCTAATCTTCGATCTTTCTTCATAGATACGTTCGAGCAAGCAATGTGATCTTCTGCTGTACTCCATCCACAACTCCTCTTTTCCCCGGCACATATCTCACAAACCCCGAGGGACGTAAGAAGGGCAGGTACATCGCGCTGGTAGGAAGCTACAAGCCAAACATGATAGAGCTCCATCCAGACATCGTGCGGTATGCTGTTGCACCACATCACGAGCACAAGCACATCCATAAACGGCAGAAAGAAGGCGGCGCGATCATCGTCGACACCGTCTCGGGCTGTTTGAAAGAAGCGGGTGAGGTCATTCAAGCTAAGCTGGCACCCGATCAAGTCGTCGAGCTGGGTGAACTTTTCATGCTGAAACGAGATGCTGAGAAGCGGATGAAGGATAGAGGCGAGCAGGAAATGGAGAGCGGATGCAAGTTGCAGGAGAATTCTGGTTTGAGGGAGTGGCTGGACAAGGGAAATGTCATTTACAAGTCAGTTGGGTTGGGGTTGATGGATGTGACAGTGGGCAACGCACTCATCAAGTTGGCACGTGAGAGGGGCGTTGGAACGACCATTGAGCACTTCTGAGGAGTGGGAGGACGTTGGCGTTGCTTGCAATCAGACAGGGACGCTGATATGAGAAGCTATCCTCAGCACAGTGATGCTTTCGATTCCTTCACTACATCGTGAGCACTCCTGCCAGCTAGCAGGGTTCTGAAGATACCTTGCAGGTATCGTATTGAGAGCGCTGTCAAAAGCGCTCCTCGAAGCCATCTCTCTCGCTTCGTCAGCTTCAAGTCGTCTTCCCAGRTCTGCATCAGTGAAGGAATTCCATGAAACCACTCCTTGAACCTCTCGCTCTCCTCAAATGCCTGCCTGCCCTCCAGCTCCGACATCGCAACTCATCAAGTCAATCCATTCGTTCGTCAATATCCGACAAACTGTCCCAGCGGACGTGCGACTCTGATCATTTGGCAATCAAGTGGACATCGATAGTGCCCACAGTCCAAGTGCGAACACACTTTTTGCTCAACAATCGTAGTCGCCTCGCAGCGGCAGCAAGTCCACCGTCTGGGCCACTCCCACTCCATGTCTGGTCTGCTGGTCGATGGAAGAGTGGAGGTCCACTGATGGAGTCCTTTGGTGGAATCGTACCTGAAAACGTAGAAGGGATTAGCAATGTTCTAGACAATTCCAGTATGGTCCAAATATGCCCGAAGACATCTTTGAATTACCCTACATGTTTGTTGTCCTTCAGTTTACTTACATCGGCGGGCGAATCGCGACCTTCTGTGACTCATCGTCAATGGGTGGCGACGGAGCGCGGCTTCTAGCGAATTCGAGGCGCTCCTTCATGGTTGCGTGTCTCGGTGGCTGGTCCTGGTACCGTGGAGCTTGGATGTGTCTTTGTGGAGCTGGGATGAGCCTACTGAGGTTGATGGGTGAGACTGGACTCTGTTGTGGTGATTGAGACTCGAATCCATCCCTTCTCGCTGGGCTACGTGGAGGCAGCTGTGGGAGTGGGTTGTTGGGACTGAGACCTGGCGATGGGCTCAGCGCAGCCACGTTTTTGCGGATTTGGAGACTGCGAGGAACATCACTCGCCATGTTGCTGTCTTCGCCGGTGGTGACCTTGTAAGCGGTGTTGGGACCTTCAGAAGGCATCATGCTGGAGTCGTGCGAGTCTGCTCTGCTGTGCCGGCGGGAATGAGATCTCGTCTGCCTTTTGGTTGCCGGATCGCTGGCCTCGGTGCGATTGGTGCCGCCGTTGTCAGACTCCTTGGATGACGAAGTGAGGTTCTCCATTTCAATGGAAACCTCTGCAGACTTGCTAGGCAGCGAAGCTCGACGGCGCGGCTCGGTGCAGGTCACGACGCCAGTCTGCAAGTCGAGTGAGCGGCGAGAAAGACTTGAGCCAGTTCGGCGCTTTTGCAGCAGAGAGCGCGGTTCAGAGACGCGTTCGCTGCGGTCTTTGGTCGATGAAATGATGCTCGTGTCTTCCGGCGCGATGGAATGTACCGTCACTGACTGGCTGCCATCGAAGAGCTGCGAGTCGTCAGTACTCGTGGTTCTGGTCTTCAATCTCAATTTTGATGTGATTGTGAAGGGGAAGAACGGCATTTCGAAAGTTGAAAAGAGGAAATTCGCGGTTTAAGTAAGAATTCGACATTACTAAACGATGTGTGAGCAGATGGTTGTCTCAAATGTGGCCCAAAGTGAATGAAATCAACCGCACCTCACTTTCTGTCGCTTCCAGAAATCAATTGCAAACATATTGTCGGCGTGTATGTCTCCGAAAACACTACTCGACGCAGGGTACGAACGTGCGAATGWGCTTTACGAGATCAATGGCAAAACTGTTATGCATGTACGAGAAAGGTCATACAGTTCTGAAAGAAATGTGAGGTGCAAGTAGAGACTGGTTGAACCAACGGTAATACCAGCATCATCATTGTAATGCGAACCAAAACCTGACGCAGCGCCATTGCAATTACGCAATCTGAGATGTTTCGTACTGCACAAGGAGAGAAAAGAACCACCAGCATTTCCTCCTCACCAAAGTGCAAGGTGGTCAAGACTGCTTCCCGCGAAGAGAAGTTGATGATCAGATTGGATTACTTCGAAGCAGTGCTGCTCCTCGTTCTGTCAGGGAGAGCTAGAGACTAGTGATCCGTTTCCCAGGCTATTACAAAATGTCGCTTTCTCACATGCGGGGGAAAGTTTCGCGTCCAACTGACCTTGCTAGAGATACCATGGTCCACTGTACCTTCAGAAGCTGATTTACAGCACCATCTTTGCAGCAGTCCATGCTGCCAGACCGAAGAGACCAATCATGGGGAAGAAGGCGACTCCGAATCCTACTACTCGTCCCTTGCCGTTTTCCGCGGTGGGAGAGGTGTATCCGAAGGCGTACATCTATACAATGTAAGCTGCGTTCATGCAGGATCTGTCTCATTCAACTCACAATCCTGCCGAAGCTCCAGATTGCGCCGAGTGCAGCGGAAGTTTGTGGGTATACAATGCCGGAGAGGAGCATAGTGGCCATGACAGATGGATGGTTCTCGTTGAAGTTGATGTGGGCTCTCTGGGCGCAGTTGAACAGGTACATGGCCTTCTTTTGTTCACCAGAAGTGGCATTGGCCAAGTCTGTGTTGTCCGCCCATGCTTTAGGATAAATGATCTTGGCTGGCTTACGGAAAGCAGCCACGCGGAATCCATGCCAAACTCCCACCTTTTACGATCAGTCAATTGTGGATGCGATGGAGCGAATGACGGAGGAACGAACGAAGCAGGTGAATGCGGTAACGCCGACGACATAGCTGCAATAACAACGCGCGTTAGCTCTTTCGCACTAGATGGACGTGTAGCTTCGATGTTCGCTTACCCATATTCCCTGGGGACGGTGAGAGCGAGCAGTGACATGTCGGCCATGGTCTAGTAAGTGGAGCAGAAAGGGTTCTCTCGAGAGGCGGAGGTATGAAAGCGAGTGAAGTGCGGGAGGAATGTATCGGAGAGGGATGGATGGAATATGTATTTCCTTCCAGGTAAATCCGCAGGGCAGGACTCAGTCGGTCCAATTATATACTAGAGCTGCCCCCAAACGCCATGGCCGTCATGCGGCGACTCGTGCCGTCAGGTTGCCTCGCGGGATGCTCGTGCCTCCGATCGGGGAGATGGTCTCGCCGAAAATATGGAAAGTGGAGTTAAAGAGACATTGCTCGATAATCAACCCAGGCACAAGGATGATTATGCACGAGCAGTTCCCACATGTCCACATGCATAGCCCAGGCTGGGTCCACCCACGCACTTGATGACTCTCGGCGTCGATATCAGCACTGTTGTGGAATGAATCGTTGTCGAACGCAAGGGGCTGTGTACATGCAGCATTGCCTTTTCGGTGAGTCAACATGTCCATGTGTTGTCAAGAATCAAGAGCCGGCCGCGTCGAGGGCCCGAGGCGTCCATGTTTCTTCATTCGGGTGGCTTTGGTGGCTCTCACGTGGCGCGGTCGATCCTCGATTTCCCTCCGGCGACTTCACCTGTTTCCCTCCATGAACAAGGCGATGCAGGAAATCCGCGAGGTGAGAACCATCGCCCCACCATTACTCCAACGTCACACCCGATTCACTAACCACCTTGTCTTGAGCAGCACGGCCTGATGAAAAAAGCCAATCACAAGAGCTTTCAGAACTCGCGTCTGCAGGTAGCCGCAACTTGTAACGAGTTGTCGGGAAACCTCGTTGTTTCCCACTTGCGGACCCGCGGGAATGGATGACAAAGAAGAAACAGAGATTTGAGGGTTTCGCTGCTTTGCGTGGTTCCTGCATCGACCTTGCAACAACAACAACAACAAACGCGACTTCATTCATTCTCACCACACAGCCCCGTCTTTTGCCCTGCGGAGCCAGGGATGGAAGCATGCTGCGCCGAAGCGTGTTAGCATCATGGTGCACCGATGATCGAAAACACAACATTCCAGCAATTTGTCGTCGCGCTTCCTGCTCCGGCAGTGGTGCGTCGGCCGTTGCGATGATGATCCTAACAAAAAGATAGTTTTCAATCGTATGGGCACTTGCTCCGCTTTTGCCAGCTGCTTTCATCCACGACGAAGATGCACGGGACTGATGGAGGTCGTGGGCGAAGATGATGGAGCTTGCAATGTCCGCTGATGATATAGTCCTAAGCCAAATATGATGGCAGCCCTGTGCCGCAAGGCATTGGTGGTTGTTGCTGATGGTACTTTCGGAGAGCTAATCTGAGGACACCATTCGCTTTCACGCGTTTGGACATTTGATGTAATTCCAGAAATATAGACAATTTTACCTCATCATCATGTCTACCTATGCTTCAAAACCTGTCCCTTGTCCGAGCACGGTAGGCTGTCCATCCAACGTAGCCTCCAGCGACCAACACGCCGAAGATGATGAACTTGAAGAAGAACCACATCCAGCTACCTCCCTCTTTGGCCGATGTGATCGGCTTGTTCTTCTTGCTCTTCCTGTCATTCTTGTCTTTGGTGCCCGAAGAGGAACCCGTTGAGCCAGACGGAGAGTAGAGGTTGTTCGTCTCAACCTTGATGATGTCGTGGTTATCCGCCAGCTCGCCTGTCTCCGCGCTGAAGCCCAAATATGTCACAGAGGGGAGCTTGACATTTGGCGCCTCAAAGCAGCGCGTCCACTCGTCCTCCTTTTTGTACATCAAGTCCACGGTCAGGGATTTGTCCTGGAAGTACCGAACCTTAGCCTTGGTGGGAAAGTCAGGGTTCCTTATGCCGCGAGCAGAGCAGCCAGCTACCAGCTCATTCGACTTGCCGTCGTTGGCCTGGTCGTATGAAGTCTGTCCGTCTCCCAGCATGGCCATGACATAGGGGAATACCACACCCGGGCGGTTATTCTTGTATGTGTCGAAGAAAATTCCCAGTCCCTCGAAGCGGTCCTTCATGCCAAACACCGTTCCCATCTCGGCGCGCTCTTTCGTGATCCACATCGCCATACCATCGCCAAAGAGACTACCTGTGCCTGAAATCTTGAATTCCACCTCGATCTCCCAGTTCGTCGCGGTGAGGGGCACACGGCTGAAGATCCATCCAGCACTCGAAGGATGTTGGCCAGAGAGGCGAATGTATTGATCCGCGCGAACGACGGTCGTTCCTCCAAAGTCCCACCACCTGCTCTGCATGTCACTATCCAGGTAGGGCTACAATGGCTGTGTCAGCTGTCGTATGCTGTGTCTGTTCATTCTGGGAATTGGCTTACCATTTGCAGACTGTGTGTCCTCAACGCAATTGACTTGATGTCTGACTCCTCCGCTGCGACAACGCAACTCCATGCTGCCAGCAGTATGGTCACCAACCACAATCCGGGCTGAAAAGCCATGATTGCTCTTAAGTGCCCTCTCGTTTGCCGAAAGTACGCAAACTCCGAAGAAATTGAGCAGTAGCTGTGCAGGACAAATGGCCGGAGCGATCGGTGCTCAAGCAACGGTCAATGGGTGTTGCGCGCAAGAGTACAAGTCGGTAACCTGAAGCTGCTCCGCGAACAAGTGTTCTATAATCAGTAGCGCGTGAGAGCGGAACTCGGACCAGGAGTATTTTTAGTCACCTCTCTTTACCTTATCCAAGCAACGCGCTTTCGCACGCGACTTTTTGCCATTCACGACACCACAATGTCATCATGGCTCACAGACATTGCTTCGTCTCATAAAGTGCAGCTTGGTCTCACTGCAGTAGTATCGGGTTTTCTTGCGGCGAGCGCCGTGGTGGGATTGCAAGAAGCAAGAAGACGATATGACATTCACGATCTGAAGGACTCGATACCAGATGTGGATGCACCTCATGATGTGGAGCGAGTATGCATCGTGGATTATCTCTTCCAAACGACGCTGACTGACTCATAGACTAGATAAATGATTTCGGGGGCGCTGTTCCTGAGGAGGCGGTCGAGCACCGAGATGATGAAAGAAGCGCGGCACTTGCAAGGAGAGCGCGACTGGGAGACTACGATGAAGGTATGTCACCTCCTGGGCATCTTCATGTATCGAGCGGAATCGTATCGGGGCGTGGCAATATTATCTGCTTTTGATTCGAACTGCATTGGCCATTACCCTACCACGAAATAGCATTTTAGATGCCATTCTTCGCTGCATTTCATCAGAATGCTTCATGTGCAAGAACCGGGAAGCCGTACTAACGTCAGCTCCAGCCCTTATCCTAGAACAACTCGCAAGAAATCGGGTCTTYCTCGAAGACGAAGGACTGGCGAGACTTCGAAAAGCTTTTATCATTGTCGTCGGTTGTGGAGGCGTAGGCTCACATGCAGCTGCCGCGCTCGCACGCTCAGGATGTGGACGTCTTCGTCTTATCGATTTCGATCAAGTCACTCTAAGCTCCCTCAATCGCCATGCGGTCGCTACCTTGGCAGATGTGGGCACTCCAAAGGTGAAGTGTCTCGAGAGACGACTAGAGCAGGTTGTACCATGGACGCACTTCGACTCCCGGAACGAACTTTTTGGCGAATCTACTGCTACCGTCCAGCTGCAGCCTTGGAAAGATGGACAACATCCAACTTATGTGATCGATGCCATTGACAATATCGAATCAAAGGTCGCGTTGTTGCATTACTGTGCCACGAATGGCATTCCCGTCATCTCTTCCATGGGTGCAGGCTGCAAATCCGACCCTACTAGGGTCTTTATTGGCGACATATCAGCATCCACCGACGATCCCCTTTCAAGAAGCACCAGGCGCAAGCTGCGAATGCGCGGCGTCAAAGACGGCATTCCAGTAGTTTATTCTTCGGAGAAAACCGGACCCGGAAAAGCGCAGCTTCTTCCTCTTCCCGAAGATGAGTTCAAGAAGGGATCAGTAGGCGAGTTGGGAGTCTTGCCCGATTTCCGCGTCCGCATTTTACCTGTCCTCGGAACCATGCCAGCAGTATTTGGACTTTGTGTGGCGAATCACATCATGCTCGAAATCTCCAGGTACCCACACGAGTACATTGTGAGCAAAGCGAGAGAGAAGATGTACGATGGGATCCTGGGCCACCTCCAAGGACTGGAAGAGCGGACCGCAAGGCACCAAGGTCACGATCCGATCGGCTTGCGCCTTCCCGTTACAATCGACGATGTGGGATACTTGATCGAAGAGGTCTTTCGTGGTCGTAGCGTGGTCTCGGGCTTAGCGAGCAGGCTTGCGTTGACAAGATGGCGGAAACCAGAGGGTGATTGGATTGACACCAGTACGGCTGGACAGAAGGCCGATAAGTTGGAGCTAGACGCCCTTGTGTGTTTGACCAAGGACGAGGTTGCCAAGCATGAAAAGTTGGTCCTCAAAGAAGGGCGTTCGCCAGAGGAGGTCTACGATAAAGAGGTCATTGCGTTGGTGGAGAGACGCATGAGAGAGGAACGAGTATATCGAGCTCAGAGATAGCTAGCTAGACCTACTGCATCTATGGCATTGGGGTGTGAGGACACAACGACCTTTACCTCTTCAGAACGCTTTGCTGTATTCGTTGGCTCTGTAATGGGTATTAAGCATAATGCCTCCGTATTCGTCTCTTCAGCACTGCGTACAGCTGCTCGTTTACACAAGCCGGTTGTAGGGACAAATAGCACGCATTGTCAAAAATGTCTTCGGTAGGTTGAAACCACGGAGGGTTTCCAGCGGAGAAGGAAATACACTATGTAGTAGACATCATCATTGGGCCATATTCTTTGTCTGCCCTCGGTGGGTCCTATACTCTGAGTTACCCAACAGTCGACGGATATTGATGTTGATATTGATTCTCAAGGCATGCACCCGGTTTCCATGCTGTAATAACTACCCCAACCCTAACCCTAAAAGCGCGCCAAGACAGATTGCAAGCTTCTGATGCATCCATCCTTTGGTCTTATCGCTCTCTACCCTCTTAATGATCAAAGCATCATGACGCCCGACGATGAGCACAATCTCTCCCCATCTGAAACTTCGAGGCTGGAGAGACAGCAAAAATACATTACGAACGCTTTAGGCTTCGTGTTACATTCTACAGTGAGACGAAGCTTGGCCGGAGATGATCTTGGTATAAAGCGTTTTCGCGTCGCGGTCGTGTCTGATACTCCCATTAATCTGGACGAGGATCCCGCAATTGACAAACCGTGGTCAACTCTGTCCCCCACCCAGATGACTTCCTCGACTGGTGTGGCCCCAGAGTCCGCGGAGCAGTTCGATGTTGTGGTCGTGAATCTCCTGCACACCTCAATGGGGGTTGACGATTGGGAGACGACTATCCAGAACATGACGGATCTATTACGACCTGGAGGATGGGTACAATGGGTGGACTGGGATCCTATTACCGCGAGAATAGCAGGATCCACACCCGGAACGCCAGATGCATCAAATTTGCGAGCCTTTCTCAGGAATTATACGGATGTCATACAAGCGAGGAACGTTGGCAGCACGTACCGAATCTCCACCATGTTGAAGAGCCACGGATTCGTGGAGCGCGACTCGGATATGTATCCCGTTGCGCCCGATATAGGACTTACCCGTGTTGTTGCCGAAGGAGCACTGGATTACTTAGAGCGCACCGGAAACTTGTCACGGGAAGAGGTTAGAGCTGCAGAGGCGAATATTGAGCAGGAAATTCGAGTCAGTGGACCGTTGGTCTGGTATGATCTGTGGTGCCACATCGCCCAGAAGCCCACCAAGTCTTAGAGACATGGGATGGGTTGTGCAGCATTCCGTCACGCCAGAGGCCGTTCTCCTGGCTTGAATCGCAAGTTCGTCTCCCATCGCTTTTGGTTCCTGTTTGGCAAGGCCGTGTTTGGTGCAAACCAGAAGTCGATGCTGAGTAGAGAGAGGGTTGAGAGGATTCAAAGTTGAGCAAGCTGGAGGCCATTCGACACTTGTCGCACACTGTACAAAGAGATGATTGAGTGAGACTGTGACTGGCCGAAAGATGCTGCCCGTCACGCGCATGTTGCCTGAAACCGCGACTGGGGAGACTGGGCAATGCGGAGGTCGTTTTAGTCGAACCAATATGGTTTATGCACCCGTGGTACCGCTGGCGCGTTCAGACGCCCTGTGCCACGAAGGAGGAAATTCCCGACTGCAAGGACCAGATTCGGCGAGGGACTTCGTATACAGCATCTGGTCCGCTGGGGAAGATGACAATTCCTTTTGGCTGATTCGGAAGATCGAACTGTAGACAAGACGGCTACAAAAATATCAAGACCGCAACGGCTGACTCTTCGCCATAGTGCCGAAATTTGGCTGATATGCATGGCAGGTCGTTTGATGTTTTCTGCAGTAGAACGGAGCAGTGTCAGGGCAGAATGCATCGCAAATGGACAACCATCAAGTGTTAGGTGAACGCAAGCTYACAGATTGGGTGTTCGTATGGGCAATAACACTTCTCATACCTGTGGTGTTACCAGCCCCAACGGCCTAGATGCGGCATTTTACAAGTTGTGTTTTTCGAGCGAAAGTCTAGATTCGGATGTGCGGATACCGTGGAATGAAGTCGGCATAATTGCCGCTCTTTTCACTTCCTATCGGGATATTTACTTGCCGACCAATCACGGGCGTCCGCGGAGGCAGGAGCGGCGAGGAGTGAGACCTCTAAGGAACAACCTTGATGAGATCGTGGAGAGTGGACCACTCCGTACGCAGCTGTGGAGAATATTCACGAAGATCATGCCCCCATCGGAAGGGCATGTCGATCTTTGATGCTTGTTTTGGAGAATCCAAGAGTTGACACTGCTTGGAAAGGCTTGCTCTGACACCCTTGCACAWTCCATGCTCAAAATACTGTTCCCATGGACTGTGTCGATATCCACCGCTGTGAAAGACGTTGCGATATCAAAATGAGAATCGGTTTTTTTTAACGCGCGGCACATGCAGCCGGGGAGAAAATACGCTCTTCCTTACCTAAGATGATGATCCCGATGTGGCGGGCGAGACCGGGATCTTTGGGCAAATAGAAGAAGTCATCCATGAAGCACCTGCTCTCGTCCATCCACTCCCGACATCCATATACCTACAGACACGTGCTGTATCTGAGATTCTCTCGTTTGAGTCACATCCACGACGCCCTCACCTTCGCCTCTATCCAAACCCGGGATCGAAGAGCCCAGGCCAAAGACAATGAATTGCCCTAGTCGTACTGAGCCTGAATTGCCCGATGGCTTCAATCAGAGTCCGAACGACCTGAATGCCGATTCCACCACAAGGAGTGATCTCGAAAACCTGGCTTCCGTTCGACTCCAATCCGATCACAAACTTCGAGATAAGAATGGCCTGAACATTGAACTTGCGCAAGTCGCAGGAGCCACCGACGGCGACTCAATCCGGAGACGAATTGCAACAAGCGATGGAAGTAATGCCATCGCTCACCCTGGGTTTGGAGAGAAAATGCTTCGAGAAATAATCGGCGCCACCAGCGACGACAGTTCTAGCTCTCCAAACCCAAACCCGCTGCCTCGCTGGCAGCGGCCCTTTCAAGAAGTTCGACGTGTTGGAGTCAAATTCGCCAAGTTCATTGGTCCTGGATTCATGATTGCGGTTGCTTACATCGACCCTGGTAACTACGCCACAGATGCCGCAGCGGGAGCATCGTATCGATTCAGACTGCTGTTCATGGTCCTGCTCTCCAACATATTCGCCATCTTCTTGCAAGCGCTCTCCATCAAGGTCAGTACCATCACGGGCTTGAACCTAGCGGAGATGAACAAGAAACACTGCCCACCATGGCTCARCTACATCCTCTACTTCTTCGGAGAGGCCGCAGTGATAGCGACCGATATCGCAGAAGTCATTGGATTCGCGATTGCACTCAATTTGCTGGCCCCAAAGTTACCCATCGTGGCTGGCTGCGCAATCTCAATCTTGGATGTAATGTTCATCCTGATCTTCTACCGACCGGAAGGCTCTATGAAAGCACTACGGGTCTTTGAGTGCTTTGTGATGCTCCTGGTTATGGGTGTCGCAGTGTGCTTCTGCTACCAACTTTCCCTGATCGAGGGAACCACAGCAGGCGAAGTGTTCAAAGGCTACCTTCCATCCAAAGCGCTGATCGAAAGTAAAGGGTAAGTCTGATGGATGACATTGCCACGACGTCGTACTTACATGCCATCCAGATTGTACCAGGCTTGTGGTATCCTCGGAGCTACTGTCATGCCCCACTCTCTATATCTAGGCAGCGGTCTCAACCAACCTAGACTCAAGCAATTTGACATTCGCCACAACAACTACACAGAAGCCCGATCGGACGATGAGGATGAGTACGTGGTTGAAAAGTATCGCCCGTCTCTTTCTGCAATCAACAGCTGCATGAAATACTCGATTGTGGAGCTATCACTCTCACTCTTCACTTTTGCCTTGTTCATCAACAGTGCGATCCTTATCGTCTGTGGTGCTTCACTCTACTCTGTAAACGGCGCCGAGGATGCCGACCTCTTTGGAATCTACGACCTGCTCAACACCCAGCTTGGTCATGCGGCAGCAACAGTCTTTGCTGTTGCGTTGCTCCTCTCGGGATGCTCAGCGGGCATTGTCTGCACAATGGCGGGACAAATGATCAGCGAGGGTCAGATCAACTGGAAACTCAAGCCATGGGCCACTCGCTTGCTCACGCGATCCATTTCTATTGTTCCAGCAATCCTGGTGGCAGGCACGATCGGGAAGAGGGGATTGTCAGAGGCCTTGGTCGGATCCCAGGTCGCGTTGAGCGTCATCTTGCCATTCGTGACGGCTCCGCTGATTTACTACACTTGCCGCAACAAGTACATGACGGTGATCACAACAAGCAGCGATGCGGGTGAGACGGGAACACCTGTCAAGATGAGGAATCATTGGATCATAGCTACGCTGGCGATCCTGATCTGGGGCATCATTGTGATTATGAATGTGGCCAACATCATTTTGACTGGACTGGGTGTCAATTGAGAATTCGATCAGCCAGAAGAACGACTGCGGGAGGCGAAGTCGGAGGTAACTTATGGAACAGCCATGAATGATGATATCTCACGCGATGAAGCTCGTTGTTGCGATGCTGGAATTTCGAGCACAGATCGAGAAGGACCAGGTCCGAGTATCGAAACGAGTTTAAGACCCCTTGTGGAGGAATTATTTATGACCGAGATGAACTCCTGAGCTACGTGCTTGGCCTCGATGTGAAACCTATCAACCATGCACGTTTTTCCTGTGTTCCCAGGACGCCTTTAATGATCCACGAGATTCCCTCCCATTCCCAAACGCCGAATTGAATGGCATGGTCACCGCCATGGTGCCTCAGTCCTAGGCTCCTAGGCATCGCCGAGACGACGTCCATGTCCACGGTACGGGCCATTGCGAGGCTGACGCCGACCCGGAGCAGGCTGCTCCATATCACTCATCTCCTCGTCTTCGACATTGCTTTCCTCCTTCACCTTGCTCACGTTGTTGTCAGAGATCTTCGGCAGTGCAATTGCTCTGCTCCGGAACACCACAGCGCTCGACTGGTCGAGGCTCTGAAACAGTGCGGCCGCCAGATCAGGGATGTCGAGGGTGGCCATCTGCATGAAGTCCGGCGACTGGAGGAGCGCCGAGATGTTTGCCTTGATCTTGGGGATGACGACATTCCAGAGCGAAATGTCGTGTGGTGCAGTGTTTGCCTCGATGGCGTAGATTGCGGCGATGAAGTCATTGGAGTTGTTTTTGGGGTCGCAGGTCTCATCGAGCTTACGCGCGGCCGCCTTGCGGAGTGGTTCGAAGTCGTACTTGTCTGCGATGGCGTAGATGGAGATGGCGAATTCTGGTGGCGCCATTTCGCCGCGAGCGGTGTCGTCGTACTGGCCGGTGTAGAGGTACTTGAGGAACGTGCGGAAGACGGATGGGTCGTCCAAGACGTTGATGACCTTCTGGTTGGTGACAGACTCCTGTTTAATATCAGCGGAGTCACAAGTGCGCGCTGCAGATGGAGCGTGGCTTACCACGAAACCGCCGTTGAGCATTTTGCGGAAGACTGGAGACTGCTCATGAAGGAGCATGCGATGGACCTTGAACTCCTCGCCGCCGCACATGAGAGTCAGATCGGAGTAGAGCGGGTTGTCAAAGAAGCTGTGAGTGTCAATAAATACTCGCCTTGGTACTACAAGAGACCGACATACGCTTTGAGGCCCGAGACGAAACCGGGCGCGTTGCTGGTGGACATGCTGATTTCACTTGTGGTTGGTGGAAAGAGAAATGACGATGTTGTTGCTGTGATGCGGAAGTTTGAAGTTGCGAGTTTGGATGTTGTCGATGTTTGGAGAAGGTCGAGCAGATTGTTCTTGTTTCTGGAAAGAGCAACCCGCGTAAACCTTAAATCCAAAGTGAAGTTGAAATTCCCTTCATGTGAAATTGGTACTTGGGAGAGAAGAGGAAGAGGTCTCCTCCAGAACATCACCCATCTGAAATGGTAAGGTTGTTTGCTGGCCACATGCTGAATGAAAAAAATGTGACCATTTTTCGACCCGAAATCCCCACAAGATACCTTGTCTGTCTTCGGAAGCCTGGGACGAAAATGAAGCTTGCAGGGCTTATTCACAGTACAACAATCACTACGCTCGCGGACAGCCCGCGGACAGGTAGCTTCAAGTAGCAAAGTTTGACGCTCTGAACAGACAAACGTGCTTTCAATCAATCTTCTTACAATGACTCTATCGCTGTAGTAGGGAGAACATGGTCCCTAACTCCTTGCATAGCGCGGTAGTCACCAACTCCAACGCTCTTTGGTCGACCCAGTAGAGATACACAATCAGTAAGGTTGGGCTGCTACATGATCCACAGGCGTGAGAGTCCCGATCCTCCTCTAACCACCCAAGGTCACGTTTGTTCTGTCTCCCCTCAGCATCCTCGCAGATACAAACACGGGAACGATGCCAAAAATCGACCTTACAGTCAAACATACTCAATCCCGATCTAATCAAATATCTTTTTCATAGCCTCGCTCCGTGCCTTGAACGCATCCGATGGTGGGTCTCGTATTCCAGGTCCATAAAAGGGTCCCGGACGGGGGACCGCGTTTACACCCAGTGTACGACCAGGGATGGTGAATAATGAGGTGGTCGGCTCATAGCTGTTTTCCGTGTCGATGTTCGTGTTATGTTGGTCGTGCGTGCTGTCAAGACCCCAATGATTCCCTTCGTCTGCATCGTGATCATTGCCAGACCCGTTCCCACCGGGTCCCTGATCGCCCCCATCAAGTGACCGACTCTCCGGATCGTAGATCTTGAGTAAATCAATCACCCATTCTGGATACTCCTGGATGAAATTCTTGAAGGACGGATCGTTGTAAAGCCCGCATGAGCGCTTTGAGACAGCTTCCAGGATCTTGCCTCTCATCCGTGCAGTCTCTTCGGTCGCGTTGACGGTATCCTCCAACTTGATGGCCGCATCGATCAGGTCGTTCGCAGTCCAAGACTCGTTGAATAAGATGTTGAAGAACTGGTCATAAGCGTGGGTCTTCAGGTTTGACACCTGGTAGTTCTAAGGGACATCGGAAGTTGGTTCAGCTCAACTTAGAAAGTGTACACTCAGTGAGAGACTTACGTTTGCAATTTGGAAGACAGTCACGTAGAGCGGCAGTGAGCATGTCAATTCGATGACGCCGTGGTAGAAGAAGTGCAGCATCGTACGCAGAGCGTCAGGATCATCGTCTTTCAAGTCGRGTACAACACCACCATCCTCTCCCTTGCCGGCCTTCTCGCTGAGCAGTTCCTTGAAGACAGGCGAGTGGAGGTGTAAGATAACTCGGTGAGCGCTGAATGATTCTCCTCCTGAGATATGGATGGTGCAATCGCTGTAGAAGTCCTTGACGACGGAGAAGTCACCAGAGACGTAGGTGGATTGAGACATTGTGTGTGGTGCAGACGAAAGCTGGAAGGTGAGAGAGGAAGTATCTCAGGACTGTCAAATTAAATAAATGGTGGATCAAGCTGGCAGCAACAAACGGGGAGCTTGTCATGCAGCAAACATAATCACCTCTGAGCTTCTTTAGCGGCGCGGCGGAGAATATTCTACCACAAGCCGCCTTTGTAGTTCAATACTGTCAGCGGATGGACGTCTCCATTGAGTGACAGCGATCTGTACACACGACGCGCCAGCTGCGGACTTGTTCAAGCGTCTTGTCAGTGCGAAACGTTGGATCCATACTTGCCGCAGATCTCAGATTTCATTCGACGTACCTCTACAGCTCCCTCGCTACGCCCTCACAGTTTGCCCTTTATCTTCTCCCAAGCCGCCACATTCTTCAGGCTCAACTGCCGCTCTTTCTCCACTTGCTCTCGGACTTTCTCTTCCCGTACATGCTCTTCCGCCCAATTTTCAAGCATATCAGTAGTCTCCCGCCACATCTCCCTTTTCAACCGGGAATACACAGACTGCCCACTTGCACCTGGCTGAGCCTTCTTCACCAAATGAAATTCATCGATGAATGCCAAAGTCTCGTCCAGCCCTCCTAGATGATCAACTAGGCCTTCATTCAATGCCTCGAGAGCCTTCACACTACAATTAGTACCATGACCCTCAAACATTGTTGACAATGACCAACCTTGAAAMGATATGCCTCCAGCACCAACTTCCTCAAAGTAGCTCCGCTCAATTTCATTCTAAACACTGCCGTCATCGGTGCCCGTAATGGGGCTCCCAGTTCAACCTCGTTCAAGCATAGGAAACCCTTGTGAGGATTCATAACCCGATAATCGTGCATCATTCCCAACATCAGTCCTCCAGCAAAAGCGTGTCCATTCATCAATGCCACGGTTGGCATCGGGTACACCAGCAAGCGGTGCCATAGTTTATACAGCACATTCGGCATATATGCTCGTGTGAAAGCCGCGTGGTCGAGGTCCATGCCATTAGAGTAAAACTTTGGAATGGAAGATGTGGTTATCACCACGCCAGCAGGATAGMGGTGCTCAAGAATGTCCAAGGCTAGAAGTAGGGCGTTGCAAAGAGACTGGAAGAGAATTAGTCGAGGTGATTAGCTCCGTGGCCTCAAAAGTGTTTCCCCCTGCGGCTTGTAAGTCTGCCTTTGCACAGATCATGACAATCTTGATCTTTCGAAATGATGTTGTCACCTCAACAGCACCCGATCGGAACCCGCAAGGGTCATGATGAGGACTCTGACAAAGCACGTACACTTAGAAGCCTATTATCAGGCCCATTCTCGAAGGTCAGAAGGTAGACCTTCGCCACTGGCTGTGTTGCCACGATTTTACCGTGTCCAGCATCATGTTCGCCGCGAAAGGGAAGCTCAAATAGCACCTGAGATGCTTTGGACGCCATGGCCCGTCGCAGCATACAACGCAGTGTCCAAATGGAGGACAGACACGGCTCCGCGATGTGTCGTTCAGATCACGTCTCTCAGTCTCTTGCACGGCAGACACTGGAGTGTGATTGAGTTAGGATGGAGGATGGAAATCAAACACCCAATGTGGCATTTGTTGTCAAGTCGAGGAGGATGATTAGTCTAGGTAGTGATGTCGGGAGGAGGGCCTCGGCCTGTGCCAGCCGAAACTCTCTCAAAGCGCATGGCCTCCACGTCACGCGATGACCGTCACTATATTGCAACCCTAGAAACGTTCAACGTGCTTGAGAATATAAGGAGAGCATGGCTCCGCTCGTATTTTCTTCCTCATCTACAGTTTCAAAGGTAGGTACTTATTCGATACCACCACCCGCGCCTTCTCCCTTGTCTTTTCCCTGCCGGGGTTGTCCATCTGTGCCTGTCAATAAATGTAAGTCTCGGCATTCCCTTCTCTTCTCTCTCATCATCACGTCGTCAAAACATCTTCGCACTCAAGCGATATCATAGCTTACTGCAGAGCGCCACCGGTCGAGAACGTCCCGCTGCCACACCTTTTTGCAACGAACACCTCGTCTCCGCTATCCTGACTTCGAATGCCCCCCAATAATACACGGAGCTATCTATTGCGCGTAGATGTGTTAAACCATCAGATGTCCTCCCATTATCGAGCAATAGTAATCTCCTTAAGCTGTCGCTGCGGTGTGTCAAATTCATCGTAGCCTTGCTTGCCATACTGTCCCGGATTGCATAGATTCAGGTGGGTTCAAGGGCCTCGCGTGGCGGTCTGTCGTAATATAAGCCGTCAAGGCCGTCATCTCATTTCGTCGACGGAGCTGCTGTCCGACGGGWAATCTCAAGTGGCCAGCCGTTATCGCCGCCCATGCATGCAGACGTGAATTCAGAAGTCGTATCTTCATCGCTGGCAGAACAATTCGATTTCACCCATGCCGCCCAAGCCTTCGCCTTTCTGTTCTCTCCAGGTTTCAAAGGCAGTTACGACATCTTCGTCAGACTGGATGCTGACAAAGTCTTCTTCATCAAGGTACTTGAGCTTGACCAGGACTTGATTTTCTTTTGATGCTCGATCACCGAGTGTAAGATTCGTAGAGCGCTGCAGCTTGGCATCGATCCTGTCTTTCAAAGTCTGGTAGGATATGGTGCTGGAAACGACCAAGGTGAGAGTCTGGGACGCTGAAGGACAATGCACCTTGACCTTTAATTGCGCTGGTGGCGCAGTCGTCTCTGTTGGTGGTGACTGGAAAGACTGCCCTCTCGAGGCGACGGGTGTGACGGTTCGGGAGGGTGGATATGCACCACCCCGGGGCGGACCTGCGTAGCCCGGCTCTATGGGAGAATCCTGATTCGAGTGCTGTCGCTCCCTCAGCCCAGGTGAGTTGGTATGTCCCCTGTTCTGGTAAGACGCGGGCATCTCCGGTACCGGGGGTTGATTTCCATTTCGCAATGACACTCGTTGCCCATTGTGAATGTCTGGGCTGCTGGCGGATCGGTTCCTCGGCCCAGGTATTGCTTGTGCGCTGTGCATCACGCTTCCAGATGGATAAGCTGGCCTTGCAGTAGAGGGCGTCCGTCCAGACGGACCATAGCCGTTAGGGGCTGCGTTCGGCGCCGGGCGAGGCATGGCTGGCGCGGTAAAACGAGTTGCGCCTTGACCATCCTCGTAATAACCATTTTGAGGAATCGGCTGTCGTGGAAATGGGTACATGCCAGAGCTGGCGCTTGTCCGCGACGACATGCTGGACATGGGAGAGTCGCTGACCGTTGGAGAGAAGTAGCTGTCTTGCTGTCCGCCACCACCGGGCGATGGAGCTGCCTGTTGCAATTCCCTTGTTCGGAGTGAGAGGGGCTGCTGCTGCATGCTGCTATGAGGTAATCTTGGTAGTGGCGCCCGTGTCGAGGCCGAAGATCCTTGAACGGCACTCTCGCCTGTGGTGCTCCTAGATCGCAGGGAACTGGAGCTACCGTTTCGACTCTGCGAGAAGCTTCCTCCGCTTGGAAAACCAGGACCAGACCAGCCCGATTGACTACCTGATAGCACAGTGTCAACGTCGTCATCCTCGTCGTCCTCTTCCTCGTCGACGTCGATCTTGTAGGGGTTTTCGAGCGGGCCTTGGTCCTGCATGTAAGCGAACTGTGTTACGCTGGTTCCAGCCCGGCTGTCATCGCTACTTCGAGTGGTAGACAACCGTGGTTCCTCGCGATATCTCCTTCGCTGGGTCTCAATCTGATTGGCCCATTTCTTCAATGCGTCCTCGGTGGTGAAACGGATGATGAAGTTTTCGATGCTTGGGTCGCCCTTCCAAAAGATCTGACAAGTGTATGAGCCTAGAATCGTCCAATAATTAGCTTCGGCTATTCAACATACCCGCTCGCTGCTTCGAATCGCCAAATGAGTCTCCCCAGAGATCGTGTCCATACCTGGTTTTGCCAGAGAAACGAGGTCAGTGACATTTTGCATGAAAATGCGGCCCTTGAGCTGCAATTTCGGTTTGCCCTTTGCGTCGACCAGATTTTTAGAGGTATACTTGTTCTTGGTCTTGTTTAAATCGATGTTCTTGCAGCATAGCAATATGGTTTCGAACAGGTAGACGTGATACTGCGGAGGTGGGTCAGCGCCAGATCAAACCTTTTTAATCCGTTCACAAACTCACCTGGCGTTCTCCGTCTTTGCCGTTGGTGAGGCTTTCACTCTTCAAAACAGTGAATGTACCATATAGCAAGAGTTCACCAAAGACCTCGATGCGATGGCCTTTCCAGTCCTCCACTCTCACTTTCAGTTCTTGCACGGCTTCAACCTTCTCCTCGCGATCGACTGCCTCGTTGGTCCGGGTGAGCACTGACGTAGATGCCTCCATACCATTAAGAAGGTCCTGCTTTCTTCCATCATCCAAGTCGCCCTTTTTGTAGAGCTGATCGAGCAGCAGAGGATACTTGGTAAGTCTCTGAAAAGGTTTCATTAGGAATGAGTGGAGTGCTGTTGGCGATTCGACCATTTGACGCATCTCGCTGCTCCCTCCCGCCTCTCGCAGCTTGGGGAACTCCGCTATGACGGTCTTTTCACATTTCCGTTGGTTGGCGATATATGGCTCGTAGACCTTGAAAGCCTCACAATAAAGGAGAAACAACTTTCCCCAGTTCTGCTCCTCCTCTGGTAAAGCATTGGTCTGCTCGACACGGATCAAGAAGCGGCGTTGGAAGTCTAGCAGAGCATTCAAGTTGAGGAAGATGTCATGGACTGCATCGCCCGGGATGACGCCTTTCTCCTCTACCAGATGCTTAAAGGCCTGCAGGAGTTCGAGATGCTGCACGTACGTCCGCTCTGACTGGACCAGCTCTGATATGATGTGTTGGCGCTGTGTGCGCTTCATGCCTTGTGCCGCTTGTTCAAAGTCGGCGGCTGTTGGACGCACATCCTCGACGATACCGCGCTGCACTAGAATATCCAGCACTCTGTTGACTACCTTTGCAACCTTGACGAAACCCGTTGTGTCGTCGCCGTACAAGTCGGTGATGATGAAGAGATCGTCGTTTGGCATCTTTAAATCCAYTATGCATGCTTGGATGAACTTGAATGTGGCCGCCTTGCCTTTCTTCTCTTCTTTGACTCCTTGCGGAAGGATCAAGGGCTGAGTGGGATGTAGAGCATTGTACAGCAGCATGAGAGGGTAGCCACGACGAAAAGTGCGCCAGAGGAGGGTGACGGGATCGGTATCCTCGTCGGCATCGTCCTCTTCAGCTTCCAATGACTCCCGAAAGCCTTCAACACCCAGCAGACGCTGACGCAGCGCAACACAGATCTGAAACAACGAGCTGCTGGCATCGGCGACCGAGTTCATGATGTTGTCGGTGCGCACGACATCGCCCGGACTAGAGGCCATGCTGGGCACTGGAGGAGGGAAGAGGGTGCTCGTGGCGGTGCCCTGGGTGGCACCGCTGCTACGACTTGACTGCTGCGACTGAATACTGTAGTTGGAGCTCGTGTGGGCCTGCGATGCAACGAGCGGACTCTGGCCTGTGGCATGCGGCGCGCTCATGGCGGGGTCGCGGTGGTCGGGCAGGGCCGGAGCGAGGGATCGCGACGGCGAGGGCAAGTCGTCGTGCGCAGCGCCTCCTGGGCTGAGGAGCGATGCGGTCAAGTTCCGGGCGAAGTGCGGATTTCCATGAGACGCGATCTCCATACTCGCCGGCGTCCTACGCCGCGGGCAACATGGGGATCGGAGAGCAGCGACGGCGACGGGAAATTGGGCGGAGTGTGGTATGGAAAGGGTGGGGTCTGGCGTGTGTTGAGGTCGTCGTYGGGGTGGGCGGACGAGGCAGCGACAATAGGTCGAAGTACAGAGGGGCTTAACTGGGCAGCAACCACTAGTGTTTGTCGGGAAGAGAACCCAGGGTCCGTCCGTGTCGTTGCCGCTTGATGGGCTGCTTTTCTTGTTAGGCGTGTCTCAGATGCGTGAGGCGCAATGCAGCACGAGTCGTGGAGCACAATAAGGTCGTGATTGACTGCTGCTGCTACTGGACGCCTGCGGTGTGGGTTCTGGCTATGAGGACGTGTGGTGGTTATGCAGGTGGCTCTATGAATCGGGGTCGCATGCCGGTGCGTCTGCAAGCCAGATCTTCTTTGTTGCTTTGGAGCGACCTGCAGCAGCCGAAGCGGAAGTAGACCTCGCGCAGCACAGTACAATGTACTCCTACATCACGCATGGCCCCGGCGCGTGGACATGAAACAGTAGGCGAGCAGCATGGGGCATACAAGGGAGGAGAGGGAAGGAATTGTGGATGTTGTCAACGCCACATGATACTGTAGACCGCGACGGYCAGCGAGTGAGTTCCCTCTGTTCGTACCATCCCAGTGATCCGCTTGACCCAAACACGACAGGTCGTGTCATTGTTTCGACACGCTTCTGCTCGGTACAAAGAAATCAGGCGATCGGAAATGTCAAACTGTGCATTTCGCCTACAAGGGCCATCCATGTAATCCAAATGCACATCGGCACCATCGTACCTGGAACCGCATGCAGGAGAGGGGAACTGTAGCGGGTGTGAAGAACACCAACCTCCTTGGGACACTTTTCAGGTAATTGCCAATGTGATTGCGATTTGTGACGAGATGAATGGAGGGGCCGAGGGGACGGAAGCTAAGGGCGCGGGAGTAGCCTAGTGGATCAGCTCTATTCCACTTTAGCTCAGAAAGGGCAACACACATCGATGACATATTCCCTGCATGCACCAACAACATCTGCGAAAGCGCATACACCATTCGAACTTCGGAGCGTGAGCAAATGACACCTGCAGCTGGCTGCGCATACACCACCACCATCTTTGCATCTCTATAGTGCACTACCACGTGCGAAAATCTCCACCGTTTCTGCCGCCGCCGCCGTCGCCGATCAACAACGGCCCACGCGACGCTCCCCACTGCACCGCGCCCGATCCGGCCAGAACATCTTGCGCACCCATCACCTGCACAGCGCATCCACCAAAGCGCACGGCGCTGCCGACCGACGACTCACCGCCTCCGCCATGGAGCGCTCGCCGCAGTTTGACGAGGGATACCACGGCGACACCACTAGCCAGCCGGGCAGCGATATGGGCACCATAACTCCACTCCCAAATGCGAACGCTGACCTCAAGGTCGCCGTTCTGCAGCTTTCCGCTAATGCGCGCCGCGGTATGTGTTTCATTCACCTTCATCGCCAGGCCTTCTGATCGCTAACACATGCGCAGAGATGGTCCGCGATCTGTGCGCGAGTCTGCCCAATGCCGTTCGCCTCTCTCTGCTTGACGACATTGGCGCCATGGTCTTTCACGACCCAGTGCCGAAGCTTCCCAACGAACTCATGCTGCACATCTTTTCCCACCTCTCACCCAAGGACCTGTTGACATCCTCTGCCGTCTCCCGTCCATGGCGTGACCGGACACGGGACGAGCAGCTATGGCGCAACTGCTTCTTCCGCGAAGGATGGGCCGTGGATAGGACGAAGCTGCTGGATCCTGAGGTGATGGCTAAGAGAATGGGGGCAAAGTGTGCCGAACGCTACATGCGTGTAAGGAAGACGGGCATGCCAGAGAGAAAAAACAAGCCTAGTCTGATGCGGAGAGACAGCCGGAAGAGACCGCGAGCAGAGGCATTCAGTGAGAATGAGAGCATGATGGGGCATCCTGGCGGACATCTGGAAGGTTCAAGCGATACGGACGGGCCTATGGAGGGTGTGGTATCTACTGATGCCAGAAGCATGGAGCGCAAGGAGGACGGCGAGGGCGCCGAGGCTGTTAGGAGGTTCTTGGATAATGACGACAGCGAAGACGATACTGCGCTAGACGCTTCGGACCTTCAAATACAGCCTTCGCTCTTCAGCGATGCCCCTGAGCCCAAGCTGAGCTGGTCGTACCTCTACRAGCATCGCAGGAGGCTGGAAAGCAACTGGGACCAAGGCAAGTGCAAGGTGTTTCGCCTTCCGCATCCCGCGTACCCGGAAGACGGTCATGATGAATGCGTCTACACTATTCAGCACCATGGTAATACTCTGGTATCCGGCTCACGCGACAAGACCATTCGAATTTGGGATCTGAATACCTGCCGTCTCAAGCGTACTCTGCATGGCCACGAGGCCAGCGTACTTTGCCTTCAATTCGATCCTCGACCTGGCCAACATCGTGACGTAATAATCAGCGGGGGAAGTGACAACTTGGTCATTGTCTGGAGGTTCTCCGAGGGCAGAATACTCCACAGACTCAAGGCTCACTCCGAGAGCGTGCTCAACCTGCGGTTTGACGATCGCTATCTCATTACCTGCTCCAAGGACAAGTCCATCAAGATTTGGAATCGGCATCCCTTGTTGCCCAACGACCCGCTCATCCCTGCGCGTGTACTGCCCATGTTCGTGCATACGTTCGATGCGGACAAGATGCTGTCATCATACACGCTTCTCGATACTCTGATGGGCCATCAAGCGGCTGTGAATGCCGTACAAATCAACGGAGATGTCATCGTCTCCGCGTCTGGCGACCGCACCATCAAGTCATGGGATCTTCATACCGGCGCGCACAAGAAATCATACAGTGGGCACACCAAAGGCATAGCATGTGTCCAATTTGACGGGCGTCGTATTGTCAGTGGCTCGTCTGACAACTCGGTGCGGATCTTCGACTATCAAACAACGGCGGAGGTAGCCTGTTTAGACGGCCACACCAATCTTGTGCGTACCGTGCAAGCCCGCTTCGGTGATATGGACATCACCACGGATGAAGAGCTTCTGGAAYAGTCCCAAGAGGCGGACAGGAACTTCATGAAAACCCTTGATAGAGACGGAGAACATTCACGAGCTCCGGCCCGCAGGCAGCAGCGAAATGCCGGGTCTAGTCGGCCTGAGGACATGTCCAGCTTCGGAACGAAGGTGCCGCCCGGCGGCGGAGGTAGCAAGTGGGGCAGAATCGTGTCGGGATCCTACGATGAGTCTGTCATCATCTGGAAGCGTGACAAGGATGGGAAGTGGAAGCCGAACCAACGTCTGAACCAATCCGCCGGCCAGTCGGTTGGGCGGTCGGCTCCGCGTTTGCAAACACCTCAGGCCGTAAACAATCCCAATGCGATTCAACAAGCCCAGCAAGCCATTCAGCAAGTCTCGAACACGCTCCTTCAGTCCAATTCCGGTCCTCCCATCCAAGGAAATGCCTTGCAAAACGCGCAAAACGCTGCGATAGTCACGGTGGTCAGCAATCTCAACGCCCAAGTGCAGGCCCTCCAGCACCAGCAGAATATGCACAATGCTCCCACGGCCGCAGCGCAGGCTCATCAACCTCATGCGCTGCCCGCAGCCGGTCCTGCAGCCGGACAGCCTCAAGGTCACCATCATCCTCACCATCACCCTCACCATCACCATCACCACAATCATGCCACGCGCTCGGAGACCAACCGCGTTTTCAAGCTCCAGTTCGATGCTCGGCGCATCATCTCCTGCAGCCAGAACAAGATTGTGGTTGGATGGGATTTTGCGAATGGGGATCCAGATCTGGAATGGGTCGGTGATTGGAGCCAGGAGACAGCTTGAATAGGGGTTTCAAGTCAAACCCGCGTTGGGAAAGAGATCATGGCCACACGGTGCGATGAGGCTGGATCCAGTGCTTCGCACCTAGGTACTTTTGCGGCATTCTAGGGTCTCGAGCAGCTCATACTAGGTGAGTTTCGAGCGTGCGGTGTTCCTGTAAGCATGTGAAACACATCCTGGATGAATCAAGATACCATTACTATGCTCCATTTGTCCTGTATCTCAATGACACTTGAATTACTACTCTGCTGTTCTGGCACTCGCTGTATCGGCACGGCAATGGTCGTCTGCGATGAAAGCACCGAGTTTGCTGCTGGGTAGTCAGTGGCTGTAATTGTATATCTGAAGTTGTGAGATCAATCCCGTGCCTTGCGGCGTTGGCGAAGCTCTCTCCAGACATCGGCGCGGGAGCTTGAGCATGGCCCGAATTCGGCGAACAGAAGGATTTATCGAATCTCGGCGACTTACCGTATCGTTTTCTCAACAGACAACAGGACGGGTAACTATCACAACTTCGCCATCTGCACCAGGCAGCGAGCAATACTGAACGATCGGATCACCCAGCCGATGTGTAAGTGTTGAATCGTTCCTGCGATGCGCAAGTAACTTAGCTGAAATTCTTCCCAGTGAAACACTAGGTAGGTTGAATGCCAACAACCAGGATCGGAGAGAAATACAGCAGCTAGAGAGAAAAGAGCCACGACGACCCAGACATAGAGACAAACATGTCCAAAATGGATTTTACGAACATGTCCCGTCAAGAGATTCTTGATCTCGCAATCCCAAYACCAGGATACGCAGAAGTGAGTTCAGCATGTTAAAACGCCTCTTTCAACCTCACGCGAACTTTTCTGACCTCGAATTTCTCTCCAATAGATGCTCAAGCTCTGGCCTCCGATGCGAATGAACTGGGACGACCTCCATGGCGCAGCAGCAAAAGTCCGGGTCCTCACAGAAATGGCCGACGAGGATGATGAGGAAGATCCTCTTGTCCGAGAAGAATTCCTCAAAGCACCAGCCCGAGATGGATATGAACTTGAAATGCGAGTCTTTCGCTCCAAAAAGCCATCAGAAACTCCAGGACCTCTGGTTATTCTTTGGCACGGCGGGGGTTGGTGTATCGGTAGTCCGACCATGGTGGCTAACATGTCTCGAGATCTGGTCAAAACATTTGGAGCAGTGGTTGTAGCTCCGAGATATCGTCTCGCACCCGAGAATCCCTGGCCGACGAGCACGAACGATGCTTGGGATGGATTTCTCTGGATCTCGAAACATGCCAAGGACATCTTGCGGGCTGATCCTGCGAAAGGATTCATCATAGGCGGCGTCTCTGCGGGAGCGAGCATGGCCATATCTTTTGCACATCTGGCTCGGGATCTAAACCACGAGCCGCGGATCACCGGTGTCTTTTCGAATTGTGGTTCCGCGCGACCGGCAGATCCGAAGATGTTGGAGGAGAAGTATGCTTCGAGATATCTGAGTCGAACACAACCCGATTGCGTCAACAATCCCGTTCTATCCAAGGAGATGACGGATTGGATGACGGCTTGCTGTAAGCCGGACACAAAGGACAAAATCTACTCTTCAATGTTGTGGCCTGGCGAGCAAGGACGGAAAGGGCTTCCGAGAGTTTATCAGCAATTGTGTGGAAGAGACACGAATCGAGATGAAGGGTTGATCTGGGATGACATGTTGAAAAATGATGGCGTGGAAACACGATTGGACATGTATGTGGGATTGCCGCATTGTTTCTGGTTGGCTTTGGCGCATTTGCCAGAATTCGGGCAGTGGAGAGAGGATACCACGGAAGGATTTCGATGGCTACTAAGGTAAATGCGTACATTTGTTGTCTTCTTATCTTGCGGCAAAGCACTGGCTTTCACGCCTGACAAGGGCCGTCAAAGGCTGTCCCCTCGTTCAACACCGCAGTAGTTGTGTCATTGAGACCGAGTTGTACCAAGGTCTTCGCCTCCGGACTGTAGGTAGGCCATCCATACTTGACAAGACCTTGAACCGGATCCTTTGCAAATGTAGCCCAGGCAGTCTGGTAGTACTTCAACGTTGCAACCTCTGCAGCGGTGTCTGGACCACGCAGATCAGAAGTTCCAAAGATCATCGGAATATCGCTCGAATGGTAGGCACCCAGCCAGCTCAATGGATTGAGGTTTGGCCATACTCCAAAATATCGCACCCGCCAGACAGGTACACCGTAATTAGTTCGCGCGGCGCTCGCTACCGCCCCTGGACAGGTTGCGAGGCTCAACGTGATGCTATCTGCTACGGTCTGGTTGACACCAGCCTCATTGTACTTGGCAAGTGATGCTCCCTCGTTGTCGACTGAAGAATATATCGTGGGTATACGAGCGAACAAGCCACGTGCTTGCAGATCGGTATAGTTGGAGAATCGAGTCTGGTTATCCGCAAGGGTTGTGAAGGAGAGTGGCTTCCCTCCATTTAGTGTGGCGTTGTACTTGTTGTAGACCTCGATCAAAGCCTTTGCGCTGATGTTTTGCATGCACTCGAACTCTTCGTTCTTGTCCATGACATCGCCACACCCGAGAGAAGAGGCAATGTATGTGAAGTTACTGCCAGAGTCGTAGACACCGCCATTCCCGACAGCAGCATTCGCCACCCCTGATTGAGCGATGAAGCCGGCAACGAGCGGATCAWCCGGGTAGGCGTAGTTGTAAAAGTCCACACTTTGGCCGCCGGCGCTCTGTCCGAACAGAGTCATAAGCTCTGGATTTCCACCAAAGGCGTAGATATTCTGATAAGTCCACTCTACAGCCTTACGTTGGTCCATCAATCCGGGGTTCAAATTCCTCCCGTCGAGTGCGGCAGCACCAGGATAGCCGAATATGTTCAATCGATAGCTTCGCCATGGTCAGTCTTAGTCGAGCATTGTCGTGCAGGAAACGAACTTCATGGCCACAACGATAACATCCTGATCAGACGCAAGACGATCGCCGTATTTATACGGACTTGCCGAACCTCCGCTTGTGTGGCCCCCGCCATGTATCCATATCATGACCGCCTTATTGTCGCCTTGCCGTGTGCCCTTTGGCGCCCACACGTTGAGGGTCAGGCAGTCTAGAAGTCTGCATCAGATCAAGTGGCTTCCACGACTGGCTGGCCTTGACATACCTTCATCTTGCGTCTGACCTGGAGACAGAAGAAAGCCTTCCAAATATTCCGAGTAAACAGTCGGGTTGCCACTGCTGTACTGCACGCAAGATGGCCCAAACCACGTCCCGTTGATGACATGATGCGGATCTGGGGTTTTTGTGACGGGCGGTCTGAAGCGCAGAGTTCCAACAGGTGGCTCAGCGTATGGTATATTTCCAAAAAAATTCACATTGGAATCGTTTGGCCAGGAAGTTCCACGGACAGCGAAAACATCGTTGCGGACTAGCGGGCCATCATAAAAGCTTGAGACGGGCGATGCCGAAGTGAGTTGGCTCGTAGCAGCGGCCAATGCCAAACTGCCAAAAGATGACTTCATGTCTGCTCAGACAGGGAGATGAAGACTCTGGAAGTCCTTCACAGCGGGTCGTCGAATTAGCTTTATGTATTCGGAGCAGTTGGATATCAAGCCTGTGCGATCGTCATTTGGGCACTGGCTGGAAGAAGACTCTTCCATGATCGACGCGCGAGCGTTCACGCGGTCAGTTATGTACATGGCATTGCCGCAGATGGCTTCCCCAGACCGACTCCACATTTCGGTTGTCGTTTGGGGCCTTCTCTCCCGAGAATGAACCGCGATCTGCTGACCTGTGGGTTGTGATCTGGGGCGTCAGGCATGCTGCCCCTGTACACAAAGACATTTCTCGGGTACGCTGATAGAGCCCGGTCTACCACGAATGCGGCAAGTTCGTGGCATGGTGTCAGAGATCTCTGCAACCGCAAGGTAGCTCTACGTGTCGGAGGAGAATGCTCGATCTGAAAGATTACAGCTTAGCAGAGCCCTCGGCCGGCCCATTCGAGAGCTGCATACGAACAGTGTCGGTCGGCCCATATTATCCCGATGCATGATGGAGCTTTAGAGGGCGCCATTTCAAGCGCTACGCTGCTGTGGAAATCTTGATCACCAGATTACAAGCCACTGCCCTCAAACGTGGATCCACACAGCACGCCGACGCTTCATGTCTACCAATGGATTCTTCTCCTTTCCTTCCCATCAGGTCATCACAGCCGATGGCGTAGATGTCATGGAACCAATCTGGGTTCGCGGCCATTCCAGCCAAGGCACGTAATCAATAGGCAGCTCTGATCGGACCGCGTTCAAGATCCAGGTGTCCCAGTTCCGGTACCACCAGATATTGGAGCAATGACTGAATAGAGTTGAGAAAAAGGCGATGATGACGAGCGCGAGCGGCTGTCGCTGGGCAAGCAGCTCGCAATAGCCCTCGTGAGCGGTGGCGGCCCAGGTACTTGCCAAGGCAGAGGACTTCTTGTTGCCAGAAGCGAGACGACGATCAGTGATGAAGACTGCTCGTAGTTGATCGACGCATTCCAGATAGATGCCGCGTTCGGTGGACCCTGGCGCTGCTGTCTGCTCCACCAGAGACCTCAGATCATCAGTCTCAACGAGGCTCGTCGAATCTGCCGTGCCACACGGGTGATCTCGTAGCATGGTTCCAATCTCGGAAGATAGCAGTAGTTCCCAGTTCTCATGAATGGTGGACTTTACACCTCTCACCATCCGCATCCACGTACAAATATCGCCTATCGGGTCCAAGGGCGCATGTATCTGGGCAGTGCCAAGGCTGTGAACGGCCATGAGCCCTCTATGTCGGAGTCGTCAGCAATGTGGCGGTAAGACGTCTACCCACTTACGCCATGAGAAAGACGGGAACGCTCGTCGCCGGCACCGGCGATTCGAGACACTTCCGGAAGGAGCGAAGGCCGCTCTCCAGGTGAGACGCAGATTGGACGAGAAGTTCTTCCCGCTCGGCATCGATGACACTCACTTTGTGTATGGCCGCCACTGCGAGGATGCCACGAAGGAGAAAGTGATGYCGGAAGCCCAGTTCAACCACCACATTCTGCCACAAATACTGCAAGTTTGGCGCGGCCATCGAGGCAGACGTATTGAACAGATAAAAATGCAACAGCTTGAGTTCGTTGATGGAAAGCTCCGGCTGTGCTTTGCTTCGCACGATGCCAGCTGAAAACGAAGGGCCGGGCGAGGCCGCCGAGAAGGGCGGAATCGCCGCAGCAGGAGATTGTGGCAGAGATTGACAGCGAGAAAGAGAAAGCGGTGGTGCTGCGTTCGAATCCGATCCATCTGGCCAGGTGCACTCGATATCCAGACGCGTACAGTGGTCGCATCGAGGCCGTGTTTCGGAGCATTTTACGTGCCGTCGCTTGCAGCACACGCAACCCCGACGCGACTTGTGATGCGCTTTCCGTACCATTTCCGGCATTCGTGGTGAGACATTGTTGTCGATTGCTAAGGAAGGATAGGTGAGAAACATTTAAGCGAGATCGTCTTAATCAGCCGTGTACCTTAGGTAAGGTACATGTACCTTACATGGGTGTTGTGGAGAAGGAGATAGTCCACGTCGTCCACAGCTGTTATTCCACCGCGGGAAGCCCATCTCAATCGCCTTCACGTACCTGACCTGCAATTCTCCAACATCTCAATTCGTGGGCGCTCTTGTTACTGTTGGGCCACATTCCGTCAAGTTGCAAGCAGTGAGTGGCGAAGAGGTGAGGTTTTGCAGTCCACGCGAATCGAAGTGAAGTTCTGCCACTTCCATCACCTTTCACTTTCATCCTCAAGAAACWTCACAACATCAACACGCCCGCGCCCTTTGCCGTTATCTCGCCTMCACGGCCGAACATCGCAATGGCGAAGTTTAGAAGCATCAACAGTAGTCAGATCATCCGGAGCGACGTGCCCCATCAGTCATCTTCAAGCAGCACCCCGGCCCCGACACCTCGCGTCGGCGGAGGTTTGGGAAAAGGAAAGAGTAATCCTATTCCGCGTCCCAGCGGCGGCAAAGGACTCGGCCACAAGACGCTGCGGCGACACCGGTGAGCTCAACTGCCATTCTGTGTCTTGCACGACTGATTTCGGACATCTCAGCAAAATCATTCGCGACAACATCTTGGGAGTCACCAAGGGCGACATTCGCAGACTTGCCCGGCGCGGAGGAGTGAAGCGCATCAGTGGGGGCATCTACGGTGACATTCGCACGGTGTTGCGCCAGAGATTGGAAGTTGTGGGTCGCTACTACGTTCCAGCCTTTGGCAGAATGCAAGCTAACCTTCTAGTAGCTGCTCAAGGACATCACTGCCGTAGTTGAGGTCAGTGGCAGAAAGACGGTTTGTTGCTCAGACGTTGTATTCGTACGTCAATTCCAAATTTCAGAGGTTAAAACGGTTGCTAACTTACCGCATCTAGGTATTGAATAGATTGGGAACGCCGATTTACGTGAGTGATTGACCACTTTACTCTCTACCCTCATGGAGTCGACTGCTAACTCTATAAATTAGGGATTCGGTGACAACAGCCGGTGATCATCAGGTTCCGGATGACGATTGCTGTATCATAGGCCATGAGCCTGTGTCTGTTCCAGTTGGAAGCACAAGTTTGCTTGATACCCACACGCATTGACGATGATTACTGCGTATTACGAGAGGTGATACTACACCATTGAAAGAAGGTGCTGAAGACATCAACACTTTCAATTCGGTGTCTAAGGAGGAGGGCTGTAATCATTCAATCCACTCATGCTTTGACAAGAAGATTGGACATCTAAAACCTCTCATTCCTCTCGAGAATCCTTCAAAGTAAAAGGTCTGCCTACTTCTCACTTTAATACTTTGGCTCCTCGTACCCATCATGCTCGTTGGCATTGCTACGAGACATCCTCCCAGCGGAAGTCCTTAGCAAGCCTTTCTTGGCATCAACAATCGGACTCGCATATTCCACCTTCCCAGTGTCCTTGTTCCTGATCTTGTATGTAGTCGTGGCGAGGCCACTGGGGTGAGAGTTTCCGTAGATGGTCTCCCAGCTGCCCGCTGGAACATCGTACGTCTCATGGAAAATCGACATGTACGGGTGATCTTTCAAAGTCTTGTTCCACCACTCCCATCCCTTCCTGTGATACTCGCCGTGTGCAAAAGCCTGGAGACCTTCCACATTTCTGAAGTAGCACACTGATTGCGTCTCGGCAGAGGTGTGCCGGGCAGAAGCATTCAACCAGGAGGTCATACCCAGAAACCCGAACTCATCGGCATGTCTATCCAAATCTTTGGACATTTGTTCGAAGTATCCTCCGAGTTCCTTGAAACCTGGCCCAAAAGCTCCGAGGGGATGGTTGGTTCGTGCACCAATGAGGAAGACGGTGATGGCGGAACTGGCTGGTTTGGATCCGAACTTGCCGTTCTCGTCTGGTATTTGCGCGGAAACTTTTTGTGTGATGACATGCTTCATGTACTTGTTTTCTTTGAAGCCAACCACCATTGCGTAGGTGTCCAGAGTTCGGTAGAGTAGCAATGCTACCGCGGGAACGAGGGCAAGCCGACCGATGGCCAGCAACAGGCTACCTTGTACCACAGCTCCCATGCACAGCCATGTGGAGATGGTGAATTGGTCTCGGAGGAACTGTGCGTGAGTTAGAGATGACAGTGTAGGACAAATTTGGTAAATGGTCCACCAACAGTTGCGCCACGTGCAGGTCCGAAATAATCAGATCGAGGTCGGGTTTCCCTAGGAGGGAACAAGGGGAGCATCTCCTGCTCTTTCGACGCCATCTTTGCAGTCTGGCTTGATTGATGATGTTGTGAAGCAGAGTTCAAGGGAGAGTAATGCGGAGAAGCAATGATGTATGCTTGAAATGGTAGCAGGTGACAATGCGTTGCCTTGGAATAAACACGGAGGAAGAGGCTTCTTATACCATAGCAGATACAACTACATAGTGGAGTACTGTTTAGCAAGATTGGTAGTATGTAACAATGCTTACTTCCGTTTTGTGCTCGATTGGGACGCGAATGCGAAGATCCTTCGTCAATCTGAAGTGCTTTCGGCCGTAAGAGATCACTAGTCGCGAAATGATCGAGGTGTACTACAGCCAGATGGTCGGGCTACCTTTCATCATCGACCTCCTGCGCCCAGCGGAGCAATTGTTCCCATGTCGCGTTCAAGTCCACATGCGTGCGTAGGCGGGGTTTGTCTAGGATGATGATGTTGGTGGAGGAGCGAACGGAGGAGAGGACGGAAAGATTCTAGGGCCGCCTTGGCATCGCGGACGTCGAAGGAAGTTGTGGTTGTTTCTTCCACCTCGCCAACGACATCATGCTCCTCACTGCTCGGCCTCTTCCACACTCATGTCCCTCTGCGGATGACCAGCTGCTTACTCCACCTCGCGCACCTTCCTGTTTGGTACCTTCGAGATACCCAAGGTAGTGCTTGGTATGCAATGCCATGGCATCGCCGAGCGCCAAATTGCAATCGTGCTCACCCGTCGGCTACTGACTGGCCCTCCCTTGTTCGCCAAGCAGCTTGATATCGTCGGCGCAGATGCTTGGGTATGGCATTGCCGTTCAGAGTGATAAGTCGCCGCGTCTCTCTTTCGCAATTGCTCCGCGTTTGCTTTCTCTCTTCTCAACCTCCACAGTGGCCGGCCTCGTTACCTTGCAAGCTACAGCATCAATGTGGCGCTTTCTGTCCGTGTGCGCGTGCCTCAGCGCGGTCCAGTCTGTCTTCGCCGAGGACGTCTTGATCAGTGAGAGAAGACTGCAAAAGCGATACATTGACGCTGCGGGCAATTGGAACCAGTGTACGATTGGCCGAAATACGCAAACGATAGAAGCTGACAGTTCACAGCATTCTTCCACATCAATGATGTCCACGCTCATTTGGACCAGTAAGAAAACGAGGGAGAGAAGAAACAGGTGGCTCGAAGGTGTCTCGAGCTACGCTTTATCTCTGTCCACGCCCAAAACGTCTCGACTATCGCTAACCCTTCTACCCCTCGCTTTGTAGGTTTAGATCATCAGGAACTGATTGCTCGGATCCTAGCAGAGGTGAGATTCCCAACATGTACAAGCCACGGCCCTCTGGTTTCAGTGAAACAGGTGCTGTGTGGCACCATGTTATCTTCGTTCGCGTGAGCACTCTAACGCGCTTCTCAGGGTGTTATGGCGGCTACGCGAGAGTTTCGACGGTGATCAACGAGCGAAGGCCTGTCCTTAACAGTAGTCTGTTTTTGAACGCCGGAGACGAATTTCAAGGGACACTTTTCTATAGCTACTACGGAGGCGAGAAGATCGCAGAGACCATCAATCAGCTCGGCTTCGACGGCATGACCCTGGGAAATCATGAATTTGACGGCGGCGATGACATGCTTGGAGCTTTCCTGGTGAGTTCTACACGAGTGAATTTGCCATTGTCGCTAAACAAATATCGATTCTCAGGAGAACCTCACGTTCCCCATCATCTCTGCCAACATCCAGTCCGATCACCCAACCCTTAACAAGACGATTGTCCCATTCCACATCTACCCGCAATTCAGCCTTGCAGTTATTGGTGTGACAACTATAGACGTTCCTAACATATCGTGCGGCTGATTCCACCCCATGCATCTGAGAAGCTTACTGACACGTTGCAAATAGATCTCCTGGCGAGGGAACCATCTTCAAGGATGTAGTCGAGAGCGTGCAAAGCACCATCGWTCTCATTCGAGGAACGACGAACATCACGCGGATTGCCGCCCTAACCCATATCGGATATGACCAGGWTCAGATTCTGGCGCAGAGTACCACCGGCCTCCATCTCATCATGGGTGGTCACAGTCATACTCTTTTGGGCGACATGGAAGGCGCAGAGGGCGACTACCMGACCATTGTGCGCAATCAGGATGATGAAGAAGTGTTCGTTGTGACAGCTTACCGTGAGTGGAACAATAGACTTGATTGTAGACCGCAAACTGATATTTGATACAGGTTGGGGCGAATATCTTGGGTAGGCCGAATGTTTTTGAATATCCAATGAAGTGACTGCACGCTAACAAATCAGGTACATCGATGTCACCTACGACAGTGAGGGTCGGATTCTAGAATATAGAGGCGCACCGATCCACCTTACCAACACCACCAAGCAAAATACAACGCTTCAGGACCAGATTGAGGAGTGGCGCGTTCCCTTCGAGGCATTTGCCGCAGAAGTGATCGGACAGTCTGAGGTGGCTCTCGACCAAAGCGATTGCCAGGAGCAAGAGTGCCTGTTAGGCGATTTCATGGCAGACGCAATGCTTGCCTATCGTCGGAACAGCAGCGACGATGTCGACTTCGCTTTGATCAATGCTGGCGGCATTCGCGCAACCATTGATGAAGGAGACATTACTCGCGGTGAGGTTCTCACCTCCTTTCCCTTCGGCAACTCCCTTGTCGAGATTACGCTCAATGGATMATACCTGTGGAGTGTACTCGAGGGCATCATGACCGGCGTAAACCAGGTCAACGGCGACGAAGTCACCTCTTTCCTTCAGGTTAGCCAGGGAATCCAGATCGAATACAACCCCGAGAATAGCAATGGAAGCAAACTGGTCTCGGTCACAATCGGCAACTCGAGCATTGATAATGCTACAGACTACAACGTTGTGACTCTAGACTTTATTGCGGGTGGCGGAGACAACTTCTTTTCGGAGGTGTTTGAAAACGTGGTGACGCTTGATACCCAAKATCAGGTTCTCGTCCAGTATGTGGAAGCCCAGAGTCCTGTCAACGTTGAGCTCGATGGCCGCATTGCCATTGTCAACGGATCTGCGAATACCACAGCCGGGAGTGATGAAAATGAGACCGAGGATGAGAGCAACAATGAGGAGAGCCCAACTTCAGCACCTGCAGAAGGTTCWGGTGCTGGTAAGGGACTAGGAGGCCTCGGCGGCTTGTTTGCCGCTGTTTTTGCTGGCATCGCCATCGTGTACCTTCACTAGAGACCACTTCACTGTGGTTGTAGAACTAAACAATTCTGATCCGGGGACTGCCTCATCCAGAAGATTGAGTGGAATCTACCGAATCTTATCGACGGCCTTCGTATCTTGCTCTCGATTGGATCAGTCTGGACCGTTGCAAAGCTTTTTGTCTCTACGCCGCTCATACCACTTTAATGCGTCGAGACGCCGGAAGTGAGAGAGCTTCAATGCGAGAATATGCTGCACAAGCATGCTGGACCGTGACCAAGCTTTGTTTGCGGCGATCGAGGCTTATGAGAGATCGAAAGCGATCTCTCAGTCGCTGCTATCCACTATTAGCCATGGTGTCGCTGCTTCAGAAGTTCCAGGCAACGATGTGACAGTTGTAAGGACGGCTCCGCCAGCGGGCTAGTGACTCCAAATGCCACTTTACTAACCAAAAAAGGTCAACGTCCCTCACGTCAAGTCAACCTTTTCACCTCCCAAAGTGAGAGATCTCGATCTAAACTTGTCTTGGTGGAGCTTCATGCTGCTTGAAGATCCAACGTTCAAAGGTGCTTTCTCGGCGATTATGTCACTTTTCTCCAACTTCACTCTYAGAAACCTCACACCAAGTGTTGATTGCTCAATGATGCATCCGAAGGCCCACTGTACTCTTTGAACATTGCATGATGAAGTCTCCGGATTTCAATTGTGGATGCGAAATTTCAGCTTGGGGTGTGGGTGCCGATGAWGATCGAGCATCACATCACATCATAGCGAAATATGTCGCTACATATGGTGAGCTTCTCGTGCTATTATTTTGTCCATTAACTGCCTTTTAATTTTGCAGATCGTTTCATACTTTTACTGGATCAAGACTCTGCTCCCGGACCGCTCTATCTGGTGGGACTTACTCCAAGATGCCTGGCATTCTGTCCCATACCGGGCTTCTCGGAGGCAAAATTTCAGGGGCGAGTTTGCAGAGTGGCGTGTGTGTCACTGCTGCTTCTGGCTTCCTGCTCTTTGGATATGACCAAGGCGTCATGAGCGGCATTATAACTGAGCCCAGATTCCTCCAGCAGTTCCCACAGATGGATCCTCAGAACAAGTCTGGTGCTATCCAGGCATTGGTTGTTGCAATCTACGAGATTGGCTGTCTGCTGGGAAGCGGACTGATCATTTTTGTTGGCGACAAGCTTGGAAGGCGCAAGTCGGTGTTGATTGGCACCTTGATCATGCTGGTTGGAACGGCGTTGCAGGCGACTGCTTCTACACTTGGACATATGATTGTTGGAAGAATCGTCACGGGCTTTGGGTACGTTGGATGATCGGGCCCCGGAATCTTGCTTGGCTTACAATACTGACCAATTTGCTCTTTGATACAGAAACGGAATGAATACTAGTAGTATACCAGTATGGCAGTCTGAGATGGCTCCACCCAAGATCCGTGGGTTCTTGGTTCTTTTCGAAGGCGCCCTGATCACTGGCGGCATCATGGTAAGCAAAACGAATCATGCAATACACACTTATTGCCTTGGACCTCCCTGATGATCAACGCATGTTGAATGCCACAATGCACCCGAGCTTTTCGATTTACCCACGATGTCTTGGGCACGTACTGACTTCTTCCCCCTACTCCTAGATCTCGTACTGGATCAACTACGGCTTCTGGTTCGTAGATCAAAGCTCATTCCAATGGCGTTTCCCAATCGCCTTCCAGGCCGTCTTCGGTATCATGCTCATCATTGGAGTTCTCCTCTACCCCGAAAGCCCTCGTTGGCTAATCAAGCATGGAAATCCCGATGCCGCCAGAGAGATTCTTGCTGTCTTGGAAGACAAGTCCCCCGAAGACCTTGTAATCATCGCAGACGTCGAGGAGATGGACCGCGTAAACAAGATTGTTTCTGCAAACAAGCTTACCCCGAAAGAACTCTTTAGCAACGGCAAAGAGATGAATCTTTGGCGTCTGAGCGTCGCGTGTCTCTCCCAGGCCTTTCAACAGCTGGGTGGATTGAATCTGGTCACCTGTAAGTGACGGTATCTTTGCCCAACCATTTGGCCATTGCTAACCCTCCCAAAGACTATGCCACAACCGTTTTCGAGGGGAGTCTACAGTTCGACGCTGAGCTCTCTCGACTTATGACTGGCTTCCTAGGAACAGAATTCTTTCTGGCAGCTCTAGTTGCCCTCTTCGTGGTCGATCGACTGGGGAGGCGAGTCCTGATGCTGTGGGGTGCCATTGGCATGGGAGTCTGCCTTTTGGTAGTCGGAACCTGTCTGTCACAAGCTACTCCTACGTACAAGGCGCCTGCGTACGTTTACCCAACTTTGAACCTATTGTTTCATGCGCTGACTCATTAATACACGACTATAGGTATATTGCCACAGTGTTTATATTCATCTACAACACATTCTTTGCTATAGGCTGGCTTGGCGTCACGTGGCTCTATCCTGCCGAAGTTACGCCGATCCGCATCCGCGCAGAGGCGAACGGTTTTTCAACATGCTCTAATTGGTTAATTAATTACGCGGTTGTGCAGCTGGCACCGATCATGATCAACAAAATCGCATGGAAGACCTACTTCGTCTTCATGTGCTTCAACTTCTTCCACGTACCCGTTGTGTACTGGTTCTTCCCGGAGACGAATGGCTACAAGCTCGAGGCCATGGATGCCATCTTTGAAAAGGCCCACGAGACCGGCGAGAACCCCGTGTGGACGGAGCGAAGGGTGCGCAAGGGCAAGGACGTACTCGATATTGAGAAGCATGAGAATCACCCTGGAAGTGACAGCGAACCTGAGGGCGGCGTTCGCGGAGCAGAAATTGAAAAGGAGGAGATTAGGGAGGAACATGCTCGCGAGTGAGTGTGCATTCATTCTTTTCGACGAAGATCAACGAATGGAACGCCTGGAAATCGATACAATAACGGCTTACCTAGAACTTTACGACTTGTGACTTCCTTCTGTAATGATGCGTGAAGATTGCATGCCTAGGCTCACGATACAAAAGAAACGCATGTAATGTCAAAAAACCCTAAAAGATCCTAGATTTGAGAGCGAGACAATGAGCACAAGTGATGGAGATACTACTGATACATCCCAGCAGCTCCTTCCATTCCCGACATATCCATCCCCGGAATACCCATATCAAGCATTCCGTACAAGGAAGCATTGCCCGTGTACCAATCTTGCAAGTAAGCCGACATGTCCGGTTCATTGCTCACATTGTTCATCTGAGGGAACGGCGCCAAGCCAAGCGATGCAAGATACTCGTCGAATTCGCCCGTTACCAAGACGTTATCCTCGGAAGGTCCAGGTTGACTCGACTCCTCTGCAAGCTTCGACGCAGTATAGGCTTCGGCAACGCGAAGGAAGACGGAGCACAGATCGTACAGCTTCTGGACTCCACTGGATAGCTGGCACGCGGGATGTAGAGATGCGACGTAGCTTCTCATGAGCTGGAGATCGGCTTGTGAGTTCTGGTAGTGAGTGATCACTTCACAGAACATGATGGTAAAGGGAGTGAGAGGGCAGTTCAGCAAAACCCAATGGCAATAGACCATCCAATTATAAGCGTTCTTGCAGTGGGTGTTCGCAGTGTCCCGTATAGCTTCGAGGAACTTCCTTGCGTAGTGGAGTGAGGGTGAATCCGATGTGGGGGCCGAAGCGTGCAGCACCAACGCCATGGTCCCAAGGTAACTCACCTCATCTCCAATACTCATCAAGCGAGCAATGCTGCCGGAATGTTMCTTGAAATACCGCAGAACTGCCGCGTCGCTCTTGTGTCTTGTATTCCATAGAATTTGCATATTGTCTGCCAGCTCTTGTGCGGCTTGGCTGCGTTGTTCGATTGGTTGCGTAGCGGCAGCGGGACTGTAAAGGCGTTCGCAAATCTCGCCTTGCACCACGGCCGAGTCAATCCAGAAGTCAAGTAAAGGAAGCAAGAGCTGAGGGATCAGCGTGGAAGACGTCGGTTTTGGCAAAGAGATATACRAGTCTTTGAAGCACGGCGCGCGCCCTAGCCTCAACGAGAGCGATCTATCCTGCGTATATCTTTCCCAAGTGTCAGTATGAAATGTGGTAGATGCTCTGAGATACGTACGAAAACCAGAAAAGCAGCATCTTGCTAGTCTTCATCTCCTCGGGATCGTCTATCATGGAAGATAAGCGGTGATACCCAAGCGTTTGACACATCCCTATAGCGGCRGAGGCAAGGGTACTCGCGAGGCTTGGTTTACACATGTTGACCAAGACTATCGACTGTGTGCAAGTTAGCTTTGTTAATATTCCGATGCAGATACATACGCCAGACACGAGTGCCTCTACACTCTCTTTCGAAGGCGGAAGGACCATGGGCAACTCTGTTGCCGTGCGCAGTACCAATGGCTCGAAGACCTGCCTGAATACAGAATAACAAGATCAGTATGGAGATCATGGGTCTAGGATAGAAGAGACACAATAATGGCGTCAAGAAGCAGGCCGCCCCAATATGCTTACGATAAATCATAGTAGTACTTGGCGTGCTCCAGTCTATCTTCCGATCCAGATTCGAGCGCACTGAATTCGCAACACAACCCGAATAGACCAGCATACACCGACAGCCGGCGTGAAGGTATGTCGTTGTGATGTTGCTCATACAATCTGCGACTCTTCTGCGTAAAATCCGAGATGCTCGCAAATGGGAAGGCCCAATTCGCAACACCCGCTCCAGGTTCTATCATACACATTAGCGTCGCATCGAAGCAGCGTTGTATCTTAAACGCACCACCAGCTTTTTGCAAGATGGGCGCAACCTGGGGCCAAGGTGGAGGGACCACATCGATCGGAATCTTGGGCAGCACGGTCGTGTAGCTCATTTCAGCATCGGCATCCAAGCGTCCGACTATGCCTTGCAGCGCCTGGAGCGCTTCGGCAACGCTTTGTTGTACCTTTGCGCTGCTGCCCACAGTTTTCTCGAAGAGCTCTTTGGCTGCACCAAAGTCGGCGTGTGGTCCGGTACCAACATTGTGTGTCAAGTTGCGTAGATGGTCACTGATCTGGCTGCCTCCGTGGGGTGATTCTAATGTCTGTGTTGTTGTTGTTGTTGTGGCTATTGTTGCAGAAGGCTGCTTGGAAAGGTTACGCAAAAGCTGTTCGATGCTGGCTAGTTGACTTTCCATTCGATCAATTTTGTTCTCACTGCATATGTAAGCGACAAGCTGCGGTACCCTAGCAAGTGGAATACGGAGCCATACTACTGCTTTGAGACCATTACCCTAGACTTTTGCTCGGGCCGAGTTACAGTAGTCCTGCATGCTGACAGTCGCGACTAGTTAGTCGAGCCATCTTGCAAGAATGGGAAGAGTCGTCTCACAAAGGCTGGCAGCCCGACAATGTGTACATGGTCGCTTGCGGTCGCACCTGAGAGGCGATGGACGGAAGGTCAGCAAAATCTTGAACAAGTCCGGCGCAGACTAAAGCCTGGCGTAGACCAAAGATCATCCTGTAGGCCTGGAGTCGTGCGACAATGTGTTTACCGAATCTTCCTGTGTCTGCATTCATCGCACTAGAACAATGCTTAGCGTGTAAACAAGAGCGGTAGAAGGGACGCGAAGGCGTACGGCTCGTTGACCAGGCGCCGAAGGCAGCCTTTCATCATCGGACACTTGGCTCATTGTTCGGAGCGCCACGGATGGAGGTGGGGATTTCTGCAGCAGTGGCACAGCGCTGTAATGTTCATGAAGTTGTGTCGAGAAATTGGTTAAGCAGTCCGCGGATCCCGGGCTTGGGTCTTTATATTCGTCTCAGTTCTAGGGCCGTCGATCCGCGCGGCGTGCAAAGCATAAATGTCAGTACGTACAACCTTATCCTTGCTAACAAACCTCGTCAGTGGGATCTTTCAGCTGTGGCCACCAATACGACACATGTTGTTGGAGAGGCCAATGTGACTTTGGATGATGGTTCTCAAGACATTTGACCAAGTTTGTTGAGTGCAAGAGAAATGAAACTTTGGTCGTCAGTCTTGTAATTCCAAGCCGACCATAGCCAAACTTTGCTGTAGGTCTGACTTCTAAGCTGCTGATGGCCAACGATTAACCTTGATAGGGAGGATCCAGCTTGGTCTTGCCATCGTAGTAAAAATAGCTGGCGTTTGCGAGATCGATGTCCTTGAAATGGCTTGCCTGCCATTGGGGTCAGCWGGCATAAGGTATTCGTGCTGGAAGCCGAGGCGCATTTACATTCATAGCAAGCAATGGTCTTTGATCTTCGACATCGCTGTYCTTGAAATCGATGAGAATGCTGCTGCTACACTCGGGACAGAAACGATGCGGCTTCCTTTTCTTTCCAAACAGATATGACTTCAGCTTGCTGTCACAACCATTCTCGAAGACAACATCCTCCCTTCTAGGATATACGTTGAAGTAGCCTAGAGGACATGAGTGGATGGCTCAAGGATAGGATGGAAGTTGCCCACCATTCTTCGTGCAAATGGAACAGTTACAGCGTGTGATGATGCCTGTGCCCTCGGGAGCCAAAGCCTCGTTAAGCGCCACCGTATACTTGATGTTGCCGCAATGGCAGCTTCCATCGTACACCTTCATCGCAATTTTTGATGTGGTGGGTAAGAAGAAACAAGTTGCGGCTGAGAATATTGGCATTGGTAACCAATAGGGCGTACGGAGCCATGCCCGGCGCTAGTCATCGCTCGCCTATTGTATTTTGACTTTCATGGACCCACCAAAAAAAGATGCGAAGAGACAAGGGCAGAATTGCCCCATCACCGGCACAACCCACATTCAACTTCCCAAGATGGGTCGCGCAGCCTCGCCAGCGCTCTCGGAGAACGAGTTCGACATCTCCCGATCACTGTTTGGCGGCGAAGATGGCGACTTCACCAGCGATTCCGAAGCCGAGCAGATTTCCGTGCAAAAGACCCAGAATCTGCCCGCAGTCGATTTGGCCGGCAGTGACGATGAGGACGAAGCGTTCATCACTGCGGCGCAGGCAGCCGTGAACCGCAAAGGCGATGGGAAAGGGAAGAAGTCGGGCGCTTTCCAGTCCATGGGCCTCAACACCCACCTCCTCAAGGCCATTACACGAAAAGGCTTCTCCGTACCAACACCGATTCAGCGCAAGACAATCCCCTTGATTTTGGATGGACAGGATGTGGTGGGTATGGCCAGGACGGGTTCAGGAAAGACGGCGGCATTCGTGATTCCCATGATTGAAAAGTTGAAGTCGCATAGTGCCAAGGTCGGCGCGAGAGCAATCGTCTTGTCACCATCGCGAGAATTGGCGTTGCAGACGTTGAAGGTGGTGAAAGAGATGAGCCGGGGATCCGATCTACGCACAACACTGCTGGTGGGAGGAGACAGCTTGGAAGAGCAGTTTAGCAGCATGGCCAGCAATCCGGACATTATCATCGCAACTCCAGGTCGTTTTGAGCATTTGAAGGTGGAAATGGGCTTGGAGCTGTCAAGTGTCAAGTATGTCGTATTCGACGAGGCAGACAGACTGTTTGAGATGGGTTTTGCCGCGCAACTGCTCGAGATCATGCATTCTCTGCCGTCAAACCGACAGACTTTGCTCTTCTCTGCGACTCTACCCAAATCGCTCGTCGAATTTGCCCGGGCCGGTCTTCAAGATCCAAAACTGGTCCGTCTGGATGCCGAGAGTAAGATTGCACCGGGACTGCAGAGCGCCTTCTTCACTGTCAAGCGAGCGGAAAAGGAAGGTGCCCTCCTCCACATCCTTCAAGATATCGTGAAGATGCCTACAGGAGAGACGGTGGCGGCTATCAAGGCTAGGGAGCCCCAAAAGAGAGACAACAAGAAACGAAAGCGAGGAAACGATGATCCGCGGGAGATGCCATCCGAGCACTCCACCGTGATATTCGCTGCGACCAAGCATCACGTCGACTAWCTGGCATCTTTCCTGAAGGCCTACGGATACGCCACCTCGTATGTCTATGGTTCTCTTGACCAGACTGCCCGGAAGATGCAAGTGTTGGACTTTCGTACTGGTATGACCAACATCCTGGTCGTCACGGACGTTGCTGCCCGTGGGTTGGATATCCCTATCCTTGCAAATGTAATCAACTACGACTTCCCATCCCAACCAAAAATCTTTGTCCACCGTGTTGGTCGAACTGCCCGAGCTGGAAAAGAGGGATGGAGTTACAGCCTGGTGACCAACCAGGATATGCCATATCTGCTCGATTTACAACTCTTTCTCGGCCGAAAATTACTTGTCGGCAGAGTGGAGAAGGAGCGAGAAATGTTTCAGAACTCCATTGTGGTCGGCTCTATGCAGCGTGCGAAAATGGAGAGCTTGTGCGAGGAAGCACAAAAGCTGCTAGACGACGATGATGATTTGAGGCTGCAGCGTGACGTCGCCGGCAAGGGAGAGAAACAATACATGAGAACCAGAAATAGCGCGTCCGCGGAGAGTGTGAAACGTGCAAAGGGCATTGCACAAGCGGAGGACTCCACGGGCGTGAATGTGCTCTTCGATGACGGCAAAGATGCAGGACTTGAGGAGCAAAGACTGGACATGCTGGCGCGTGTCAGTGGCTTCAGGCCGGTGGAGACGGTATTTGAGGTCGGCCAAAGAGGAAAGAACAACGAAGCTAGTGAGATGATGAAGAAGCGGAGAGCCAAGATTGAGCCGAAGCATCAAGTTGCGAAGCAGACGCAAGAGGATGAGGCGGACAACGATGCACCCACGCGGAACCCCGACGCCGACGAGGAGATGGATGAGGATTCCGAAGAAGAGCTCATTCTGACCCAACCAAATGGTGGAGCAGATATGGAAGAGGCTTCCGATGATGAGCTGGAACTTACATTCGCCACGCCCGCTGACGAGTCGTTGCCTGGGAAGAAGAAGCGCAAAGGCAATTGGCAAGACTCTGAGCACTTCATGTCTTACACGCCTTCAACGTTGAACCTCGCTGAAGATCGTGGCTACGGTGTTCACTCTGGTGGTACAAATGCCACTCGCGATACAGGCGCCGGTGGTGCGCATTTCCTGGAAGCTGCGAGAGGCGCCACTATGGATCTCACAAATGATGAAAGCAAGAGTTTCCAAGACGCTACGAAAGCCAAGGGGCTGCGATGGGATAAGAAAGCGAAGAAATATGTTGCCCGTGCCAACGACGAGGACGGTTCCAAGGGCGCAAAGATGATTCGCGGAGAGAGCGGACAGAAGATCCCAGCTTCCTTCAAGAGTGGAAGATTTGATGCGTGGCGGAAAGCCAACCGTGTGGAGCGTATGCCTAGGACTGGCGAGCTGGAAAACTCCAGTCAACGTGGAGGCGCGGTTGGGAGAGGCGGGATCATCGGTGGCGGAAAGCGGTATAAGCATAAGCAGGAGTTGGCGCCCAAAGCTGCTGACAAGTACCGCGATGATTATGAGGTTAGGAAGAAAAAGGTTGAGGCTGCGAAGGCGGAGGGTAGGGGTAGATTCGCGAAGGAGGGGAAGAGTGAGTTGAGAGGTGCGGAGGATGTGCGGAAGATTAGGTTGGAGGCGGAGAAGAGGCAGGGGAAGAATGCTAGGCCGCAGCATCGTGGGATCGCAGGTGCGAGTAGAGGGGGTGGCAGGGGTGGTGGACGAGGTGGTGGAGGCGGCGGACGCGGTGGCGGTGGTGGACGAGGTGGAGGCGGAAGAGGTGGCAGAGGCGGTGGAAGAGGTGGCAGATAAAAAGACCTTGATATCTCTGATGATACATGTAACCCGGCTGCTATCGCTCACATCGAAGCAGGACATGGACTTGTCTTTGTTACACCCCTCCGACCTTGTTGGCCTACGCACACATTGGCGTTGAAATTCATGGCCTTTGTGAAAAGACAGAGTGTCGGTATTTGTTCGACTGGGTGTTTGACGAGGGAATGCGTGTTCAATACTACAGCGGTGGCCACAGGAGGGGTTGATATCAACTCCACTCCGGGATGAGAATCTCGCAAGAGGTAAGGGCAAACATGCTCATTATCGATAGTGCAGTGGCCATGTCTTGCTGTATAATGACCAGTCTAATTCGTTCTCAACTCCATGACTTTCATCTATCATATGGGTATCTTCCTCGTTTGCAAGAACGCTGGTGCACTCATGCATTTCATTTCCCGTAAAAATCGCTTTTCCGTCGAGCCACTAGTCGCTCATAGTCCTCAACTTCTCCTGCTCACCGGGCGTAAGCGCGTTGAACACCTCATCGAAACCAGGAGTTTGCGCAGCCTTCCTGAAGAAGTCAAGCAGATAGGCCTGAGTTTCATCATCCCTGCTACGCGACATCCCGGGACCGTCTTCAGCGCCGAGTGCCATGAGCTGAGACTTCGTCATACCCGAGGCCAGATCAAGGAAATCRTCGTCTTCCCATTCGCCCTCATCCTCCTCATCATCGTCATCTAGCTCAGCGGCAGCAGCAGCGTCCAGGTTACGAGCGCTACCTGAGGCCGAGAGAAGCTCATCAACCAAAATCTTGACGATCTTGAGCTGTGCTGAGATGATTGTGTACTGTTCGGGGTTTTGACGCGCTCGAGATCGAGTCATAATGCGGTCTGAAGTGGGAATGATCATGTCTCCCTTGACCTGGATTTCAGCAATGCGAGGGTCATTAAGCTCGAACAATTTGGACAGGGCGACAACACTTGAGTCTACGTTAGCATCAGTCGGTAATGCTCGGCGCAGGTCACTTACTTCTCTCGGATGTCCTCATAGCCGGCAAAATTCACAGAGTTCTCCAACCACTTGCTCATGACGACCTGTAAACCAGACTGCTCACCAACACGTACGTCGGCGAGGAAGCCAACGACTTCTTGTGCGGAGATGAGCGAAAGACGAGCAAAGACGAGAATCAAGCTTTGAATGAATTGGGCCTTGGTTGCAGTGGCGAGTCGAACAGCGACCGCACGGAGAAGCTGCATGAGGTAAGGACCGAGCTTGTCAGAGCCAGCCTTTTCGACGACCTCTGCAGCAAGGCCACCAACCTCTGCAGCACTGTGATCATCAACGGCCGGGTTTAAGAGGCGATCGATAATGACAAGGACCACCTCAAGTCCGCCTTTGCCGTCCTGGTCTTGAAAGCTGAATACCTGCTCGGGATCATGATGAATCAAGTGCCGGATGGCGGCTGTAGACGATTTCAAAAGCTCGTCATCCTGGGAGCCAAGCAAAAGCCTGTTCAGGCGCGGCAACACCGAGACAACAAAACCGGGAGGCATTGGTGTGGTTCCGTTCTCTGCAAGCGCAGACAGCAGCTCCGCCGCAAGGTTCGCCAAGGCATTCTCCTCTGTCAAAGTGGCAACATCAAAGGCGCCCATGAGGGAAGGTAACACCTTTGTCGTCAACTGCGCATACGCCTCGCTGCCAAGTTCAGCAATCGTACTCGAGACATCTTCAAAGGTCTCCGCAACCATAAGTGCGATCTGAAAGTTGGTTGCTCCGCGGCTGGCGACCGTGAAAAGTAGATCAAGCCCACCACCTTGGAGACATGTTCGTACGTCTAGCAGGATGGCGTCACGCAAAGTCTCGATGATGGTGATCAACATATCGTCACTATCGACGAGATCATCGAAATCCTGAGCATTGATAAAGTCTGAAAGAGCGGTGATGATAGCTGGCTGTTTCGCTAGCATAGCGGCTGACGGTAGGGAGGAAAGGTAGTATTGAAGCGTGCGAATGCAGGAGACCTGAACAATCTCCGACGCATCCTGTGAGATTGCTTGTAGAGAAGCCTCCATGAAAGCGGCCGCCACGGATTGGAGAGTGACCCCAGAGGTCCGTATCAGACTGCCAGCGACAAGGTGGCCTCTCGCTCTCAGAAAGACGACGTCCTCTTGCAAGGCGTGCTGGATGAAGTCCACATAGCTTTGCGCAGCCTCTGGGCTAATTTGTTTTTCCACGTCTTGGAAATCACTTAGTAGCTGGTTGAGGAGGTATAGAGCAGCCTCCTTCATCTTCCATCCGGAGCTCTCAGAGTAGAGCGAACGAGTGTATGTGAGCAGGCCTTCAACAGCCGTGGTGTTCAGCCATTCCCCTAGCTTGATGACAAGGTCACCGCAAGCTGATCGCGGAGTGTAATTTGCTGTGACGTTGGTTTCCTCCGATAGAAAGACGTTGCAGTCGATATCCCATAGGCCCTCCTCCTCGACCGTGATCTGAGCGTAGGCCACTGCGATCTTCATAACATCGGTGATCCAGCTCAGCCCTCCGTTGGCGGCTTGGAGCTGCTGTTCCAGCTCCTTGCGTACAGGTGGTGCGCGCAGACACGCTTGCATGAAGTCGAGCTCCTCGAGGACTAAGAAGTCCAAAGTGTACGGCAGTCCGTCCGCATCCTCGAGACGACCCTGCATGTCATCCTCAATGTACATTGCCTGATATTGACCCTGCAGTGTGGAAAGCTCGTGCCATGTTGCGGAGAACAAGGCGGGGCTGTGTGGTGACAGGTTCCCTGGAAACAGCGATCGGATTCGCATCAGTACTTTGACAACCTGCAGCTTGAGTGCAACGTGGCCACGGTAGACCTCTGCGGCAACCAGGTCGCTAGATTCTTGGATCTGGGTAGGTGAGGGCGCCAAAGGTGTCTTGAGGGCGTCAATGAAGAAAGCAATCCAGCTCCCTAGAGTCTCCTCCGCAAAGGCTTTCACGGCTGCTTTATGATCTTCCATGACCATTTCAAGGATGTCGAAACAAGAGCGAAAGACAGACACTGCCAATGCTCGCAAAGTAGCTTTCCTACTCTCGTTTGTCGCGACCTCGAACATCACGCGGACAAGATCCCTGGCAACGCTGAAGAACTGCTCTTCACCAAAACAATCATCCACGAGCTCGTTGAGCACTTTCAGGGCGCCATGTAGCTGTGCATCCACTCCAGTGCTCACCACATTCAGCACGGTAGGCAAGAGCGTTGGCCACTCATCTGGGAAATCTGCAGTAGCAATCTTGCTCACCACGAGACTGGCAGCACTTTTGATCTTCCTCTCGTCGCGATCACTCAATGCCAGATCAAGCAGGCGCTGGCGGATTTGAGCTTTCTTGCCATCATCCGCGTACAGCTGGCCCGCGAATTCGTCAAATTGCGGTGACCAGCACGCCAGGACGAAAGTTTTCAGGTAGAGGAGAGCAGCCTGGCGGATCTCGAGAGGAACCTCGGCGTGCGCACCAACAGAGATCAATCCCAACGGAAAGTCCGAGTTCTGGTCTCGAAGCTGTTTCAACAGCAATTCTGCATTCTTGCGTGTGGTTTCCTGGGGAGACTGTGTCTCGGTAAATAGCTGCACTAGCTGCTCCTCCATGGTCGGAAATGGCTAGTCGCACTCTCGACTCCGCGCGGTGATTATGTGACTCGAGACTGACGGCCGTGAAGTTTGCGAAAAGTGGCTCTGCGGGGAGAGAGCTTGGTGAGGTGGTTTCTTTGATGAGAACAAACAGTGAAAAAAGTTGTCACTGCCGCGGCTGCGACTTCCGGTGCACCGGCTTCTGAAACAACGAATCTACCGAATCCTGTTTGTTGTAGGTCCGTGATGCGGAATAGCTCTGCACTCGAATATTTGCCGTCTGATGAGTAGATGGAGGATCCAAGCAACCTGGCTGGTGGGTGAACATATCTCCTTCCACGGTGGAAAAGTAAAAAGTGGGGCCGATTAGGTCAGATCTGCCGCGACGCGAACCTGACACGCTCGACAACGAAGGAGACAGCAACTTCATCAACAACATCATCGCCTCGATCTGGCGGCAGTGGAATGGCGGACGACGCGCCGACGTTCCGCACGTTCGTCACAGCATTCACAGACTTCCTCACCGTCGCCATTCACACCATTCTGTACGAACGCGGCATCTATCCACAGACGTCCTTCCTGTCCGCAAGAAAGTACAACTTTGCCGTTCGCCAGAATCGCCATCCAAAAGTTTGCGAGTGGATCAACGACGCCATCAATTCGGTGGACACGGAGCTTTTGAAAGGGTCCGTCGACAGAATAGCCGTTGTCATCTACAGCAAGCAGAACAAACCGCTAGAGCGCTTTGTATTCGAGGTCTCCCGCTTCCCAGCAGTCGCGGCTTCGGATGTGGATGTCATCCTCGAGGCTGCAGATGGGTCGCTCCTGCCTATAGTGGATCTTGAGGAGCAGCTCAGAGCGACTATGAGCAAGCTCTCCAATTGCAGCTCGACCCTGGCTCCCCTACCCAAAGGCTGCACTTTTACAATTGCCATTGAACTGAAGGGGGAGGGCAACGCTCCACTCTCGCATCCTCAACCCTGGATGCCAGTGCAGCCTGGTCAAAGAGGACCCGGCCCGCGCCAAGCACACCTGACCACCCCAGTGAGAGCTGTGCACGCAGGCGAGATGATCTTTGAGACATGGATTGAAGAGTTTGGCGGAAAGCAGACTGAACAGAAAGACTCTGCCACGGGCACTGCGGGATGACTTTACTCAGTGGGGAACGTTCGATCTACGGACCAATTTAACCCGTGAATCACGACCGACGACCGAGCTGTCCTGCTACTGGCGTAAGCTTCATGCTCGTTCTCCTGATCTAAAACTGAACCCCTGTGCACAGCGCTCCGTCGACTGTCAAATTCGTTCCTGAGATGAAACTCGCTCTCTCGCTGGAAAGGAAGAGGACCGAGTCGGCGATCTCTTCAGCCTTGCCCATTCTTCCGAATGGATTTGCTGCCATCTGAGTCTTGAAGAACTCTGGCGCCTTCTTCTCAATGTCACCCCACACGCCATCCTCGATGTAAATGTTACCAGGCGAGACAGTGTTTGCTCTCACTCCCTTCGGGGCCAGAGTGCGAGCAAGCTGAGCAGTGTAGTGAATCAAGCCGGCTTTCATGGTGCCATATGGACCAGGAGCGGTAAAATCCACATCCCGACCGCTTACAGAGGAAATGGTAACAATGTTGCCTCTGCTCTTCTCAAGATGTGGGAGGGCGGTCTGAATTAGGTGGTAAGTGCCCATGAGATCAGTCTGGAAAGCTGCCTGCCAATTCTCGGTAGTGTCTTCCATGGAGAGGGAAGAGACGTTCGCAACGACGATGTCAATCCGACTGTTCTCCTTGGCAACAGAGGTTACCCATGCGGCCAGTTTGTCCTGAATAAGTCAGCTACATGCTGGTGCCGAAGCTCTGTCGGAACCATGCATTACCTTGTTTGTTACATCGACCACAACCCCAATTGCTCGTCCCTCGAATTCACCACTGGACAAATTCTCATTCGCTGCTTCGACATCTTTTGCGGTTCTGGAACAAAAGTGGACCGTGGCGCCCTCCTTCAGATACGCTCGCACAATAGCCCGGCCGATGCCTTTTGTTCCTCCTGGTTACCAATCAGCATTGGGTCATCAATGGATGAGTGCGTCACGAACCAGTAACAAGTACGACCTTCTTCTCAAGTGCTAGATGCATCTTTTCCGATCTGAATATTGTTTCGTTCGCTGTGCACTCCCTCGTTTCAAGACGATGGCAAAGTACTATCATGCGGAGAGGTAGAGTAAGCAAGATGTTAAAGCTGAGCTGATGACGTAGCGACATCGCTCGCTGGCCCGCCCAAGTCGATCTCCTACCCTTGGTCGCACCCACACGACAAACCCTGGCGACGAAGTGCATGTGCCTTGCGAGCATGATAATCATTCATCACTATGAATTCTGCCAGAGCGAGGTGTAGAACGAGGCATGTAGCGGCCTTAAATCACAACTAAACTCGATCTGCAGCACACACATGTTCAATTTCTCGCAGAGATCGAAGTGACAACTATTTACGCCCAGAGATGACCTCGAGGGTTTCTCGCTCCAGAGATCAGAATACCATGTTACATTCAAGGCGTTCTTATCAAGGCGCAAAGCTCCACTCCTCCAGCTCTGCGAAGCCTCCTTTCCTTCTCAACATTCGGTCTCAGACGTCTCGTCTCTGCAACTCAGACCATCGAAACAAACGGGGAGGCCATTCAAACTTGTCTGGATAAGTCGGTTCACCCTTCGGACGACAGCTGACATACACAAGGAGACTTTGCAACGACCGCCCCATTCAAATACTCATTGGCGAAGACGCCGTCTGCACCAAAAATCGCTCAGCCCTTCCTCGTCCAGGATTACTGCTCAAAAGGTCCTCTCTCAGTGAATGATTCTCGTCTCGACTTCTCTGGTGGGAGCGGCAGACCGGAACTCCTRGTTTGATGGCTGCATCTGAAGTTTGTGATCCGGGTGTGTAATCGGTCGACCTTACCATACTTCGCTTCTCCATCCTGCGCATCCGCGACAAACACAAAGGCGACGAAAAAGAACAAGCATATCGACCATTCTTTCTCCATCCGACAACCGCTTCGCGAAACTCCGCGCATGCCTCGAATGCCTTGCTCAAGAGGTCTACGACAGCCTTAAGATCGTCAACGCAACTTTTGAAGTCCCGGAACACGATCAGCCTTGAGCCTCTCAGACTTCTCCACAACAACGGCTTCCACAATTGTCGCTTTAGGTGTTCTGAGCAGGGCTCCAGGTAGTGGATCGTCCCAAGCTCCAATATGTTCAAACATCGACTCCCGATCTAGTTTACCTCTTAGGGATCATTTCAATGCTTCGTACATACGGCGTCATGCTGGGCGCTACCATTGCTCTAGCCTCATGATCTCAAAGCATGTATAGCACTTAAATTCCGCATCGGAGATAAATTTGTAGCAGCCATGATGAGTATCACGATAGAACAGGACATCGTCTGTTTTTTGAGCGTCTGAAAGCGCGACTGTCTGCGAGAGATGGTGCCCTGATGCTTTGGCAGAGTTCCAGGCGGTATAGAATACAGATTGAGACTGGAGGTGGCAGCAGCTCTCATAAATAGCTGGATCGACCACGGTCGGCTGATGAGAGTCTTCTCTGGTTTGGAAATCAGCTTACACACTGCCTCTTGGACGGACTAGATGGATACCCCACGAGCAGAATATTCTGCCGGTCTGAACTTTTAAAAGTAAGCCAACATATTTGTATTAGGAGGGCGTTGGCTGATACTCGGATCTGTTGAACTACAAAGGTCGAGAGGATTGATGATTCAATTCCCACGTGATTTTGCTTCGCGCTAACGCATTTTATTTGCATCCTGAAGATTGTCCAGCCTTTTGCTACGGCATGACACGCGTCATTACCTGCTCGTTCCCCAATTGATTGAGATACCACGGTAACACTATATGGTCCTGGTACCTGACGGAGACAGTACCAAACATCCCAACTCCCTCGCAAAGTCATCAGAGCGAACCTTGTGCAATGTCTTTTCGACTGGTACTTTCCCACAAAGGAAGTTCCCTCATCCGAGATTCACTTTTTTCATAATATCATCCAAACTGGTTATTAGCCACTCCGCAATCCAAAAACCTCCAACAAAGCAACCTATCATGTCTTTCACTACTGTTGGCGGCTCTACTGTCCAACATGCAGACTCCATGGCCCTCCAGAGGCTCAAAAATCGCATCGAAGACCTGCCACCGGAGCTCTATGCTAAGATCAAGTCGTTCGTCTTCACAGACGACACTTTTACGCTCGAGAAATCTACAACTTCACCTTTTGAGCCATGCGCTCACAGCCCGCGCTGTGCTGCCAAGATACACCGGGTCGTTCGGATCGATGAAAGTTGGAGGCCGCCACGCTGGATGCAAGTCGATCTAGCAGCATGCGACACCTATGCCGACCAGCTCTTCCACAATGGCACCACCTTCATCTTTCCGAGCATCACGGTGATGCAAAAGTGGATATCTTCCCGGGCCAACTGCGACATCATGCCTCTCCTGAGGCTGAAGATCTACTGTTTAATGCCAAATCTCACGCTTCCTCCGCTCTCTCGGACTCCCACGGGAACTGATGGCAATAATCATAATTCCCGGACTCGAAATCACCATTTCTATGTCGACAGAATAGAAGAAAACTTCGCCTCACAACTTCAAAACTTGCGCCAGCTCGTGGCGCGACATGAATGTCAAGATTGGCTGAACGAATTCCCGCAGACATTTAGACAGCTTCTACGACCAGACGAAGTTAGAAATCGGGCACTAGTGGGCCAGGTAAGATTTATCAAATTGGAGAAGGAGGTGAGTGCTCAAATCAATGTCTCGGCTTTACAGTGTTCTATTGACGCTGGTCCAGATTTTCGAAGCCGCATGTTGCGATATTTGAGGGTTAGGTCAACAATCGTGACCAAGAGACCAGGAATGAAAATTGATACAAAGGTGTCAAAGCGCGACGATTCGCATAGCGAGGTTGGCCATGCTTTCATCTCGTCCCTGAGATTGGTCAGTTCATGAGGCTGTGGGTTTTAATGTAAGCAAATATCGATACAAATGGTCATCTCAAGTTGCGAGCAACCTTATGACAACCATACTGGTTTTTCATATTTCCCGCTACATCTCTGACTTTTTCGTCTTCGCCGTCGAATTATTGACCTACTTTTTCAATAGCGTATTCTCGCAGTACTCAAATGTGCCGTTGTCTAGGGGCGCCTGGGAACCGCCAGCCTTGTTCTTATACACACATGCCGAATCGCGCAATCGTCGAGGACTATGACTTCACACCCCCAATCGAGCTCCAGACGCTCCTCCGTGCACTTACAGCCAATGACATTGGTCTAGTTGTTTCCAACATGGCTCTTGCCAGTGAACGAGAAGTATAGGGACATTGTTTGGGTCTGGCTAGGGGACGCAATGGACTTCATACGGGATTTATGTGTTGCTGGTTCTCCTTGGATCTGTCGTAGGTATCGTGCTTTACAGCAATGTTTAGAATGGTGGCGATCAAGGTGAAGACCGCAAGGAAGATTGTCCGGTATCTCATCATCTTCGGCTTCCGCACGAAAAGAGGAGCTAGGTCTCTAGGACCTTTTTCCATCGACTGCCCAGATCGCAAAGACGGCTATTGCAAATGGCGGACTTGAATCAACCACGCGCATTTGAGCCAGTACAATTTCGATGCTTTAAAGCTAAGTGCGGCCTCGACTGTGCTGCACCCGACATGCAGCGCATGGGACTTGTGGTGTCTGGCAAGTTGATGAGGTACTCGTGTGAAGCCATGGATTGGGTTCGAGGGCATGATGAGTTATGAGTTCATGAGTTATGATTTCATGAGTTATGAGTTATGAGTTCATGAGTTATGAGTTATGAGACAGTTTGACTGAAGACGGCGGAGAAAGACTCGAGGCGAGGTTGCTTTGCAGGGTGCGTGCCCGGAGTTGGAGGCAGGCCTGTCTTGAAYAGATCAGCGAGCTTAGGTGTGGCTCCAACCATTCCTTGGGCTGCACGATGAGACAAGTATTGACTGGCAGGCGTACATGTGCCACAGGCCTATTCGATATATGAGCCTTCCTTGCTAGGACAGTATGCACAGCATTCAAACAACGTGTATTCTTCTTCCGCTGTCTCTGTGCATTTTCGGGGGTTCTTCAGTGACAGAATATGGGTAACGAGCGTTGGGAATGTGCGAGTGCGAGGGACAGGAAACCTGAAGCTCGCCGGTCCTCATCGTAGTGTGATGTAGCAACAATGATAAGCAGTCTTGCGGAGATGCGGATGCCCCGTTGATCATGCCCGATTGGTCGTGTCGTCGATGTTCAAGGCAGTAGGGGCGGCAAGCTTCAACCTTCACCTCCACCGGCCCTTGGTGTTGACATGGAGATGGGATCCCCGACGTTGAAGGTGAAGTGAGAGGTGAGAGCCGGACCCTCGGGAGTCCCTGCACAACTCGGAAACGGGAAACTCCGATTATCCGATCGGTAAGCGCTGGGCTGGTGCTGGATCAAACTGGGATGTGTGGACGAGGGCGCGCACAAGAACCACCCGGCTGACAGTGCACAGCGTGGAACTTCTTCACCTTATTAAACCCCTTGTCAAAAGTGTACAAACACACGAGGAAGAAACGGTGTGAGTCGCGGATACCACCAGAGCATCTCCACCCCACTTCTGTTTTGCTGCGCGACCGCCACCCACCGCTCACCGCGCCGAGCGCAAAACCCCTCGAGCGGCGAGAAATAGGCAGCCATGCCTCTCTCAATCTTCCAGTTCCCAAAACCGCGCGTAAATTCACCCCGTCGGTCCACCAAACAACATGTTGACCGTACTGATGCCAATCCAGACACTCCTCCGCTTTGTTTCCCTCCGAACAGCCACCGAATTCATAACATTAACGCTGCTGATCAACAAAGTCACGGGCTTCTATGGCATTCTCGCGCTCTTCACCGGCTATGAGCTCAACCCGCTACAACTCTCCCACTACATCTACTCTCTGATTATCTTGGGTCTGGCAGCATGGCTGGGGCCCGCGATCCGAAGCCGACCGAGCGAGCCGCTGAAAGTCCTGGCGTTGGCGTGGCTGTACGTTCTGGACACCGTTATAAATGCCGCATACACTGCGCTGTTTGGGATGGGATGGTTTGTGCTTCTAGCGCAACATTTTGGTGAGGAGACTGGAGGTATTGGAAAGGTGCCCGGGGAGGGCATGATGGACGATACCGCAGGATTCACGAATCCGAATGTGAATGCCACGGCGGTGGAAGTCACCGTGAAACCGGCCCCGGGACTGCTTTCGGGACAAGAGGCGGTCGTGATCAGCCAGGTGGGGACAACGACGGGAATGGTACTGGAGAGCGACATGATGACGAGCATTGGTCTTCTGGCGCTGTTCAGCCTCATCAGAGTGTACTTCTGCTTGGTGGTGATGAGTTACGCAAGGGGCGTTTTGAGGCGATCCGTGGCCAATGCCTCGGCTGGGAGTGTGGGGTTCGAGAGCACTACGGATGCGACAATGGCTTCTAATCCATTCCAGACCGTGGAGGGCTGGAGAGGCAAGCTGGGGAGAGTAATGGTCAGGTTCCCGTCCAAACGTTACTGGCTGGGACGGGAGGAAATCATGCCTGGAGAGGAGTCCGGCATGTTAAGCGAATGGGAGAGAGCCACCAGTGGGAGGTTCCAAGGTGGGAGGAAGGCTTTGAGGGTAAAGGTGCCGAGCGGCAGTGCGGAACAAAAGGGCGTTGGCGAGAGGGAGAGGAGGGCGCGAAGTGGGACGGGGCCACCTCCGATGAGTGCTTCCAGTGCGAAGAGTGAGAGGAAGGGCTTGCCAGAGTAGTGGATGAGGACGATAAGGGTAATGACCTTTCCCGGCGACGAGACCGGAGAGGGTGGCATGATGGACGAAGGGGAAATTCTGTACAGCACGTTCACAGCACGAAGGATGGGATGTGGTTTTCGATTCCCATATATAGCTTTCACGACAATTTTCTCTTTGAACCTTGTTCACTTCACGAAGTCCTCCACGCAGACTTGCACCTCGATTACCAAAACAGCGCTACAGTAGTGGCAGGGATCGRATGAAGAGTTAAAGTATATCGTTTCTCACTATGCTCTCTCAGAAAGCTGGGCGAAGAATCTTTTGAACCATTGCGCCTTGTGCGCCACGCTACAATGTCCATGATTCCCTCACGTCTCAACCATAGGGACAATAGACAAAGAAGTCGTGAACTCTGTACAGCTTCTGTACAAGAGGATCGTCATGCTGCTTTCCTCCTCCAGGCATCCTCGTGCTTCACTTTCTTCCAGGCTAGATCAGCAGTTGCACCCACCCTCACTCTCCGGCTTCGTCTGGTTGACATTGACATCAATAGCTGCGCACGTCAAATGTCAGCATACATTCCCTCTTCCACTGAACACTCTTAGCAGACTCACTGTTCGCTTGGGCCTGCACGCCCTCACCCTCCAGTCCTGGCAGCGCCTGAGCAATCTTCTTGAACAACCCCTTGACATTATGTCCAACCTTTGCACTCGTCTCCACAAACATGCATCCCAGTCTTTTCGCTTCTTCCTCGCCCTGAACAGCCGTGACTTCCCTCTTCTCATTCAGATCCGTCTTATTGCCCACCAACACGATAATGACATCGTTCCCTCTCTCTCCCCGCACATCATCCACCCACTTCCGCGTCTGTGCGAAAGACTTCTGGCTCGTAACATCGTACACCACCACCGCAACGGAGGAATCGCGAATGTAGGAAGGAATGAGCGAGCGGAAACGTTCTTGGCCGGCTGTATCCCACAATTGAAGGCGAACTGTGCGGTCCTCAAGATACATGGTTTTGGAAAGGAAATCGATGCCAATGGTGGCTTGGTAGGTGCTGTCAAAGGAGTCGTACATGAAGCGCGTTATGAGGGAGGTTTTGCCGACACTTTGCTCTCCCAGGAACACCAGCTTGAATTTCCGGAGAGGATTCGTGTAACTCCCTACTGTTTGCGCCATTTTGAAGGTGATCCGGGGTGTGTCGTCCTGCGTATGGCCGAAGATGTAAAGGAGTGTTGATTATCGATCCTCCGGATGCGGCGAGACAGATTCGGGCAGGTGTAGACTGCCGGGCTTGGATGGACTTTGTCAGTATAGAGGCAGACACCGCAGTGGGGTAAATGATAGCGTCCCGAATATGTCTGAACGTGTTCGTATATTCTCGAGGATGAGATCTTAAAAGAATATGTATATAAACTGCAAGAACAGAACACGGAGGTGCAAGAGACCCGCACGTGCCGCACGTGCCAATCGGGCAATCTGGGACTTGGACCCTGCATCGCTTCGCTTCCCAAAAATTTAGAACTTGGGACTTCACTTCGAATTTCATCCCGCTCGCAATCGAAAATTACAGCAAAGATGTCGGCACCAGCAACGCACAAGCAACCCTCGAGGAAGGGCACCAAGGCCTGGAGGAAGAACATCGATCTCACTCAGGTCCAAACCGGTCTCGAAGATACCCGATCTGAGCTCGTCGCCGGTGGCATCATTGCCGAGAAGGATAGCGCCGACCTCTTTACCACTGATGTCGCTGGAGACGCCGAGGTAGCTCGTAAACAAGCCAGCGGAAAACTCCTCAAAGCAGATGAGATCCTTGCCCAGCGGAGCGCCATTCCAGGGATCCCGAAACGAAAGCGCAAAGATGAAGTGACAGTCTTCGAGGGCAGTGGACCGGGTGGGAAAAAACGCAAGAATGGAGAGTATGTTTCTTACAAGGATCTGCGAAGGCTAAAGATGATTGCGGATGGAGGTGCCGTGGGAATGCAGATGGAATATGAGAAGGCAGAGCACGATCCTTGGGGTGAGGTTGCTCCTGTCCAGGAAGAGAAGTTTTCGTTCCTTGAGCCGAAGAAGCCAAAGGTTGCGCCAAGATCTTTGGGTCTCGCACCGAACGCTATCACGAAGGATGGAAAGGCTGTGGCGAGTGTCAGGAAGCCCGACGCAGGAAAGAGCTACAACCCCAATGTCACCGACTGGACGGCACTGTATGAGCGGGAAGGCGCTGCCGCGGTTGAGAAGGAGAAAGAGAGGTTGAGACTCGAGGCGGAGATAGAGGCGAGAGAGGCAGCCGCTTTGGAGGAGGCGGCAAGGGTTGAGGAGGCCGAGAAGGAAGCATTTGCCACAGACTACGAAAGTGCATGGGAAAGTGAGTGGGATGGCATCCAAAGCGGAGGAGAGGAAAGGGTGGTGCACACAAAGAAGATGCAAAAGCGAAAGACGCCTGCGGAGAGGAATAAGATCAAGGCGAGGAAGGAGCGAGAGCAGAAGGAGAAGTGGGAGAAGAAGCAGAAGATCAGGGCAGAGGAAGAAAAGCACATCAAGAAGATTGCGAGGGAACTAGCGGCGAAGGACAAGGCCACGAGACCCGGAACTCTTGTCAGGACGGAAGGTGGCGAATTGGATTCGTCTTCTGACGATGGCACGGAGGCCGCCATCGTGAAGCGTCGTTTCGGGAAGGTTGCTATGCCAGAGGCACCGCTTGAGGTTACTCTTCCAGAAGACCTTGAGGATACTCTACGTAGGCTGAAGCCTGAGGGTAACCTTCTGACGGACCGGTACAGAAATCTGCTTCTCAATGGCAAGGTTGAGATCAGGAAACCTGTCGGACAGAGAAAGCAAAAGCAGACATACAGGACAGAAAAGTGGAGCTACAAGGATTGGGAGTTGAAGTAGGATCTTCTCTGGTAATTTCGAGCGCAGCTTTAATGTCCACAAAAGACTCGTCGTCAATAATTGCAGGACTTTCATTGCATCCCGATACTGGTCTACTAGTTGTGAAAAGGGAGCATCATTTCTCAACCGGAAAGATCATAACCACATGGTCCTCTCACTGATGCCACTGCGGATTCAGCTATCCTTCCCATGTGCTCTGCTGATCAAGAATGCGAGTTAGCATTTCTCAGCCTATCCATGTGTGTTTATGCTGGTAGCACTTGAATTGCGGAGCGCAACGCTTGCTCTCTATCAGCCTCTCTCAACACCTCCGTCTACCTGCTGTTTACAATTTTCAGAAAGGATTTCCACCAGTCCAACGACAAGCGTCGTGCTCTTTGTCTGTCATTGAATGTTAGGCCTACTCCTGGTTGCTGGAAGGACCTAGCGTACATTTCCTATGGCCACGAAAGGTTCATTCCGCGACGGCAGCATGCTTGCCAAGTGCAAGCGCATAGTATCATTGTAAAACAAGGAACGGCCTGATCCTGCAGTAGTGCGTGTGGGACTTGTGATTGACGGAGTTCTGGACTGGTAACTCTCTCGGTTTGGATTAGATTCTCCCTCTGAAAGGAAAAGATGGAATGAGGAAAAGTGGTTTTACGACGTGACGGAACCCATGATTTGAGGCCCCGGATGACCAGATGCTTAAGCTTGAGCGAGAGCCGACTCTACATGTGTTCGTTCGATCCATCCACATGCCAGCGATCAGCTAGCAGTGAGAAATTGTCTTCTCTGGCCAATCGACCTTCTTCCCATGTCGGCAGGATTCCTCACATGGCCGCCGAAGAACGAAGACCCCATCCCGCAGCGAAATGGGGTGAACAGAATGGACGGTGAAGGAACGCGTAGTCAAGCGGTGTACATGTGGCCGCCCGTTTCCGTGCTTCATCATCTCTTCTTGACGCTCGACTTGCTCCACGGCTCTGTCTACTGCACAGCCGCTCTATGCGAGATTCAATATCCGGTGAACTAAAAGCTTGCCTGGGCCATAGTAGACAGCTACTGATCTGTTGGGCAGGTTCTTGGGGCGATCTCGGGAGGTACGGCGGATCAGTGGTGTCGCCGTTTAGGTGGCTCCCTTGCAACGCTCAAGACTTGTTTGTCTATATTGCGGCCCATAAAAGTAGGCTGAATCGCGGAATGCAAGACGCATACACGTACCGTCCTTGGCGGCAAGAGAGACTCTACTGCAGCGCATCGCGGCACCTGTTCCGACGAGGGACGATAGATGCCTCAAGCGCCGAAACTCCATTACATCAGACATCGGAGCCGTAATGATGCCTGAGCCATTGGGCATGAGTCAATCGATGACATTCTCCCCAAGTCAGGCCTATTYCTCCCTCTCCAGAAACGACGGATCCAGCTCCACTTTCTTCTCGAACTTCGTCCACCAGTCTTGGAAGGCTTTCAACGGAACAGTATCGCTTCCAAAAGATGCCAGAAAGTTGAACGCATTTCCGATGATCCTCTGGGCCAGCACTTTCGTCGTAGCTTYGCCGGCCGGAGAGGAAGTAAGCCTGACCATGGCATTGGAAGTCTGCTGTTCGTGAGATGTCTGCCCTCCAGATTGTAGCGTGGCAAGTTGTGATGCAACTTGCGCCTCGGGCTCGATCGAAATTCCAACCACAATGTCGCCGGTCACAGCTCCGTTGACATTAGCCGAAGCATCGTCGATCATGACATCGCCGCTCACTCCACCGGCTTTCAGTCCGCTGACCTTGAAAATGGCGCTTTCCTTTCCGGGTCCAATGCCACCAAGCAGCTTGAATTCTTGTGAGGGCGGAATCTGTATAAATACTGTTGCGGCGGTTCCAGGAGGTAGTTGGGTTCCAGGTAGCATGAAGACTACAATGTGACTGAATGCTGGTGCTGGCGGTATCCTGAACGCGTATTGGGCTTCGGTTATGGCTTGCGGTGCCGCGTACACGGGACGTCCTGATATAATGAGGCCAAACATTGTGCTGATTGTGGAGAGAAAGCAATCTTTTGCGGGAAGTTCTCAATCGTGTCTCATCGTAGTGTAGACTTTGTAATATAATGAAAGTCTCGAAGACGGTTGGGCATTGGATCGAAGAGTCGAGACGTCTGGAGAAAGTTCTCGCGGCAAACCCACCCGCTGTTTAGCCCCACTTTCCGCTTCGGGAAGCAAGGGTCCCATTCCGTCTCACTGCCCGCAGCAAACATCACCTTGCAGCTTGGCTTACTTGGCTTGCCGTTCTGCCTTGCTATCTACCTTAGACTCCCCAACTCGTTTCCGTTTTTGGAGACTACAAAGCATGGCGTTCAATTTGAAAGGACTTAGCGATTTGCTGCCTAGCTGGCCTGCTCAGAGCTCAGACGAAGAAGACTCCCGGCCTCAGACTGGTGATAGTGCTGACCCAGACACTCTGGAGCACACCGAATCAATCACATTGGCTATTGCAGACCCGCAGCCCATCTCATCTGGTCCTAAGAGCTATCTCGATCTCATCAAGGAATGCGACAACTTTCCCTACTACCAAACAGACCCGAAACTTTTCTTCGCCCACATCAACACCTACTACGCACTCTACGTCAAAGACTACCCCGAGACAGAATTGGGATACATATTGCCATCAGTGGCAGAGGTCTTTCGGGGTCTTCCCGACTGGAAGATCAATGATGAAGACCGCAGCCTGATACTCGTGACAGGGTCAACGGAGGAGGAGAGGAGTAAGGTGGTGGAAGCTACAATACGAGCGATGCACGCGACAAACCATTTCAAAGTTCTTGCCAAGTGGAGAGATGAGCTGTACCCCGTGTATGGACCCAAGGGAGAGCTGCTTTTCAGCTTAGAGAGAGCAGCCAGTGCTCTGTTTGGTATCGTCACCTATGGCATTCACATGACAGCATACGTCAAGAGCAAAACAGACGACGGAAAGGATCAGATGAAAATATGGGTACCCAAGCGTGCGGTCACCAAGCAGACATATGGTGGAATGCTCGACAACACAGTTGCCGGAGGTATTGCGACTGGCGAGAAACCATTTGAAAGCTTGGTACGCGAGTCGGCGGAGGAGGCCAGTCTGCCAGAGGACGTTGTCCGAGATGGCGCCAAGGCGGTGGGATCGGTGACCTACTTCTACATTCGGGACGAGCGCGCTGGCGGCGAGACCAAGTTATTGCAGCCTGAGGTCCAGTACGTGTACGATCTGGAGCTCTCCGAAGAGGTGGTGCCCAAGCCATCCGACGATGAAGTTGAGCGATTCGATCTCCGGACGATAGATGAGGTGAAGGATTCATTGAGGAACGGCGAGTTCAAGCCAAACTGCGCGCTTGTCATGATTGATTTCTTCGTGCGACACGGCCTGATAACGATGGAGACGGACGAGGGCTACATCGAAATGGTATCGAGGATGCATCGCCGGCTCGAGTTTCCAACGCTATGAGCGATGGTGGAGATTATCGCAGAATGGAAAGGCGTCCACGTCATCTGCCATGCTCTTGTTGCACTTTATGATACCCACGATGCGCCGCTAGTTGCGTCGACCCCATGCTTTCTAGTCCCAAACGCCTCGCTAATCGACTTTTCCAATGACCATTCGTCTCATTCGTCCCATTCGCAGTCGTCAAGACATGCAACCAAATATCGCAGCATGCATGCCTCAAGTCGTGGTTTTCAAAGCCGTACTGCTCTCATTTCTTCAGCAGCATGTAGACATTCTCAATCTTCAGCGGAGAAAGCTTTTTGTAGGGTCCATCCAGACTCAGTAGCAAACCACCAAACGAGACATAGACCTTGCTACACCGCCGTCAGCATGTTTCTCTCCGCCATAACCTTCGCACTTACATTCGATCACCATCCTCGGGATCCTCCACCTTGTACACCTTCCCGTAGCACACATAGTCCCACATGTCCGCCAACGTCGGCTCAGTGCTCTTCCCTCTCCACCCACCACCTTCGTCCTTAGTACCATCAAGGTTCAACGTCGACGCTAGMAGCATCTGGAAGCTCTCTCCATTGGCGATTGGGTAGAGCTCGCAGTTGATATCAAGGGTGATTTGTGTCGCGGAATCGTGGCTAGTTCCAAGAACTCTGTGCACGCGGTCGTAGGTCTGATCGAGAAGTGTGGTGACCTGGAAGGTCTCTTCGTACAATTGCGCGTCCGTCATGTTGGTAAACTCCGATCAAAAGACTGTGGTGGTGCTGTAAGAGAGATTGTCGCAAAGTCGAGGAATGCTTGTTGCTGTTGCTGCAAAAGCCAAACGGCTGATATTCGGCGGTTCCGACTCCGCAATTCACTTCGAAATTCGCACGCCGCCTGGACCCGCGTCATGAAACAGKCATGTACTACTTCTTCACATGCCAACGGGCACCTCGCAATCTCCTAATCGAGCTGACGTTTATTAAACACGGTTACTGACAGCACATGCCAATCCAACGATCGTGTCGAACACGCTCATGCAAACCCCGTCCAATATCACGAGTCGCTCAGATGTACAATGTACATGGAACTCGAGTCGTAATTCGCCGATGGCGCTAAGATCAGGGGAAACAGAGTGGCGCGCGTGATACTGCTGAACTAAATTGCAAGACCCGACGTGTCCAAATATGCGAATACGCAGCCTTCACAGTCTGAGGCACTTCCACGTACATGCTGCATGGGCACCTTGATGCACAAACTACTTTTTACAGAATGCGGGCAGCCAGCAGCCAATCGAATGTGATTGAACGGAATCACGACAGACTTCGCATAGCTGTGCCAGTTGGATGCCGGAGGCTGGTGTGCGACAGTTGGAAACTCCAGGGACGAGATTTAGAAAGAAGTGCATTTAGCTGAGGAGTTTGATATGTTGTGCTGTTGTATTGTGCGGCAGACTATACAACAACCCTTTCAAGAAAGTTGCTTTGAACCTCGATGCTGAAATATATACACATTTTCAAACTTCGTAATCACATTGAACATCTCATCCTTTTCCATGTCATGATCTCCTCCCCTGGCAATCTGAGCGCTTCGAAAATTGCCTTTGTTGGAAACCCACTTAGGTCTGGGGCTCTGGGCATCCGAGGTTGCTGAAGTCGGTCATGGAAAGCTTGCTGGCAACGAAGCTGAGAGCCTCAACAGTTGGGGTGACAACACCGTTGAGGGTAGATGGAACACGCTCAGTGGCGAGCTGGTAGAGCAGGCAGGCACCGACCTTGGGGTCAACACCACCAGAGAGCTTACCATCCTGGATCGTCTTGCCGAAGTCGATGACATCAAAGGTGCCGTTGGCGGTGTTGCCACCGAATGGTACGGGGTGAAGACTGTACATCGCGAAAATCTCTCTACCGACATCCTTGATGGAGTAAGGCTTGACGCGGTTGGTCCAGTTGGCTAGAGTTGGCGTCAGCATATGTCGCGAGTAAGACAGACGGTAGGAATTATGAGATCTTACCTGGAATCTTCTCTTCACCGGTGAACTTCCACTTGCCGTCGCTACCCTTCACGGTTCCGAAGAACGAGGAGATAGTGGCGACGTCAGGGGTGTAGTCTGGGCCGGATGGCATGAGCGCATACAAGAAAGAAGCAGCGCCATAGAGCAGCAGGGAGAATGGGCCAAAGTAGAAGTTGGGGTTCTCTGCCTGAGACTGGTGGTAACGCTCTTCGCGGTACTTGGCCAAACCCTGCAGGTCATATAGGCCGCCAGTAGTTTCGGTCATCATGCCGAAAAGAGTGCCGTTGAAGCGGAAGTTGTCACCTCCGTGAGTGAAGTAGTCGTTACGAGTCAACGAACTGTCTGCTTCAAACTTGTCGTGGCCGTCAAGGCCTGGCTCAGTGCCAGTAAGCGCTGGGCTGAAGGATGTGCGGCTGGTGGCGTCACATCCAATAGAAAGCTTCTCAGTGACAATATCACCATCGGTGACGGTGAGACCAAGGATGCCCAGGAGGACAGCCAAGTCGTACCCAACGTTGTAGAGGTTCTGCTGGGCGTCTACGAGCTCATTGAAGGTCGTGATGCCATCATGAGCCAAGAACTGGTGGTTGGCTGCGACGTTCAGGCCGGGGCAAGGACCACGAATGTCCTTAGAGTAGTCGGGGGCCTTGAAGGCGTGGAGTGCATCCTTTGGTTCTGGTACAAGGAAACCTCCCCTTTCGTCTCCCTTCTTGCCGTCCTTGGCGTTATTGTACGCTGTGCGACTGTTAGCAATGCTTGCCTGTGATGAGCACGAAGATGTTCTTACGGAATTGAGCAGTGACGGGGTTTGCGGGCTGGTGGTTGGGGTTGAACGGGCAGTTCGCGGCGCTGCCGGCACCGGTGCCAGCCTGCTGTCTGCGGACGCGCTGACGCTCGCTTTGGATGAGGCGGCTGTCAACACCTTCCACGTCCATGACGAACGGGAAGGCGATGGCGCCTGAGAGAAGGAGGGAGGTGACTGCGRAAGACTTCATCGTGAACGAAATGCTACGCTGTGGTTTGGGTCGTGGGAAGGGCGGCCCGTCTCAACTTGACGGGCTTTACTTATACTTGTGCTGCTGTATAGCGTCTGCGCCACAGTACCGAGGAATCTGGGCAGCTCCGCAAAGTAGGGACAGTTCCACCACAACGTGAGTGCCCCTGCGACCGCATGTCCACCGTAAGTGACGGAGAAGAGCAAATACCGCAATTCTGATTGGCTTCTTGAGGCTCTGGGCGTACATTTCCATGCATAGAGTTTGCACTTGATGAAGAAGCGGGAGTTTGTTTGGCCAAGGTAGGAAATGACGGTTGGCCGCTGATTTGGGCTGCCTCGGCAGGAGTCAGACAGCGCCGAACAGGAAGATGATCTTCATTCAAGCATGAATTAAGCTCAACCAAAAGACGGGGAAACCACCAAGAGGTCGAAGCCTCGGTGATCGACGATGCCCGGGACTTGTTTGACTCTGACGGCGCTGACTGCTAGTGAGTTGGTCCCATGCAAATTTGAAATGTTGCTCGATCTGGGGTTTTTCGCGAGATCGATCATCTCGTGTCGTCCGTCGCGACTGTAGAAGAGACCACGGAAGTGTAGATGCTAGACAATCGCACACTCGCAGTATTCCCCGAGCGTGCTCAGTATTGTCGTGAGCGGAGATGAAGACTGACTTGCGCTGTTGTCGCAGAAACCATGTATTAAGTGCAGCACGTCGACTCGTTGGCAGGTGTGCAATTACAGAACCACCCGCAGAGCAAAGAGAGCAAAAATTAGGAAGCCGGCCGATGTCCTCATCTCGAAGATCACCAGGGCTGTTCCGGTCGTGATGGCATCTCTGGCGACGCCACATATCTTCGCGAGCGCCTGCCGCCTTGTCTCTTTAAACTTTCAAGGCTGCTGGATTCCACCGCTGACAAGCCTCGGTGGTTGCGTTCATGGCGTTTTAGGCGCAGGCCACAAGGCTTGCAGAGTGACCATAATAATGTCGTAGCCTGGCGTCAAGAAGCTCCAATCGTTGCTGAGATGATTACGATCATTCAACTCAGATCAAAGGCAGCAAACCACAGCGGGCCATTGTGGGGAACGATGTGAAGGATGTCGTTCTCGAAGGATTTGCACACGGCCTACTTTTCGATATGCCAATTTCTGTCCTGTATAACCGTGTGCGTGCGCACAATTATGCACATCGTGGGAGCCACATGCTCATTCACGTGTACGGTGTGACAAGTCAAGCCTACCGTTGCCTTTCTAGTAGGTATCCTTGCACGCGCGTTTCTGCTAGAGTGGATTACTCTATTTCGCACCTTCTGCTTCTGGAAATCGTACATGAATGAGCTGTTGTTGAATCGTTGATGGATCGCTGATGCCGTAGTGAGGTTTGACCACACAGCTCAGCGAATTCATGCGGACCCCGGTCGGATTCCCGCCGTCAACAGCGCTCGAAAACGCGGTAGAGACCTTTCAGATTTGCGACTTCAACGGTGCCCTTCAGTAAAGCTTTCGTGGCCACCAGCCTCGCTTTGAAGGCCGGAAACAAGACGTTCTCGACGGCATAATGAAGGTGTTTCCTTCGGACGGCAAGGTCCCCGTCTTCTGCATCGCCCCCCTGCGGTGGCGGTGGTAGCGCCTCGGGCGCATAGAAACTGGCGAGCTCTCTCAGAAAGCTCTGGAAGCAGGCCTGCTCATCCGTCCAGTCAACGTGTGGTCCTAGCCTCAGCAGGAAGTTGGGCAACTTGGCCAGCGAAGGCATGTAGCCTTTGATCAACAAGGGAATGCCTAGCAGCTCCCCCTCCGCCGAGATGTCAAGCGCGAAATACTCCTCAAGCATGCCTCTTCGCGACATGAGCTGGCCGCGTACCGCGAGCAAAGCGTCATCCCAGCCATTGAAAGCGACGCCATCAGGCTCAAGCGCCCTCGCCTGTTCAACCCCGAGTTGAAGTAGCTCATCAAGTACCAGAGGTGGATTGAACCGCATCATGCCGAAATTGGCAAAGTCTGTCAGACCAACTTGATAGAAGAACTCTGCAGAAACCATGCCGTAGTCGACGAGGAACAATCGAACCCCACMCTGAATCGCCGCGATGCGTTTGCTCTCGTCAGCAACGCCAACAAATGTGTGATTGGCGAAGGTGTCTGTCAACCCGTTATGCATGCTGTCTCTCACCGAGGCCCGAAGATCCTTGACGGTGGTCAGACGACATATGGTAGCCACCTGCTCTGAATACTCGTATTCGAGTCCGTCTTGATCTGTTTCGCGAGAGGGCGAAGAAGGACGCTGCGCTTTAGGCAGCATCGCCGTAATCTTTCTCTCCTYTGCATCCGTACGTACCATGTTATTTTCGTAGGGCTTTCGCGAGTTCGACTGGGAGTGGGAAGTAGTGAGACGAGGCACTCTCGGGGTCGTTGCCGGCGCGGACTCAGGCATGGTACTGGCCTTGGAAATTGCCGGAGTCTTCGCACCACTCAGGAGACTTTGAGTCATGAATGTTCTGCTCGTGTCGACTTTCCCAAGCTTCGAACGTATCTCGTCACACACAAGGTCCACGATCTCCTCCTCATTCAAGAAGTTTACTTCGCGCTTTGTCGGATGCACGTTGACATCAACACGGGCAGGATCGATCTCGAGACTGAGGTAGATGAATGGCTTGCCACCTTTGGGCAGGAAGGCGGCGTACGTCTGTTCGACGGCTTTCTTGATGACAGATGAATCCACGGAACGGTGGTTGATGAACAGCAACAGCATCGTACGCTTGCCATTGTAATTCGCGTTGCTGACGAGGCCCTCACACCTGAAGCCATACTGCTCGCTCGCCACTGAAAGGTCGATGAGATCGTTGGCAACTGCCGTGCTGTGGGTGAGACGAATGCGGTCTCGAACGCTTGCTGTGGCGGGAACTGCAATTCCTGCGCCCGACTCGCCGTGTTTCTTGCAGGAGAATGCAACGCCCTTACAATGGATAGCATACTTGCCAACGAGGTCGGCGATTTTGGCGTACTCCTCACTGGCTGAGCGGAATGCTCGTCTTCGGGTAGGTACGTTGTAGAACAAATCTTCAACGGCTATCTGTGTGCCCTGCCTACCAGCAGTTGGTCTTGGGTCGGCGGTCTGGCCAGGCTTCGCAGGCGTCAACTTGCCGCCTGCGTAGTGAGCTTTCCACGCGCAGCTGGAATCTGCCGTTTTGGTGGTCACGGCAAGATGGGCGATATGGCTGATACTGGCAAGAGCTTCTCCGCGAAACCCATAGGAGCTGATTGCCTGCAGATCCTCAAAGGCTTTGAGCTTCGATGTGGTGAATCGCTCACACAAGATGGCCAGATCATCTTTGCTGATACCGCAGCCGTTGTCAGTGATCTGAAGGAGTTTCAGTCCACCTTCTTTGACCAAGATTTCCAGGCTGGTGGAACCGGCATCCACAGCATTCTCGATCAATTCTTTCAAAGCATGGACCGGAGCGACGATTATCTCGCCAGCAGCAATCTTGTTCACGACATCTTGATGCAGTGCTCGGATTCGCCGTGGCGGCTGAATATCATCGGCTTTGCGCTTGGTCCCACGAGAGGGTAACGGTGATGACTCCAGATCGTCCATGTCGGCTTCACATGTTGACCTCGAAGACGGCTGGAACGAAATGAAATGCTTTCAGATTTGCACCTGCGTTGCGGTCCATCACGATTCACAGCACTGGGGAAGTCGCGACTCACGTCGCGTGAGAAAAGTGGGGCCGTTGCCTGCCCTTCCTTGCACTTCGAATCTTCACTTCTTCTCTCATTCGCTTCGATTATCAACTTTTCGGCGCCAGATGGCTTTTCGCAAGCGTAACGTCACAGTCGGAAGCAGTCTCGCAAGCGCATCGACGGTTATCGAATCAACGAGTGGAATTCCAACGTCTGGCGTGCGTCCGTCGCCGTTGACTTCACAGCCAGTCACCTCGACTGGAGCACCGTCACTGGATGGCCTGCTGGGCGGACATGCAGGCCTTGCACTCGGCTCGAGTTTGCTTGTAGAAGAAAGTGGTTCGACGGACTTCTCTGGAGCGTTGCTGCGATACTTTGCGGCGGAGGGCATTTGCCAAGGGCATAACGTGCACATTGTAGGCGCCGGCGAACAATGGGTCAGAGAATTACCAGGCGTATCAGACGACAAGGGCCGGGATAAGCATGCAAAGGTAGCCGAAGAAGAGAAGATGAAGATTGCATGGCGATACGAGAGGCTGGGCCAAGCCGGAGAAAGAGGTGCGTTGAGTATATTCGAAGTAGTAGATAGCGCAAGGATAGCGCACGAAAACCTGCTCTTCCACATTTCAGTCGTTTAGGAGCTGATGGTAAGTGCAGCACTCCCTGATCGTGGCTCGTCTACCACAGCACTTGGAGGCACTCAGGTCACACCGTTCTGCCACACGTTCGACCTCACCAAGCGTCTAGTTGCCCCACCAGATGCAAAGATCAGCTACATCGCCATATCGCCATCCGCAACTTTCGACAGCATACTTCAATCAATATCTCGGAGTCTTGATGCCTCGTCGCCAAACACAGTTCACAGATTGATCATGCCATCCATGCTCAGCCCAGCTCTGTACCCACCGACTGCAGGCCGGCCAGAGCACCTACTAGGCTTCTTCCGATCTCTACGCGCACTGCTACGGCAACACAGTGGCCGCCTGGTTGCGATGATCACTCTGCCGCTCGAACTGTATCCGCGCAATACGGCATTGGTGCGCTGGGCAGAGAGCTTGAGTGACGGCGTCTTCGAGCTCACTCCTTTCCCACATCTCATGGACGCATCGAATGCTTTGGCCGAAAGTGGTGGTGCCAGAAGCGGTGACGAGCAGCCGCAAGGTATGGTCAAGATCCACAAGCTCCCCATCAACACTGAACGCGGTGAGGGTGGTGCAGGGGCTGGAAATAGCCTGGGCGAAGATCTTGCATTTACAGTCAGCCGCAGAAAGTTTGTGATCAAGCCATTCTCTCTGCCACCACTGGAGGGCGATCAAGAAGCACAACAGGAAGCGGGTAAACTTACTGCCAAGGACATTGAGTTTTGAAGGCTACTCATCCTGATCGTCGCCATGCAGACGCTTATCTAGCATGTTCTCCATCTCGATGTGCTCCAGATTCGTGCCACCCTGGTTCATGTGACGAGCATATTGTAGGCCATACGTTGTTGGCACTGCGGCGCTTCGTCTATTGCCCCACACAGCTCGTATCTCCTCACCGAGGCAAGATGAAAGCGCGAAGAATGCCAGTACCAAGACTATGAAGCAGAACAACAGTAGCATGATGACGGAGAAAACGTTCATCGTGGCTAGCTGAGGGAGCTTTGATTGGATGTCCAAAYAGCTGGCTGCCACTTCGCAACAGGCATACAATGATGGTGAATATTGCCTGGTGCGGCGTAGAAAATGCCGTGTGAAGTTGAGGACTCAAATTCTGTGAGAGGTGTTGGTGTTGTTAGAAGTACCACTCTGCGCCACAGTAGTAGTTACTTTACCTTGAAAAGCTCGTATTTGAATACGAATGACTCTTCGTCACGAACAAAATAAGTCAGAGACACCCCTCCAAAYGGCATTGATTTGGACAGCACACACACGCCACACGCCACCGTCAAACTGAAGACCCTTCGCTCGTGGACAGTGCTCGCTGGAGCTTTCAGACCAACAAGAATTCCACATACACACCGGGCAATTCGTTACTTCACATTGAGCTCCCGAACCGCGAGCATGGCCACGACCCAGCTGGACGACAAGGCCAAGAGCCTCATCACGACTGCATTTCCACAAGCCAATGAGAGCGATCCAGTGAAGCTCTCGTCTGCCGTATTTCCCAGCGCTGAGGTGAGTGCCCGCTCAAGGTGGTAGTGCATGGCGAAACACTGACGGAAAGCCCAACGACAGTACTCGACCGCCGAGAAGACGGAGATTGAACAATTCCTCGTCACCGCAGCGCACATTGCTTCTCCCACCGAAGACAACGCCAAGACGGCCCAGCGTCTCTCCGCCCTCAACACACACCTTGCGACTCGCACCACGCTGCTCGGACACAAGCCAAGCGTCGCCGACATCGCAATCTACTCCCGCCTGGCGCCTGTCGTCAAGGAATGGAGCGATGAGCAGCGGACAGACGAGACGGGCTACCATCATATTGTGCGGTTCGTGGACTTTGTGGAGAATTCCGAGCTTTTCGGCCTCAAGCTAGACGAGAGTGACAAGGTTGCCATTGACACCAMAAACGTGGTCGCACCGATCAAGCCAATCGATCCCAGAGCTGAAAAGGAGCGCAAGAAGAAGGAGAAGGCTGCGCTGGCGGCTGCCGGTGCAGACAGCGCCGCAGCGGCGGGAGGCACCGTCACATCAGTCGCGAGTGAGGACACGAAAGCTGCTGAGAACTCCAAGCCATCGGCAAAGGACAAGGCCAAGGACGTCGGCGACAAGATCGCAGCTGCAGTCGGTGCCGCTGTTCCGGGCGAGAAGAAGGCTAAGAAGGAGAAGCAGCCGAAACCCCAGAAAGCTGCCGCAGCAGACAAGCCCTTCTCCCCCGCACTCATCGACCTGCGTGTAGGACACATCCTCAAGGCCGAACAGCATCCTAATGCCGACTCACTTTATGTCAGTACCATCGCCGTTGGCGATCCACCTGGCACCGAGAACACATCCGAGTACGAAGGCAAGGTTGTCCGGACTGTTTGCTCTGGTCTCAACGGGCTCGTTCCTTTGGCCGAGATGCAGGGACGCAAGATCGTCGCCGTCTGCAACCTCAAGCCTGTCACCATGCGCGGCATTAAGTCTGCTGCCATGGTTCTCGCTGCATCGCCGAGACTGAAGGAGGGCGAGGTTGACAACCATGCTGGACCGGTTGAGTTGGTCAATCCTCCCGCAGACTCCGAGGCCGGTGACCGCGTCTTCTTCGAGGGCTGGGAGGGAGAGCCAGAGGCCGTACTGAACCCGAAGAAGAAGGTCTGGGACGACTGTCAAGTTGGTTTCACTACGACAGAGGACAAGGTCGTTGGCTTTGAGCCGGCCAAGGTGGACAAGTTGAAGGAGAGCGGCAAGACCGATGTTGCGCTTCTGAAGACGAAGCAGGGCGTTTGCTCGGTGAAGACCCTGACAGGTGCCACTGTGCGATAGGTAATCTCTGCACAAGAGACCCCTGGCTGCACGTCTCCCCCGGACCCCATACCCACTCCCGGAGATCCTGCAGTAGGCCATGACCTGTCGGATTCAGCGTCGAAGAATGCTGCGCAAAGTATGGTTGGGGTTTGCAGAGTCTGATCCGGCTTTTGTCACGCTCACAAGAGTCGCACCAAACATCGGACAAGACATGCTACTTGCACGTCATACCAACATCCGCACGTCGTCAGCAGTAAAGCGTGGAGCCTACATCGGGCAGATCCAGTCGTTCTGGCAGACATTCTGGATGTAGTACATGAATAAAGAGTACCCTAGACGAAATCATGTTCATGGCCCATCAGTTCCCCGTGAATATTTGAGAAAATCACTGGACATCGAACCCCGCGACCAGCGATCACATGCAAAACGTGACCAGTTACCAATTTGGGAAACCTGGGGAAGCTGTTCTTGGCAAACTCTTTAATCCAACGTGCGGGGCATTGCCCTGGCACGGGTACTATCCGGTAATAAGACCTGGACTACTAAGATGCAACACCCCAACTCCGACAGGCTCACTTGATCCCTGCATCGTTTGCATACACTGTCGTTAATATGTCCACCAAAGCATCAACAACGGTAACGGCAAGTCCCAAATCGAACACCGGAGTGCAGAAGCGTCGGTCACGCCGCGTTTGCCAGCACTGTCATACAAGAAAGCTGCGTTGCAATCTCCAAGATTCCGGTACAATGCTGAAGTCAAGAAAGCCTGTGATGAGGTCCGAAGCATGTCGCCTCGGGCTGTGCTCAGTTTTCATGCACATTAACATTTTAGGAAACACGACTAATACTTTCATGTTCATTCAGGGAYACCATGTGCCAACTGTGCGGTTTACGGTGTTGTGTGTGTGCTGAGGAAGCGGAAGAATCAAAGGTTTGTATAAAACTCTCGAGATGTAGACTGGTCTGTTAACATCATCAGGGCGAATTCTATTGCTGGGTTGGAAGAGTCATCACGGAGAAACGCTTCGATCCTGTACAACCTCGAGGACAGTACCATGCCTCGGGAATCACCAGTGGCACCTCTTCAATTACAAACCAATGACAAGGAATCGCCGATGACCCCTTCTATGATAGACAACGGCCACATAGAAACCCCGTCGACTGTTCAGTCTGCGGAGTCCTGGAATCCACCCGGTGAAACACATCCATCAACCGATCTATCGCCTCAGATGTGGTGGGATCCAACCCAGCAGGACCCAGGAGTAGCCATGAGCGCCATGTATGGCTTCGATCATCTCAGTGCATTGGAAGATATATTCGCTTATACAGGCGCGACGCTTCCACCAGAACCTTCCGTGACCCTACAGACCGCATATGGCCAGCAGATTCCTAACCTTGTATCGCAAGCCTCACCCGCCAACACATATTACGATCGTGTTATGGATCTTTCATCTACAGAGGCTTTTGGCATTCCACAGGCCGACGAGGAGTATCTTCGTAGTCAAGGGTGTTTCCAGCTCCCTCCCACTCAGGTTTTCCGAGAAATGATGCTACTTTATTTCCGAATAGTGCATCCCAACCTTCCAGTTATCATTGAAGATGAATTCTGGGCATTGTGGGCGAGTGGGAGCTTTAGTTTAGGAGATTGTTCGTTACTTGTCGTTCGAGCAATGATTTTCACAACTTGTAGCGTAAGTCATTGACTGGCGTGGACAGCAAAACGTTTTTCCCTGACAGCCAAAAACAGCTCGTTGGAGAAGAAACACTGGCAGCACTTGGCTTCCGCAGTAAGCGGGATGCAACCGCTGCGTATTATCGAATGGCCAAGGTCAGCACAAGCACGAAACATATCACATGCATGTATTGATGAATAGCAGCTACTTTTTGACTTCGGAATTGAGCGCGATGCAGTCGCCAACGCTCGAGCGTGCTTATTGCTGAGCTATCAAACGCCCAGTGACAACAAGTTCCGCATCAATAGCTTATGGCTAACCCATGCGATTCGTTTCGCTCGTATCGCGAAAGCAGATTCCTATCACCGCTTCCGTGAGGACGAACCTGGCAAGTCAAAGATCCTGAAAAGGCTATGGTGGGCGGTTTTGTTCCGGGATCGGATTATCTCTATAGGCGTACGCCGCTCTCTTCAAGTGGAAATTGACCCGAGCTGGGAAACGTTGGACAACACCCCAAAGCTTCAAGAGCAGCATCTGTTACAAGCGGACGACTTCTCGACGGRGCTTGGCCAGAGCCCTGTACATGGATTGGATACACAATTGAGGATCGTGGAGATGATCAACTGCACATGTCGGCTGGTTTATTGCCTTTCGAAACCTTTGAAAGTCCTGTACAGCTATGAAGGTATGTTCTTTGTAGAGATTCCGCCGCACTAGCAGTACTGATCGGAATGTCTAAAGGTCTTGAGGATCGGCTCGATGTAGCCTCCCGCTCCCTTCGATCTACCATTATTGACATTCAAACGTCCATCTTGTCCCTTCGCACCTGGCATGATGAAACGATCTCGAAATTCCCATTTCCTTTGAGCCTGGATGACCTCGATGAGGTTAGGGAGGCCGTTTCTGTGTACGGAAATATGATCTTTTGCTACTACGCAGCGTGTCTCTTTGCGCTCAGCACCTACCTGCTTCTGATCTACGAGATGATTCCGGCCTCGCGAGTCTTCTTTGAGGAAGACCTAGTCGAGGAGTGCGAAGAATCGCTCGAGATCTCGAACTCGGAAATAGCGCGCAGGATGCAAGAGCTGGTCCAGGTGCGACTCGTCAAATACATCCCGATCAGCGCGGCGCCCATTATTGGACCACCATTGGTTCTGCAAGCGATCAACGTCGCGGCGAGTAGAGGAACGCGGCTCGAAGCCGTAGAAGGTCGGAAACTGGACGTCTTCACACGCACGTTACAAAGTCTCCAAGAGAGATTCGACGGCAGCGACTTTTGTGCGGAGCTCATGCAGAACATTATTGGCTTTGCCAGAGATGATGAGGCATTGACGCAATCTATGACTACCTGGCGGAATAATGGTCATAGTGGAAGCGCGCCGATTAAGAAGGGAGAAATCAGAGTTGGTTGGAACAACCTGGTGCATCAAAAGCCAAGACTCTTTTTGAGATTGATGATGCATTTGGACCATGCGGTTTGTACGTCAGATCGAAGGGCAAGAGGCATTAACCCGGCTTGTCTCGTGGTTTCGCTGCGAGTCTCTCCCACGCAAGAGAAGGCCGAGGCAATAGCCAGCTTTGCATGTATTGCAACACGCATCGCCCTCGAGACAAGCTGGCGTTACCCCTCCTGCCTGATCATACCGCCACTGAAACATCTGCTGATACCTTCTGCCCGTTTTTATAGGTACTGGAGGGCCGCCGCAGGAGAAGGATTTTCCGACAGAGTTGAGGAGAAGTACAATGTGAATAGTAACATGAGCTCCAAAACGCTGGTGGTTCATACTATTGGCAAACACCAGATTAACCATCTGAGCTTGCTTATCACCGTCTATCTCCTCGCTCAAGTGAACCAGCAGACTCACGTACTGCTAGATATGGCATCAATTGTTGGCATCAGACGTTCCAACATCTCTTCCACAGACGCGCCCAAACAGCTTCTCGACCAAAGTGARTCCGAGATATCTAACTGCAGTCCCTCGGCCACAGAAGTCGAGTATCGAAAGTTCCATGAGGTATTCACTACCACCAAACCACCTGATACCAACGTGCTAGCGACACTGATGGAAGCTCATATCGAGTACTGTCGGGAAACAGGTTTGGAGATGGTAGCGGCGGAACAGTGGTTGGACATGGTCGATGAAGCAACGGATGTACACCAGCCAGCCAGGATATTTATTCATGCAAAGCGCAGTCATTCTCAACCAACGTCGGCATGTTGCAAGATTTTGGGAGAGTGGGGGTATGATTCGCACCACCGATGATAGTGATGCTCAAAGTCGATATGAACGTTACTTTTGGATCCCTCTACAGATATCATCTGACATGCTCGGGCTTGAAGAATGGGCTAGGAAGGATGCAGTGTTGTGATTCGATCTTGTATGACTTGTTATCACGWTGCACTCTATCGCAAGGCCTTGGATGACTTGATGGCGTGCTTGTCCTGCCTTTGCAACAAGTGATTGTAGTGGGAGAAGCCTCGTTGGATGCAGTTCCCAAGCTCCTTTTTGACCTTTTCTGATTTTTTCTATGTCTGGAATCTGTTTGTTAACACGACTACTGTGAACGGCAAGTAGAATCGCTCGAGAGTATTGAACTGGAAGGATGGCCTCACACGTGACATCTGATAGGGCTGCTAGGGCTCATGCGGGCTGTGTAGTGGGACGCCTTGGTACACTTGAGATGAACCTTCATAGGCGACTGCGCCTTGCCTGGTAGGATCATACTGCAGATTTACGGTGGCTCATCACCCAATCAAGGCCGCACTTTGGGCCAGCGACGCACATGACCCATCGCTGCAAATCAACACGCGGAGTACTAAAGACAATGGTGTTTGTCTTCATGGAAAGGATACAATCCTCACAATGAACTCAACACAATCATACCAACCACTCAAAGCTTTTGAGGTGACCAAATCTGGCACTTTTACCACTCGCCATCTTCAACTTCGTCAAAATGGCGAGACGATCCTGTGGATCAACACTCATTCCGGTTTCATGCAACCTACCCAGATCAATCTGCAAATGCAATCACAAAACGGTCCCACCGTTGCGGCGGTAAGGCTGAAGAGGATGAGTTCAGGCTGCCGAGTCATGCTTGGCAGCCCGGACGGCACCGATAGAGAGCAGTGGCAGGATGTAGAAAGCCAAAGCTTGTCGGGCAAGCGGTACGGATTCCAGTATCAGGGTACGAGCTTCGCGTGGAAGAGGTGAGTTCCTTCTCATGAGCCATGGCGAAGAATCGTAAGATGCCAACCGAGTGGTAGGACGCATAAGAAAGAATTCGGGGCGTCCGGGTGGGGGAGAGGAGGCTTCAAGTTCGTGCAAGCCAGCAAGCCTGATGAGATCCTGGCGGTATACATCACCGACCGGAAGTGGTTCAACAACACGGATATTGCCAGAATCGAATTCATGACGGAGCTGGGACGGGAGGTTGAGCTGATGGCGCTCGCTGCTATGCTTGGAATCGCCGAGCATATACGCCGAGCGAATCGTGCCAGCTCGGGTGGAGGTGGAGGCGGAGGCGGAGGATGTTAGCAGGTCGATGACAACGATCGCTTGTGAAAGATAATTCAGTGGTAATGGAGGTAATAATAAGAAAGATGGAGACGAATGCCAGGTTCAAGGTGACTAGGTATACTGTGATTCCATCTTACAAGGCAAAATGTGACTAAGCATTGTCTTCACTTTTCCGTGACTGCGGTCCAAGCAACTCATCGTCCATGCAGCATCACTCGCGTCAACTTTGATCTCTCTCTCTCCAATACAACCTCTACCTTCTCCTCCTCCCGCAAGCCACACATCATGCGGCTCACAGCAGAGCTGATCAAGGATTCGCTGTCATACAACAATCCGCTCGGCGAGCGCGAACTCGATCTTCGAGGTACGATGCATCCCAAAAGAACAGATACTGCCACATGATCGGGAGAGCTAGTTGATACAAAAAGGCGTGCTTCAGGCCACAAAATCCCCGCGATTGAGAACTTGGGTGGCGCAAAGGTGAGATGTATTGGGAATGGCTAGCGATACAATGTGCTAATATGTATGCTCTTCCAGGACCAAGAGTGCCTCGACCTCACCGATAACAACATCGCACAACTCAGCAACTTCCCTATTTCGCCACGCTTGCAAACGCTTCTTTGCGCGCAGAACCGCATCGCCACACTCGCCGAAAACCTACCCAGGAGCCTGCCGAATCTGCACACGCTTGTGCTTACGCAGAACAATGTCGCCGAGCTCGCCGATCTGGACGTGTTGAAGGGATTTGCGAAGTTGACATATGTCACGTTGATGGGAAACCCAGTCGCCAGCAAGGAGGTCAGTCATGGTCGAGCATACAACGATGTCCACCGCATCTGATGCATTTTATAGAACTACCGTTATTGGATCCTGTCCCGTAACCAGAACGTTCGTTTCCTTGACTTCCAGAAAGTCAAGGATGCGGAGCGAAAACAGGCCAAGGAGGTGTTTGGCACTCCCGAGGAGCCGACGGAGCTGGCCAAGTCAATCTTGGCTACGAGATCGAGCACATCTGCGTTCGCAACAGGACAGTCTGCCACTAATGGAGGCAAGGCGAAGAACCTCAAGGCCACAGAAGAGGAGAGAAAGCGCTTCCAGGTGCTCGTGCAAAAGGCCAAGTCGCTGGCAGAGATCCAGAAGCTGGAGAAGCTGTTCAACGAGGGTAGACTGCCGCCAGGATTGATGGATGGCGACAGCATGGACGAGACATGAACGTCTAGCAATGGACACAGCTTTTTGACACGTCCAGACTGGATCTAGCCGCATAGCTGGAAGCCTGCGTGTGGCAATGCCCGCTACGATCGTTGCTCTCTCGAGATGCGAACAGATTATCACCAGCACGAGCGAGGGTCACACAAAGATTGAGCGAATCTCTATACCGGCGTTGTTACAGCGCTGCAACCATCCCGCGGAGTGGTTACGAAGAGTGACAAGGTAGCCAGCACATCGCCATAGCCGCAGCGTTGCAGAAACTGATAAATCTTGTTTCTGCAGATCGTTCCTTCCTTATGCAGAAGCTCCACTGCCTCTATACTTCTATTATGATATTCCAGAGTTACTCGCTAAAGGCGCATACGACGACCGTGTTGTACAATCTCTCGCCGACTTTTGCTTCTCATCACTGCAACCCACCATCCTTGCGGTCGCTGAATCCCAAGCTCAGCCCGAGTCCTTTCCCGAGAACGTCTCTTYCCTCCTCGYCCTCCAGCCCGGAATCCTCACTTCTCTTGCCCAGCATCGCCAACTCGAGAGGCTCGCCTCGTGGTTGAATCATGGTCGTGGGTCTTGGCCTTAGGTTTCCCGAGATCTTCCTGCCATGTGCTCGGACCCTCTCCATTCTGCCCGTCCTTCCCGGCGAAACTTCTTGCACTGGCGACGGCATCGCATCTAGAGAGCTGTGCTTCTGCGCTGGCGTGGAGGGCGGAGATCTTGGCTGGGTGAATTCTTCATAGGTAGGTGGTGGACCAGGCGGAGGTCTTTCAGCAAAGTTCCCACTGGGAGATGATCGCAGGGGAGAAAGATGGCTCCACATTCGTTGGGCGTCGCTGGTGGCTTTTTCACGGATCAGACGTTCTCTGAGGGGCATGTTCAGCTTCCGATCTCATTTATAAGGTAGGATCGAGAAGAAGAAACGTACTGGGATTGTGTCAGGCCTGGGATGTTGATCTCCTCGCGGCGAAAGTTTGTTGGGTTGCTCTGTCGTTGGGTCAGCTTGGTGTGGATCTTATGCATTGAGATGAGGAACCCCGTACAATGACCAGAGGCCTTTCTTGCTGATTTTGTTCTGCGTCATCCCATCCTGTACAGCAGAGGAACATTTCCCGGAAACAGGCTTGGATTTTCTTTCCAATTGCCATTGTTGCGGTGTTTGTGTTTGGTGCGTTACGGAAGAGATGGGCGGTTGTCTGAATGGAGACTGTTTCGAGACACTCTTGAGACGCTGGCTATTGAGGTTCTTTGAATGGTTGGCTTGGATGCTTCTGCTGTGAGACTCCGAACCGTTGAGATGGGTTCTTTGTTCTCGATGGCAAAGTGCGTGACAGGCCGTGGTCCGGTCGAAATTCTTCCTTTTACAAGTGGATTGCTGATGAAGGAATGTGAAATAGCAACGATGAATGGGATGACAGGCAGGCCAATCTRTGACTGAAAGACAATAGGAGCTTTTTGAGGTCTTCGCACAGTAAAGACGAAATGATGACAACAGCAATAAGCAAGAAGAACGAGAAGATGAAGTAGTAGTAATATGTCGACGAGTATGCACTCACTACCCATGCACAGTCCAGCGAGGCCATCAAGGAGATTGGCTGGGTAACGTACACGAACGACGTGCCATGCGAGGGCGAAGTCAGCCAAGATGAAGCCTCGTTACATTCTTTCGCCCAAGGGAAGGCGATTGGAATGCTGTACGTGGTGAGCTGGTTGATCCTGCTCACGGAAGGACGCATTGGGTATCCCTTCGAACATCGGAAGCTGAAGCATTGTTCGAGAAGGAATTCGTTGCAGATAGAGAGGGAGGAGGCGTCGTGCTTGTCGTTCCTTCCTGATATTGGAAAGCTCGTCAGCGGAAGGAGCATGTGACATTGAACTTGCCGACACCTCTTTGGACTAATCGTTTGCTATTCCACCACGTCTTGTTCGCGTGTACGCGTATCAAAAGTATGCTCGTTCTCTTCTCTAAATTGTGGTCAATCTCCCCCGCGGTTCGTGCTACATGCCTCCTTGCCTCACGCTCACGTTCGCGTTTCGCCCTGCGTCGATCAACGACCCAAGGGAGTGGGTTTGTACTCCACGAGAGGCATCAGAGCTATGAGGACGTCATTCCCCTGGGAATGCGTCGTACTTCTGGGTATAAAGATGTGCAGGGCCGACTGCACGTTGCTCTGGGAATGGCCTTGAAATGTCGGACTTCATGCCATCTGTTTCGTTGACACTTCTTGTGCATGAGCACATTCGTCGATCTCGTCAGATAATGCACACGCTTTTGCGTTCTCCGCCTACAATCCAGAGCAGACTGTCCGAAGCACCAACAAGCCATTTGTCGTTATCGGTCCACCTGACCACCAAACCAACTCTTCGATACGTATCAATCCTATCAGCGACGGGCTCCAAAGCCAGACCTACCCAGACAAACCAACTCGTGTCATTTTTCGTGACTGGTTTCACATCGATCAACAAGCAGGTCACACCGTGACAACGTACTTCGTTCTCAGARAGCAGTGGCACATCACTGAAGAACCAACAAAGTCCTACTCGCTGTCCCTCGCTTGCATAGAGCTGAAGCGCACTGCGACGGATATCTGGACCGCGTGCGCTATACAGCCAACTTCGCATTCCAGCGACTGTACTGACATCAGGTGCGTCAGGCAGATCTTTCAGGTCCGATGCTCTCGCAATGTATCCATCGCGAACCATTCCAGACAGATGCAACTCGCCGCCAGAAACCTGCCCGAACTTGTCCTGACCCACAAGCTGGACTTTTGCGCTCAGGAAGTTGGTGGGCCAAAGAGCATTACCTGTAAAGTCCTTAGCACGCCAAGTCACAGCGTATCGACAGGATGCCCAAGACCACGTTGGTGGATCGAATGWGGGCTCAATCGCAGGCAGATCTCTTGTGAAGTATGGTTCCGTGCATGACCAGCACAGTCCTCTCATTAGGTCTCCTTTCCAAAGTCCTGCAAGATAGTCATCTTTACTATACTCTTGAAAGCGAGTAGCAATACCAGAGATCGCGGCGAGCCTATCATCTTCCTTTGTCAGCTTACAGCGAGTGTAGTCTGACACAATACTGTAGTATTCGTTGTATCCATCCTTTACCGGAAGATCAATATCAGCTTCCCGTAACCACGGCGCTCTGATGGAGAACTGAAGAACATCCGATTCGGATGAGAAGCGGCGCGGTATGGGAGGATGAATTTCTTCAAATCGTTGTGAGGTCAGACACTCAAAGTACATCTGCTTACTGCCACAGTATAGAGTCCTGGGTGACAAAAGTCTTTCCTGGTGCACCCAACCTCGCTTACGCAGTACAGGCGGGCGCTCGGTTCCCAGGAAAGGCTTGTCSCCGATTTCGTCACGTATAGCTTTGAGATGTAGACAAGACCCGTCCTTCCGTGGCAATGAAAAGCTGCACGAAGGTCCGGATGGCGGACTTCTTTCTTTCCAGAACCCTGCGTGGGCGTCCGAGGCACTCTCTGCTGCGATTGTGAGGCTAGCATTCTGGAAGGTCGAAGCCATCTTTGAGCATTCTTTCTGCCAGTCTTGCTCGTCGTTCTGGATGATGCAGAGGCTATCTATCCAGAGATAGCGGAAGTTGAGCTTGATGCTGAGTCGGGCGGCGTCTTGAAAGTTACGCGCGAGAGACTCGAAGGGGATGTTTTGAAGATGACTCGACATCGTCTCGATTGTTGTTAGCACTTTCGGGGGATTTAATCCCCAACAATGACTAAGGGCAACATATAGACCGGTGGCAGGCCCGGGAAGATCTTCTGTTTGTATAAGCCTGACCCGATATCCCGTGCCAGTTTCATCGAATCCTACCTCCAGAACGCGCGTGGGCAGGATACTCTGCTTGTCACCTCCACAGTCTTCATGCTCACTCAGACAAGCAACGAGCCATGATTTCGCCAAGTCAGCTGAGGGCCATTGTGATACATCACGTCCGATCAACTGGGGATTTACAGCGCTCTGTTGCGATATCCTCAGCCATGGTGGATTTCCTTTGAAGTGGTTTGAGTTTCTCTGGTCCTCTTTATCAAACATGTAGTAGCCAAAACGCATTGCGCCACGAGGCGATAGCTMCTTTATCTTCAATGGCAATGGGTCAGTGTAGAATCTGAGACGCTCCCATCTTGCCTCGCTTGGAACGGCAGAGTCCGGCCAGGAGTATTTCGATTCGACTGACGAGTCGCTATGCTCTGGGACATTCATGTCTCGTAGAATGGTCATCACAATCTTGCAAACGCCACATCCTGCTTGCGTCGATGCTCGAAGTGACGGCACGTTTGGATGATGGAGGGCCCAGACAGGTTCATAATCGGCTGGCTTGGTGCTCTTTTCCAGCTGGGAGATGATGTCCTCGAATGCTGTGGCGCATTGGTTGCATATCCAATCGGTGCTCGTGATTCCGGACTTCRTCCTGGAAAGAGGCAGCTCAYTGCTTAATGGCAATTGCTTGGGTTCTGGAAGAGACTCCATCGAGAGTGTGAATATGAGGAATGTAGTCAAGGAAAGTACGTTGAGTTGGGATCAGGCTGGGTGCCTACCTGAAAAATTGGCGAGCTGRGGGGATGCCTCTGCTGATCAAGCCACGAACGCCATGGCTGGGGTGCTCTCGAGGAGATGGACATCAGCTCACGGCCAGTGTAAGGTATTCAACGTATTCACTGCCCATGAGCCAGGCCAGGCCGTCCAATAACGAAATGGATTGTGCACGTTTCCGGCCCGACTTTGCGGTGTTTTGGCGGCACTCAGATATCCATCTTGATCCGGCTCTGGACGATGGGCCAGTATCCGACACAATGAGAGTGGGGAAGTAGAAGGTACCTAAGTGGTGTTGTCTTCGGATCCTTGAAGCGCTGACCCGACACACGAGTTCCGTGTCGGCCGCGCCGCTGCGGAACATCGAGCAAAAAGCTAGCTTTTGCAAACGTTCGACAAACTTGGTGCTATTACTAATCGTGAGATTCTCCGGTGAATATCGTGGTTGAGGAATTGCTCATCACCATTACGGTCTGCCAACAAGCGGCAGCCAAAACATCAGCGTATGGTGTTGGAGCCAAAAGAAAATGGCAAAAAAGAAGCTGTAATCCAGGAATTTAACCTGGTAATTGCAGTATACCAATTGATTTGGGGTAGTTGCATCAGCCGTGAATCGAACTGCAGTTGTTGTTAGAAAGGGTCTAATAATCGACTGTCGAGTTCACGTACCACGGGGCTAATCGATCATGCACATGGCAACGATTAATTTTACCACTAAACCACTGAAGCTTATTTTGAAGTGAATGAACCACTTTTGGATGGTGCCGGACTCCGCGGCAACGTTTATGAAGCTTWGCACACATCCAATGCTTGACAGTAGAAACGCTCCGAGCATGCCTTTGCATGTCTTCCCATGGGAGGGAAAAGCAAAGCTGGAAATGATGCGCTCTGACCCTCAGGGGCAAAGGTTCTAGCGGCTGTTCCAACCAAGGGCTGCTCATCCATGTTTGATGAGCTGGTGGAGAAAGATTGCGCAGTTCAATAATACACATCCCAAAGCAAGTGTGTAGAGCATTGCGAATATCTTGTTGTTATTATTCTAGCGGACCATACGACCTGGGGAGGGTGAAGTCCAAAAATAGCCGCTCATCTCGATCGGCACACGCTAGGATCTCCAAGCGCTTGTGTCCCCCTCCACCTGCCAATCGAGCTCCAACTTCCTTGTCAACACGCGCCGCAGTTCGGTTGTCGCGAGCGAGCTTTGCATTTGGACTGGGGCTTGTACTGCCGTGGACTTTTGTCGAGTGTTGTGACGCGGCCGGCACCCCCCCACGCCTCTGCAGCTCAGCCCAGCCCAGCTCATCTCATCTCGTCCGACCCGGATATGAGTGCCTCGTCTCGCCCGCGCCCTGACGATGACCATGACCGCACCGACCGTCCCGCCGCCTCGACGCGATCCGACGTCCGGATCCCACCGCCAGAGTCATCTGCGAGCAACAGCCAGGCTTTTGCCCAAAATGCCGCCCTTCCACCTTCCGTCGACACGTCCATTGCGCTGCCGCACAGAAGCAYCGCACACGTCTCGCCAGCCAGCGCCGGACTCACACTAAAGACCGACGTCGACGGACAAGCCGTTGCAGGTGGATCGCGATACAACGAGACGCCCACCATCTCCTACGGTTCCGATCTGCCAATAGACTCGACTGCGTCTCATACCTCCAGCCACTTGCCCGCCATGGAGTCCTCCCTGCGTTCCAACATGTCCATGTCGAGCTTGACATCCTCGCTCAGTGCCGGATCCAATCCTGCCCTGCCATCTCCGTTCCTCGCGGCGATGCCCGATCTCACTCCGCTGCCCTCGCCGGTGGTGGGCTCCGACACAGTCTGGCGTCGACGCCAGACTCGAGCTTCAGTCAGTTCGCGTGAGGAGAGTGACTCTACGTACCTCAGCAAGCCGCATTCCCTGCCCACCTCTCCAGAGTCGCCTTCCAAAAGAAAGAAGGCGTACGGCAGTCTAATGCACGAAGCGGCAGTCGCGAATGCTGCAAGTATGGCTGGGGCACAGGATTTGGCGAAATCTGGCTCTCATTCGCGGAACCGCAGCATTTCCGACTTTGTTCCAGAGCAGTTGCACAATGTACGGCCACGACATGTCACCCTTGGCCAAGCGGATACGACCAGTCTGGAGAATCCAGAATACCACATGCAGCGAGAGGCATACCTTGCAACACAGCGAGGGCTTACCGCAACGGCACCGCCGACTTTGGAAAAACCCAAGCAGCTACCCACTCCTCCTGCAAGTACCTACAGTGTTTCGGCAAACGACGAAACGGATGAAGAATTGCCGCATCTAGAGGATGGCACGCCCTCTGACTTTCTTGTCATACATTGTGGAATTCATAACAAGCGTCGCAAGTTCAGGCAGCTGCGACAACTCGGTCAGGGCACCTTCTCCACCGTGATGTTGGCGACTCGAGAGCACATCACTGCACATCCTACACCCGAGATAGAGGCGCATCTAGATCCGCACAAGTTGGTCGCTGTCAAGATTCTAGAGCATGGACCGGCGGGAGGCGCCGACGAAGAACGTATCGAAACGAGCCTGAGACGTGAAGTGGAGATGCTCAAGAGCATATCCCACCCGTCATTGGTCCAACTCAAGGCCTGCGAGCATCAAGCCTCACGCACATTGTTGGTCCTCTCATACTGCCCTGGTGGCGATCTCTTCGACTTTGCAAGTCAGAAGCGTGCACTTTTGACTCCACCGCTCATTCAGAGGATGTTTGCAGAACTCGTCAGTGCTGTGAGATATCTGCATTCGTCCGGAATTGTCCACAGGGACATTAAACTTGAGAACGTCCTTGTCAACATGTCCGGATCTGCACTACAAAACTTAGAGGACCCGACCACGCACGCCAAGCCGATCGTGACCCTCACAGATCTCGGTCTGAGCAGGCGGATACCTGAGCCACCGGAATCTCCTCTTCTAACGACACGCTGCGGAAGTGAAGACTACGCGGCGCCCGAGATCCTCCTGGGACAGCCTTACGACGGACGCCTCACAGATGCATGGGCACTAGGTGTTCTTCTCTACGCACTTCTTGAAGGTCGATTACCGTTTGATGCACCTCCTGGGAAACCGGAGCGCAGTAGAAATACTCATCGCATTGCACGCTGTGACTGGATTTGGTGTCGACTTGGAGATGAGGATGGCGATTGGAGTCCCACACGTGGTAAAGACTTTGAGGGTGCTCAGCATTGTGTCGAAGGTCTGCTCAAGAAAGTCCGCATGGGAAGGAAGCCTTTGGAGGAGATTGAGAAGCTGCCGTGGGTGCAAAATGGTATCAAGGTACCTGGAGGTCTGCAGGCGGACGAGGATCAGGAACTAGATTGATTGTGGCGTTTTCGGAGGATGAAAAGTCTCGCTGACCTTGCGAGGTATGATTTGAATGGTGGCGAAGATTGCGTTGGGGTGTTCTGGGATTGGCGTGCTTTGCTTGTAAGAGATACCCGAGAAGAGTGAGTGTATATGAGTTGAAGTTTGGAGCATAATGTGTCTCGCAATCGCAGCCTTCTGGCTGCGCATGATGTAAGTCAGTGGGATTGTTGGACTGGGCTGACGTACTGCATATTGCAGCATAGCGTTCGCTCACTTGAGCGTCGTCGCGAGTCTACGGTATGGTGAGACTTTGCCACGCGAAGCAAAGTCCCGAACTTGCATATCTTGCGAACACGTCAACGATGTACTACGCTGCTCTGGATGCCTACTGAAGGATGGGCGTGAGACATACTGGCTTGATACATGTCCCTCCTTCTCGAGAAGTGCTGAGTCTTCACATTGACGCGAGTGGCTGGAACCAGTCACTCACTCGCCTTCGAAGTGGTCGAAATTTTTAGATGGGAAGGAGCTCGGCATTTTCGTTCCACTGCGGGTCTCCTATCCATACAGGCGTCAGATGGTATACATGATCATTTTCCGTGCTCGTTAGACGACGTAGGCAAGGAGAAATGAGTTTATGGATTCTGAAGTGAATGACATGCACAGATAGGTCACATTGATTGTGATCTGACACATTGAACAATACCTTGCATCATCTCAAGCTGTCTGGGTACGACAAATCCATTATTATTCGCTCTCTCTTGTCCTGTTTCCATGCCACAGACGGGGAGTGTCTTCTTTGGCAAGTCAGTGCAGCAAATTTGTTCTGTTATCACCAGACGAAACTATGTGATCTGGAAGTTTCTACCGAAATTCCTTGTATCATCGTAGCCATTGCTCCTTCAGACCAAGTCAACGTACTTTATGAGGTTTTCTGGCCGATGGATCCATCTTAGTGCCGGGATACATGGAGGTTGCGCTACCCCAACCCTAACCCTCGGCGCCACACCAGCAAAGCAGCCCTGGAAGGTGGACTTGGATGCTCATATCCTGCTGAACATAGCCAGAGATGTAAGCTTGTTGCATCTATTATGTAGAGACCGGCAGTCTCTGTTCTCCGCTCCCCTGTCCCTTGTTAATTGGCTACGTGGGCCACTCGACAAAGTATCCGCTCAATTGTACGACCGACTGAACCTGTCCTTCACAGCAGCCATTGGACTCTCCATCATCTCAAAAGTGTTAGTCCACCTTCTTCTCAGCCCACTACTATCCACCACAACCACATTATCCGGAGCAGCCTCATAGTAGAAATGTCCTTCATCATTGTTTAACTTCCAGCTCACACGATACTGCTCTCCTGAGGGACCACATCCACAAGATCCCGCCAGTTTGTCGCTTGGAGGGCTATTGACTGCCAACGAGAAGAGGTTCATTGGCTCGCTGAAGTCCGTGTACCACTCCTTGTGTACAAGAAAATATGCCAGAATCATGAAGTTCATGAGGAACACAGCGAACAACACGAGGTGGAAGGCCATCTGATAGTCCCGGTTGCCTCCAGATATGTACTTCTGTGCACGGACGGAGGCGTTAAAGTACTGATATTGGCCGGTTCCGATGATAGGGAGRGTGTAGTTCCACGGCTGCGCCACGAATGGCGTGTCGGTGATTGACTGGATCAACGTGCAACCGGATAGAACGGCCAGCGCTTCGGCCATGGACGGTAGGGCAACGTTGTACTCCTCCTTCGTGGCGATCATCTGCGTGAGCACTCGAGCATTGGATGCATTGCCGTCGGTCAGACCAGCACTCAGTGAAAGGCCTATTGATGTCAGCATTGTTCTATACGCGAATGTGAGGAAGCGATACTTTTCGCCCAGCTTCCGGCAATATTAGCCCAGTCTGGATTGAACGTGTTGTTGCCTATCCAGCTTGTGCTGGAACTCTTCCAGTACTGGAGCGGATCTGCATCATTCTCACACATCGCTTCCATCGTGGCTCCGTTGCTAGATGCGTTATAGTGTGTCGAGCAATTCGAGGAAAGTCCTGCTTGTAGTTGACACAGCGCGTAGTTGTTGCCGCCATCTGCGGTCGTAGGGCTACTACTGTAATCCAGCGRACCGCCTTTCCCAAGGATGTAGATTGTTCTGCGTCCCCAGGTTCCGACACCAGTAGTATCGTTGACTAGGGTGTTGTAGTCGGCAGGAAGTTTTGGGAACACTGGCGGAAATCGACTGACACCCTTGTCGGGTCCCCATTGGAATATATCGTCGAATTCGGTCCCATTGAGGTACKGGTCCGCATACCCATAGTTTCTTGGCCAGCCTGCACCAGTAGTGTAATTCCAGCCATCTGCCTGTCCATCCCAGAGACCGTAAACAAAAGGCTTCAGATCCAGCCGGTTCAACGTCAGACAGATCACATTGACGATCGGGGACGGTACAGACGCGCGGATATTTATCTGAGCACCATCCAAGTCATCGGGTTGTATCAACTTATTGATTGGATCCATTGCTGCTTGTATGACGCCGACATGGGGCATCGCCATCGTAACCTCATTCACCCAGCGTGTGCCATTGTGTGTCGTTATGTTTTGCTTGTTGATCCATGGCGCCATAATGGTAGTGTTGTCTTGGTGAAGCGCATAGCCCATCGGTCGCAAGTTGATATCTGAACTGCCAGAGCCGTTGTGTACTATGTCGCTCCAAGTCCCAAGCCTAGACACCCGAGAATGTCAGTTCTTCGCCTGACAAACAGTCGCGAGATCCAAGCAGGACTAACCAGGTGCGGTAGTTGTGATATGCCATTGCAGCATGCTCGATCTCACTACAAGCCGTTGCTCGTGCCTTGTCGTCGTCGTCGCTGTCATATGCGGGTGTTATTGGTGTTTTGCAGCCGCTGGATATATATAACGGATTCGCCCACTGGCTCTTGACCAGCCCTCCGAGGGTCTCAGACTTCCACGGAGAGAACTTCAGCTGTGGCTGAACAAGTGCTGTGGCCTGAGTGCACGCCGACGGTCAACAGATGTACAGGATCACGCTCATCAGAACGACTTACAGCGGATGTGTAGAGAATCGCAGCAAGCGTCGCCAGGAGAGAGATCAATCCCAGCACGGAGATCGCAGCGTACCGCACACTTTCATAGTTGGTGAGCATACTCCCCGGGGCAATAATCCAATTTCTCATTGACATCTCCGCGAGCGTAACGCCACGCGCATTTTCAAGTTTGAAAGCCCTTCGTGCCAGAGCCTGCCCAACAAAAGCGACAACGACTGTGACGAAGGACAGTTCGATCAATTTGGCGAACATTGACGTGAGGRAAGCAGCCATCGGAGGCTTCAGACGTCCTCCTGGTGGTAGACTGCTTCTGTGCAAAGCAATTCCCAGAAATATGCCCGAGAAACTGCTAGAAAAAACGGCCAGGATGAGGATGGTGACTGGTACCCAACTGCTGAATCGTGGTCGCTTCACACCTTTTGTGCTTTGGCAATGGTGATGTGGCTCGAAGTCGTCGTAGCGAGAGCGTATCGAAAGTAAGCCAGCATCCGATCGTGCGTACGTGGAAGGCGGAATCGTGGATTGCAACGAGGTTCTGGACTCCTTTTTCATCGTTTTGGATGCCGCATAAGAGGTATCCAGATTGCCAAAAGACTCGTCGAATTGTGTACTCCCAGACATGMTTCCTGTATAAGGGGTTGAAATCGTGGAACCCTGCCCTCCAATGCCAATGCCAATGCMAATCCGGGTTGGTGTGGTTGGAGAAGGCAAGATGGATTGCGTACTAATACGGTCTGGCTCCGCTCCAGGAGACATTGCGATGCCCAGTCCATGATTCCCGGGTATTGGAGCCTCCTCCGTCATGGAATCTGTTATGTCGCGGGCGATGATGTCTTCAGTAAATGAGACGGATGCTACGCGTGCGTAGCCTGGCCTGTGTCTAGCAGCAACGTTTTGGGCAGTCGAATCAGGAGAAGTGGCCGGGTGTCTCGATGGCCTATGGTGCTTCGGGAGACTCGAAGATGACATGGTTTGCTAAATTGTAGCACGAATGACAAAGAGTCCGCGGATGGTGATCCGCAATCTGCGAGTACCCGTCGGGATCGGTGCGGGCATGTAGTCGGTCGGGAAGGCACGAATGTGTTCAGGTATAGATTTTTGTCGCACGATGGAACAGAAAGGGAGAAAGTKAGCGGGAGGAAGTCGTTCAAGACATGTGGAAGTGAAAGGAATGTCCGTAAGGCTGCGGCTGAGGCTGCGGCGGACTCGCCTTCGATGTAGAACAGTCCCGTATGTCGGGTCCTAACTTACATGTACATGCACTGTCCCTATTAACAGCTCCTCCCGCATCGTGGCGTCGCCTACTGCAGTCGTGAATCAGCTCACTCGCCCGACCGCAATAATGGCAGCGATGACGGGAGCAAGAGAAGAGATAAAGGATATTAGGCGAGCTGTGCTCAAGTATTTGGCCCTTAGCGCTAGTACGTAATTGGTATAGTTATTCGTATTATTATTAGCTGTTTATTAGGATTTACGCTAACTATAGAATTCACCTATTAGAAATTTTTATTTTTATTATATACTTCTTAAGTTTCTAAGAACCGTAACGTCTATATAGAATAAGATTCTAATAAATAAACTTAGCACTATTATTAATATAGTAGACTCTTTATTCTTAGAACTTAGCCTTAATACTACTAACTAATATATTCTATAGTAGTAAGCTATTAAGACGCTAAGTAGTATTTCTTTCTAATAGTATTAAAATAGGTCTATAACTACTAACTAATATCTTCTAGTAAAGTTAATAGTTAAAAGGCTATAATACTTAATTTATAAGTTAATCTCTTAGAATTTAGTCTTTAAAGCTAATCGCTATTTTAATATTATACTATTTATTAACTAAGGGCTAAGCTTTATAATAGAGGTTAGCGCTATTAWGTAGACTATAGTTTTACTTTCGAAGTAGATAGAAGTCTTTAGTAGTATTAGAACTAATAGTGCTTTTAGTCTTATTAATTTATTAAACGCTTAGTCTTAGAATAGGCGTAATATAACTAAATATTAATTTTTACTATTATATCTATTACTAATAATAGGTCTTTATCTTTAGCTATTAGTTTTTAGAACTTAGTAATAGTCTTAGTTATTAAATAGGTCTAATACTTCTAACTAATACTATATACGGCTTATAATAGTAAAAAGTTAGATATTATAGTCTAAGTTAAGAAGCTATATTATTTTCTTTTAATAATAGATCTTCGTCTTTAAATCTTAGTATCTATAAGACTAGAACTTAATTTTAGAATACGCGTAATACTAATAACTAATATATTCTATAATAGTATATATTTTAGATATAGTAGAGCATCTTAATATATTAAGCTTAACTATATAGTCCTAGAACCTAGCGTTTAAATAGGTCTAACACTATTTACTAATACGTTACGTAAGATTAATTAGTTAAGATCCTATTTTAGATTTTAGAACTTAAACTTAGCTTTAAAATATATCTAGTACTTCTTACTACTACTAGTAATATATTCTATAGTAGCGAGTTATTTAATAGAATACTAAGGCACTTCTTTCTAAGTCTACTAATAGATCTTAGTCCTTAATACTTTAAATACGCCTATTACGGGCGAGCAGCGTATATATAGGAACTTAGATAAGGTTTTAATTAAATAAGTTCGATAGGAAAGAGAATTATCCTCCGCGGATTCCGAAGTAAAGTACGCGGATACTAAGCGTTCTATATAGGCTACGCCTATACTTCTAGCTACTATAGAACAAGTAGCTTAATTCGTAGAAAAGATTAAGGAAATTACTACCTTATCTTAAAGCTAGTATAGCGGATTTCGTATAGAAATAAGAGGAAGCCGTAAATAAGTTATATAAACTAGTACTAGTCTATAAGGTCGGCGATAAAGTCTAGCTTAACTTAAGGAACTACGGTACTAACCGGCCGAAGAGGAGTCTAGTAGAGAGATATATAAAATATACTATCTCTAAAGTATTATCGCTAGTATTCTTTAGGTTAACGAGGCTCTTTAAGAATATCTACCCCGTATTCTACTCGGATAAGCTAAGGCTAGCGAGTAGCGACCTTCTACTTAAGTAGGAGTCCGATAATAAATAGCCGGACCTAGTACTATTTAAGACTTACGACGAGTAGGAGGTAGAGCAAATTCTCTATATAAGGAATAAACCTCGAAATAAAGGAAAGGGGAGGGAAGTACTAATAAAATAGGCTAGATACTACGAGCTTATATAAGAACCCTTAGAAAACTTATCGGATACTACGGCTCTAGATCTTTTTAAGACTTAATACGGTAATATAGTAGAAAATAACGGCCTTAAGGAAAAATAAAGGAAAGTAAGGACTAAACGCCGGACTTAAAAAGGGATACTACGAGGATAAAAGGTAGAGTATAGGATTACTAGAGTTTAGAGCGATTTAGAGGACTTTAGCCGTTATTTAACGGCTTTTAGAGAATAGGTTACGAATATAAGCGTTATAAGATTATTTTTAGGACTTTTTATTAGAGATTATAGAACTTATAAGAAACCGACGAAAAAGAGACGGGAACCGACGTTTTATAATAGTAATATTTTATTTCTTAGATATACTAGAAGAGATTTATAGATTTTAAGGTTATTCTTATAGAGCCTAACTAAAATACTATTTACTTAAGCTAAGAACGGCGCTTTCCTAGCTATAAAGTAGGAACTAAACTACTAAGACTACTATAGTTAGCGATAGAGAAGTAGCGGAAAATAGGGTAAACTTATATAAGAGAGGCTTATATAGCCTTAGTATTAATAGTAATATTTAGAGTATTATATATATAACTAAAATTCGGTTAGCGACGAAAAAGAGCTAGAGAGCGGAGAACTTATAAAGGAAGTAGTATCTAGAGTTTTAGAATCTCTAAAGGCTTAATAACCTTAATAGCGGTCTTAAGGTTCTTAAAGATAATCTCGCTAAAACGCGTATAAGCTAATAGAAAATAATCGGGAAGTAGGTAATATCTTATACTTCCTCCTTATTCTTAGCTCTAGTCTAGGTAGCGTATATAGTATAGTAAAGAGACGGGCTAAATCCTACGATTAGCGAGGTAAAGCGGTCGGAACCCGGTATATATATATAAGGCCTTATAGGGTTAACGCTAGTCGGAGTATAACTTATAGGCTTAAGTACGGGAAGACTAAGATATTAGTAGAGAGCGTAGGAAAAGTATCGGAGTTCGGGGACTTATCTTCTAAGTTATATAATTAACCCTAAAGTTAGCGTAGCTAATATAGTAGATATAGTTTAGCTTAATTATCTAAGGAAACCGGTTAAAAACTATTAGAAAGTAGGGGAAAAGGGGGTACCTCCTAAGAGGAAGGAAGGGGGGGAAAGAGTAATAATTCGTACGTTAGTAAAGGTATAGCTAACGAAAGAAAGAGGGGAGGGGGGGGGGATCCGCTATATATACGTAGCGGAACGTATAGTAAATAGCGAAGTAAGGCGGAGTAAGGTAGCGGTAAATAACTCTAATCGTAAGTTAGTAGCGCTTTTTAGCTTAAGTTCGACGGTTCTAGTACGGAGAGGTAAAGTAAAGTAAGAGCGGAATATAAGAAGGATAGGAAGCGTATATATACGTATATAGCTATCTAATTATAAAGTAGAGGGCGGTAATAAAGTAAGCGGCTAGAGCCTAAGAATTTTTTCCCGCGCTCCGCGCTAAAGAGGAAGGAGAAGAGGAAGGAGAGGAGTAATATAATAGGCGAAGCTCTAAGGCTAAAGTATAGGCGTAGCCTATATAGAACGCTTAGTATCCGCGTACTTTACGTCGGAATCCGTAGAGAATAGTTCTCTTTCCTATCGAACTTATTTAGTTAAAACCTTACTTAAGCTCCTATATATACGTTACTCGCCCGTAATATTTACTAATTAATAATATAAGGGTAATTAGTTAAGATACCATATTAAATATTTCTACTCTTAGCGCCTAAACCTACTTTATTATTAGAAAGAGCTCTTAACTAATTTATTTAGAAGCTTTTTAATAGATTACTAAAACATCCTAGGTCGTTCTAGTAAAGTACCTAAATTCTAAGAGTATAAGGGAGTAAAAAGAACTCGTAGTTTTCGAATGTAGGGTAAATTCTAAGGGTCTAAAGCGAGGACTTAAAAAAACAGCCGGAGGATTCAAAAGAACTCGTGGTATCACGTGCTGTCACTCACGTGATGTTACTTTTTCAACTTTGGCTGTGAGCCAATAAAACCTTATTTGGGATTCCAACTGTCCAGTATTATAGGCGGCAAGGGCCAATGAGTCCAGTTAATGCTTGCGGTGGCTTGGACATGGAAGCCATCATGGACAATAGACCGTACATTCCGCTGTCTCTACAGTGCGCCAGTTAACGGAACTGATTGTTAGATGGAATGAACCATTGTATCGCAAGGTAGAGTAGTCTTGTACTGTATGTAAGCTGCGGTGCTCTGGGAGAAGTTGAATGACAGTCGGGGCTCGGGAGAGGAAAGGACGGGAGCCCCACAACACAAGCCGTGCACCGTAAATAGCCGGATGAACTTCGGCGTTTCGATCACGCCAAAGCCGCTCATGAAAAGCCACAACTCCAAGACCGACACCGACACCGACATTACATGTTCCTTAATATTGGACTCACTCACTTTGATCATGGAAGCATCGCATCTTCGTCACGGACCTCAACATGGCATTCTCAAAGCATTGGCAATGTAGTCGGAACAAATCTCAATGACATTTGAACCTCGAGTCACCACTTTCCACGCGTTCCATATTTTAAGGTCGTAAGTGACGTTCTCTCATCTGAAGCAGTTCTCCATCAAGAGAAGGCGCTTTCGTGGCAGGTGCTGCCTTCTCCAAATTAAATGTTTGATTTAGGACGTACCTCCACGCTGAAGGTGTGCCATGCAGTTCGATCCAGACGATTGAACAATACCTCACACTTGACTTCGAGCAACCTGGTTACTACCAAAGTATTCGATCGCCCCCGTTTCATCAATGACCTACGCCACGGACCTTATGTTGCAAAGATTCAAGGACAGCACATCGTTTCGAACCTCGCTTCCAGCTTCAACTTCCTCAGAACATACCGATAACAGCGGACCGAGCGACATGAGTGAGATCCAAAACGCCGTCCGAGCCCACAACAAGGCGAGAATTCCCAGAGAATGTCCTATAATGCAATGGGATGCCGAACTTGCCGCAATGGCTTCCGAATACGCCAGAATTCTCGCAATCTCAGACAAGCTGGAGCGCTCAGGGGTCCAGGGACAGGGAGAGAATCTTTACGCCAGTGCCGCCGAGAGCAACTACATCGATGCTGTGGAAGTATGGCTCGCCGATACGAGCCAGAAGAAGATTGAGGAGGAAGTGGAGAATCTTGGTCATTTCAGTAGGCCAGAAACGATATACTATGTTGCGCTGTGCTCCACTAACGCTGGATTTGCAGCTCAGTGTGTTTGGCACAGTACGACACATCTGGGTATGGGAAAAGCAAAGTCGAAGTCCGGCTTGACATATGTAGTTGCTCGCTACACGCCACCAGGAAACATTGTTGGACAGAAGCCGTATGAGTGCTGAGAAGCATGAGGTCTGCAATAAGGTAGACCTACCTATCATCGAGTAAAACTTCGCCACATAGCTTGTTCCTACTCCAGAATCATTTCTTGACCGCGGGTGGGATCTCGTTCAATGATTGGTCTCCAAGWAACGACCGCCCATCTGCTGGCCTGTGGACGTCTGCTGGAGTAGCATGGCTATCTCATCAACTGGATGGCTCGCTCTTGTTGACATGTTTTCTGCGGCCGCCTCATGATCTCCAGGATGTAATTGCATTCTTGGTGATCCCGCCGATGCAGCCTGGGGTCCAGAGCCACTGGGGAAGCTCTGTGCAGTTGCTTGATGGTCTCCGGGATGGAGCCGCATGATCGGCGCTGCTGGTGGAGCTGCAACATCTGCCGATGTTCCTTCTGCTTTATCTGTCTGCTGCTGTGTGTGTAGTATTTCTTGATGCTCATCAAGTCCAGTCGACTGGTGGTCTGCTGTGTGCCGAACATCCGTGGAAGCTGAGATGGCCGGTTCTGGGTCCGGCTCCTTGCCATCTTTCTCCAATGCTTTTTGAAGCTCTTCACCCCACAAAAGCGTGAAGTTTACGTTGAAAAACATATCTCCAGTTGTTCGATTTTTGAAAACGTATCTCAAACAATGCGTCTTGTCACCAACGTACTTTATCACCTTGAGACTGAAGCCTGGCAGCTTCAGCATGAACTAGTCATCACAGCAGTCAGCGATCCCCCCTTTTAGCCAGCAAGTGAGGGCGTACATACGTTTCCAAAGTCCAAGAAACCGTTGTAGAAGTCCTGAGATCCAATGAGCATGAGCATCTTACGTTGGAAAGGTGTGGACACCTATTCTCACCCCGCTGTACACTCTGCCTTTTTCAAAAACAAAAGACTGGCGATTCTCCGCGTCGAGGAAGTGTTTTCTCCGCTTCTCGTTGTTACTGGGAAGTCCGAGTCTGTCTCTGAGCTCCTGGCCTGTTCCGTCGGCACCTTCGTGCATCACGCCTGGACTTGGGAAGTCATCGCCTTCCTTTACCGTCTCACCTATACGTAGAGCGAACCAACAACTCAAACTAGGTCCGTATAACCACGGCTCGTCTGCGTACGCATCGCATGAAAGTCCTGGATCGATGAATTCTTTGACGATGCGGAACGCAGTGTTAAAGCCTAGGAACTCTTGTTAACACTGCTGACAATCTTGAAGTCTGGTCGCGTTACCAGGTGGTATGCGATCTCTGACGGGATGGTCAAAATCATTGCCCCAAACGGTGTCTACACTTGGGATATCTTGCTTTGGAACAAAGCTAAAGCCGAGTGAATACTGGTCCCGAGAATGCATTGGGTCTGTGAAGTATTCTGTCGATGTCGATGGACTTGAGGAAGGAAGGCCACGGAATCCCTTGACACGAACCACTATCTTGGCCACCATGAATTCGTTCTCTATCATGGTGGGAATCTCGGTGTTGACTCTGACGATTTTGTGGGTGCTCTGGTCGTACTGAGGTCCCGCTGTCACCAAGAGTCGGTATTTGTCTYGCTCATGTTGCACCGCGGGATCCAACGCGGAATCGGAGCCACCTCGTAGCCTGGATAGGAAGGAGCTCATCCTAGGGCGATCTTCCAGTAAGATCAGCGGTGATGTGTTGATGCTTTCAGAACTCGAAGCTTGAGCCGATGTTCAAGTTGCTCGTGCATGAGTGCAGCATTACGTCATCAAACATGGAGATGACAACCTTGGTACAGTGCTACACAGGCAAAAGTCTTGTATTTTCTGCAATAACGACAGTACGATAAGAAGACATTGTTCGACAAGAAATTTACTTAACTCTCCATAGGACCGCTGCTTTTTGTGCTTATAGCTACCTGTTCGTGAGCATTGTCGTCAATTCATTACAGGGAGAGGCGGCAATCTTCAATTTCGGCGGACCTTGTACGTTGGTAGCATATTCGAATATGTGAAATGGAATGGATGGAGCTAGCCAGAGACTTCTATACTCTCGTTTCGGACGGCTACTCACTCAATCTTCGAGGTCCACTATAGGCTCTGAGAAGATAGGCGGTCGTTGTATGGAGCTTTAGAGAGTGAGCACTGCTGACCCAAGGCTTCTCGCCCCTTCAATGTGTGGCAGGCCTGCTGCAGTATGCCTTGGCGGAATGACAATAGACTGATTGTATTCCTGCACAGAGTCCAATCTACAACGTCACCGTGTTTGGCGGCTCACTGCAGCTACCTTGACATCGCTCGCGGTTGGAGCCGTATCGATCAGGCTTGGCACTAGAACGCAGATGATCTGGACCGGTGATGTTTTCCTTCGTGGTAGCGAACAGCAAACCTGAGGGTCTAGAGAGACCAGGCTACAGCCCCGAACCGCCAGTTTGTTCAAACTTTCTGGATGCGAGTGTACGGATTGCGCTCATTCGTCACTAAGGTAAGTAGTGTGTTGAATGTCTGCACTGGCGACATGTGTCTAGGAAGTATGCAAGGAATGATACCTTTCTCCATGTTGAATGGAATCATTGTCCCAGGGCTCCTGATATGCATAACTGACGCATTTGCACATCGTAAAAATTTCCAGAGCGTCCATCCGTTACATTGTGTAAGTGGGCAGAGACGTCCGTGGGAGGTGCTTGTATCGTGCATGGTGCGAGTTCATCTAACCTGGCGCCACTAAAGATCCACCAGCTGCTCCTTGTTTCACCCCACGGAAGTTGCTCATCTAATACGAGGGTGAGGGCGCTGTGGCCCAGGATAATCCCAAGTATTGTATTTGAGTCGGAGCTTAGCCACTGACCGGCGCCGTCAAGGCTGAAACCAAWCCGAAAGGAATCCCCATATTAATCGCAGACTGGAGCTCGATAGCGATTGGTTGAAGATGAGTCGGCCATGTTCATAGGCGTGTTGGTCGCGAATCTGATCTTAGGTGGCAGGTATGTTGCACATGTCAGCTCAGCCATTGAGTGGGGCGACGACGAACCACRCCGAACAATGCAGGTAAGGCCACATTGCGATCGCATTTTCGCTTTGCGGTCAACACTGCTAGATGCATCATGCAGGCCGCGATCTGGACAACATGACTCTGCGATCTCGATGTTAGGTGAAGTGTGTGGCTCGTTCTCGGCTCACATGACTACGAAGCGATCCCTAAGACAGTCAACGGCTCACCTCAGCACGTTTTATCTGCTTGGCGATTTCTCTGTGGGGCGACCGATGTTGTAAGATAATAACGTACCTGTTGGCAGCAGAGCAAGATCGCGAATGTCTCGGAGAAGAAGGGGATGGAGATGGAAATAGGCTCGAGGCTAGATCGAACAGGGCTAGCTTGGTGAATGCCGCTTCCTGGTTCACTTCACATCAAATCTTTCCAAACGCTGATAATGCTGGTATCGTCAGTGGGTAATGATATCAAGACGAGCATGAGTCTTCAAATCATACTGGCAGCATGCGTGCCATCCACTGCGCTGGATATATGCGGTCTGACACGCAGGTAAGATAGATACAGCTCACGCACAGCTCTTTCCGTCGTTTCCTCACCACACTCTCTATTCTCATCAAATATTTCACTGCCCGAGCTTCGTCACATCCCTACTCGGCGCAGGCATTGCAATCTTGGAGAATCGTTCGCACCTTGCGATCACAGTGCACGCATTACCTCAAGGCTTCTTATCCTTATTCCGAGGCGGCTCGGCATCGAGCGGCTGACACAAATGTCCTCCTGCGGTTTTTGAAGCTCACTGCACTGCCTRCTAATGTGCGACGAGGTGTCGAGATGATGAAACCAGTGACTTTCATTGCTACTTTCATCTCTGCGATCTTCCCCTCTCGCTGAATGCTTTACATTCGCTGTGCAACTTCCGCCTACTTCAGGCCGCTTGAAGCACATCGATTCATCTTTATTCCTCTTGATCCAAGCTCAATTCTCTATGCGGTTCCATCAGATAATGTTGTTCCTCGGCGCTGGACTGTATGAAGTGTCAGGACAGACCTGCAACAACAGCCCCTCACTTTGCTCACGACAGTACAATAACATCACTTACCTTGGCGCACATAACTCTCCATTCCTTCGAGATTCCTCGACGGGGTTTTCGACAAGCGGGAATCAGTACTACAACACCTCCGTGCAACTTGCAGCGGGTGTCCGGCTTCTTACAGCGCAAGTTCAAACAMCTAGCGACTCCACAGCTCTGCATGTCTGCCACTCGAGCTGTAGCCTTCTAGATTCAGGGACACTTAGTAGCTGGTTGAGTGAGATCAAGACTTGGATGGACTCTAATCCGAACGAAGTGATCACCATTTTGCTGGTGAATGGAGCTGGCGCCATTGCAAGTGCTCTTGCCGAGGCATATACGACGTCTGGTCTCGTTGATCTGGCTTACACACCTCCCTCCATCGCAGCCAACKGGAGTTGGCCAACTCTCGGCTCCCTAATCGGCAGCGGTACTCGGGTGATGAACTTTGTAGCATCGCTGGAATCCAACACTGCTGCACCGTATCTGATGTAAGATCATCCCTCGATAGCCGCCTCACACAAACACTGACACGGCCAGGAATGAGTTTACGTACATCTTTGAGAACAGCTACGATAATAGCGTGCCAGGTGATTTCTCCTGCTCGCCGAAACGACCCACAAGCATTGCGAACGCTACCACTAAAGCAATCTTGTCTGGGTACCTTTCTCTAATGAATCACTTCCTTTACGAAGATCAGGCCTTCGGCATCCAATCGCCAAACGAAACCTACATAAGAACGACGAATGCGCCCGGTGGTTCTCCGGGAAACCTTGGTGCCCATGCGGCAATGTGTGCATCCGCTTATGGAAAGGCTCCGACATTCATGCTTGTCGACTTCTTCAACGTTGGACCGGCGATTGCAGTTGCAGACAACCTGAACGGGATCTCGCCAACTGGCAGTGTCGATATCACCAGTGATACTTTGATGGACACATCCAGCGCGATAATAGGAATGCGTATGACCCCACTCCTTTGGTATTGCTGTGCGGCCTTGGTCGTATACTTCATACGATAGACGAAAAGTAGAATATGGACAACAACGAAATCATGAGAATTTAGCCGAATGTTAAAGTCAAATGCAAAATGAGCAGATCGACCACATGGGTCTCTCCGGGAGGAATGGGATTTTTGTTTTCCAAGACCGGCGGTAGCGGGAGAGCCTGCGTCAAGTGCCAAGCGACTGGTCATTATTGGGCCCAAGAGTGGTCTTCAAATATGTAGGCCTGTCGTCTCGTGATCCCGCTTCGCTCCCTTGCAAAATGTAACATTATCCGACGCTCGTCGACCAGCTCGACGACAGGAGGGGCGGCGTGCGACGGAATCCGCACATAGGTGAGCGGGGGTGCAAGACGTGCAAGGATGGTTAGGTGCCGCCGAGATGGCAAGGCCAGTCGGAACGATTGTCAGACACCTGGTTCATGGCTCATGATCTGGTGACGACCCAGAGGAGTTCGCCCGTTCCAAGATACGGAGTGGACGGTGCGATGCGAACCACGCAGTGCAGGCTGTCAGCTGCATGCCGGAGGCGCTGCGTGTGGTCGTCGCACATTCGCAGTATTGAGGAGTACATATTTCCTCTCCTCGACACTAGTTTGCTCGGCACATCATGATGGTGAGAAAGCGCAGAGCCAGGATTCAAGGATGCATGCGGCCGATGCGATCTCGGCTCCGCCATAACTGCAGTGCATACATCGCACATGACTTTCACTCTATTCCAAGTGCTAGCCGCGTGCTAGATTACCATGCTATGATACCTCCATTCCCAAGCCACCCTGCGCACAGCATGAGGCTCAGTGGCATTCTCGTTTCCGGCATCACGGATGGCTAGTGATGCACTCTCACCCACCGCAGATGCTCGGTCGAGATCTCGTTGGCCGTGGAATGGACCCGGTGGCTCGTTGTGTCGGGCTCCTGTGCTCACTGTCACTTGAGTGTTCAAATCTGAGACGGGCTGTCAAGCTGTCAAAAGAGATGCATTGTCACTGCCCGGTACATGGAAAGCGGCGGAGGCGGTGCTTGAAAGGCCGAGTGGACCAAGGTGGAGAGCCTTCCAAAGGGTATGCGCACCTAGCCACGGCGGCCGATCGCGAGATAAGGCTCGATGCAGCATATTATCCGTCGGTGTTGAATGAGCTGCGCCGTGGTGCTGGGAGTGCGACATCTCTGCGATCTCATGCGATCCGCCGCCTGCGTTGTCCCACCACATGTCGACTGCCCCATAATCGGTGCACTCCCAAGGCGGAGAATGCACGCTCATGGTGTGGTTACACTGCGTTGGATCTGGCTCTGTCACTGGCCAGGCACAGTCGGGTAGAAAGCCATCGATGATCGCGCCATCGCCTTCRCTTGCCAAAACGTATTCGATTCAAGACGTGAACTGCATCTCACAGCGACGGGCGGGGGCAGCCCCCGGTCCTGATTGCCGAGCGATGTTTGCATCTTCGCGATGTGGCGAGGTCTCCACGTTCACATCCTCCTCAACATCTTCGTGGATGCCGGGCGACGGGAGGTGCCGCGCCGTTCCTTCCTGCGCTAGTAAGCTCGAGTCACGTCTGCCCTGCTTGTGTGTGTTCCTCCTTGCAATGTGTCAAACTTCAGACTTCCCGAATAGCTGGTCACCGCCGCCCGCGTGTTATGGCAGTCTGGTTATCGCGGTGCCCGATCGCTCACCGTCCTTCGTCATCCGCACGAAGGACAGGCGCRGCGCGGACGCAGATGCCAGAGAGTGTCGCGAGGTCGCAGATCCACAGCAGCGCCGAGCACCTGGGTCCGTAGCCGAAACTGCAAACCGAGATCAGTGGCTGCAGCGTGCACCTCACCGCGCAGCAATTGCCATCAACTTGCAACGCGCTGCACTATTGGCAAGCCGCAAACCTCCGTGCCTCCCTGCCATTGGTATGCACGGCCTCGCAGGCACACACGAGACGGCCCGTTGGCGCCGCGGTGCGTGCGGTGAGCACTGTGCGGAGAGCGTACTGTAGTAGGGCGCAGCAGCGGCCATCCTTTCACACGTTACAAACCCTWCGACTCACGAGGTTGCGACTCCGAGCCCCACTAAGGCATGTATTTGTCGACCCGCCCACGAGTCAGGGACTCACCGAAACACTGACGGCAGACGTCCAAGTTGTCACTGGATGCGAAGCCACCCGACAGCGGGACAGGGCCTCTTACTGTCAGTGGATTAAAGTTATGCTCTGAGATTTGTATCGAATCTGTGATGATGACTGGGATCGTGCAGACAAGAAGCAGCTCAGCAGGCATTCGCGTCCGGATGTCTCGTGCCTTGATGCCGCATATCTGCAAAGCCCTTGCTACAAGCGTCGTAGGCTAGAGCATCCCGAGAACAGCAGCACGATGAGCGGTCTTCTCACGAGGCTATGAAGAGCAGGCTTGCAACAGCCCGAACCGGAGCAGAACCGTCACGGCGGGGCCAGTGGAGTGGCAGAGAGCGTGTGTCAAATACCCACTTGACTGCATCTGGCCACCATGGTGTATGACGCTGACCGATGCTTGGTGCAAGCGCCATAGTGCGGGCCGCTGGGAGCTGGATGCTGGGAATGTCCGGCGTCAGGGTACGGGATCGCAGGAGAGGTCTTCTCTTTTCATGGTATCCTGGGAAGCTGCACCCTTGCCTGCATCATTTGCGCAATGTTTCGATGCTGCATGAGTGTAACGAGAAATTCCCGCCAGACTGACCCTGAACCGCGCGCAGAGTCCATGCGGGAGGTCGACGCCGATAAGTTGGGTCCTGGTTCATTTTCAATGGTCTTCGAAGGGAATACCTGCCCCGTTATGTGCTCCCAGTCTCGGCTTGCACGAGGATCAACAGTCTACTCTACCCTTGCAATGCTGAAAGCACGCTGTCCACTGCCCTGTCCATGAGTTCGAAGGAAACGCTTGTCCGGAGCCACCTTAACACTCAGGCCGAGCACCTTTAAGACACCAACCAGGACTCTTTTCCGGCCTGTCCAGCTCCCAATCGTCGCCACCTACTTGATTGTTTTCGCAACACCTTTCCTCTATCTACCGAATCTGCTTCTTATGTTCACAGGACAGAACATTCGCCAACACAGTCAATCTATCAACATGGAAAGCCTCACGCTAGATGACGGCCAGTCTTATCACCGATATCAAGCCCGCATGCGACTAAAAGACCATCGACATCCTCCACGTTTGCCTACTCCAGAGACGTCCAGGAGTGGGAACGATAGCCAGAGTCCTCCGGATAGCAGTCATCCAGCTCGCGATCCTATGTTGCGGAGTGGTGGTGTCACCCATATGCGCCATGACAGTCACAACTCTGCTGGACAGCCCTCTCCTCCCTATCGCCAAACGGATATGCAGAAACTCTCACTGCCTCCGCTTAAGACGGTCGGTGCTACTCCTACCACTCTCCCACGACCACGCCGCGCTTACTTACTGTTCTCAGATCCTTGGTGACAGCATTACGAGTCCGCCGAGGACCCCGAGTCCGAACGGGAACTCTCTGCAGCCTTCCCCAAGGGAGCCGCTATACACAGCCTTGACTTACAAGCCGCCTTCGTTGTATCCGAACAAGAAGCAAAGAACCGACTCTCTCATTGCTTCGGCGCCATCGTATTCACACTTTGCTCCTTCTGCGACACTTGAGCCGCAACACCATCCTTCGTCAATGAGGTCAAATGTTCGTTTTCCTCCGATATCACAGATGCCCAGTATGGATGCACGCCGAGGATCTTCGCACTCGGTCTCAACTCCTCACTCCGCCGTGAGCCCGTCTTGGACGAGATCATACCCTTCAGCTACGAATGAGGGACATAGACCCAATCAGGACGCTGCTAGGCACTATCAGACACCCGAACAGACACCTACCTCTGCCGTAACGGAACCGTTTCCCAGAATGGGCACTTTTGCCGGGGCTGTCCAAGATCCATTTGCGAGGGATTTACGTGGTAGTTTTGCGCATCCAGACGAGCGCTCTGCTTCGCGTAGGTCATCAGCCGCCAGCGTATACAGCGTCTATCATTCGAGGCCATACGATCGCGAGCCATCCAGAACTCTCCCATATCACCAAGGATCGCGTTATCCTGGCGCGGTCAGGGATGGGTATCCAGAGAATGGTGACAGCGCACATTGGCACGAGCAACAGCCTAGGTCTATGGATGCATGCGGACAGAATGCCTATCCCAGCAACGTGCCAGCTTTCTTTATGCCCAGTCACTACGAGTATCAGCACGGCAAAGCTCGAAAGAGAAGCAACCTGCCAAAGCAATCCACTGAGATTATGAAGACATGGTTTGATCAGGTACCATCGCTGTGCTCCCAATGTTTAGCACATTCACTGATCCACCGCACAGAACATCACAAACCCTTACCCCAGTGAGGAGCAGAAGGCCATCTTCTCAAGTGTACGTCACAACTCTCACTTGGCAGGCACCTTTATGACTGACTTGGTACCAGGCAACCGGTATCAGCATGACACAAGTAAGCAACTGGTTTATCAACCACCGTCGGCGTTGCCCAGAACTCCGCGACAAGCGGGAAAAGAGCCGTGGTGGCAGTCGCGACATGGACATGTGAAACAGGCACGACGTCCGTGGTGCGCGATGATCTCGCGCGATGTTCTCAAAAGTTTCAGTTTAGATGGTGATGTACCAGAACGCAGGCCGGTTTTTGCTTTTGACGAATAGAAACAGACGCCGACCACGGTGGCAAATGACAGGACAGAGCATAGAGCGACCAAAAGAATGGTTATTATGTTTCATGGTTGTCTTTATGAATGGACGCAACGCTTTGTGCCTCCCTGTCAATCCGTTTTTCCCAGGACTGAAGTCTTGGTAGTCGCCCGGGCAGCGTCGAGATTGACGGGTCGTTGGACGGTTGATCGATCAATCGATCACCTCAGCACCCTGACAGAGCACTGCGCAGGCTCGATTGCCAAGCGACCCAGATCTGTCAGGAACCGCAGTCATTGCGACTCCATCCATGCAACGAACAACGGCTCAAGMAGAAGTAGCATCCTGTCTGTCAGGTTTGTGTCTGGCACTATCGAAAATTGACCTGCATTCAATGGCAGGCGGAATGTAAGGCCCCCATTGGTGACACGCTGCCTACTTCAGATAGTCGGTGTGCGTTGTCGTCTTGTGCTGTCAAATACTTAAAGCTCGGCATACAATCCTGCATTTCCGAGTCTAGCCAATGCAGACGGAATGTGTCCGAGCTCGTGTGATGTGCGCCACCCCCAGCCTTAAAACGCCATTGGAATGGGGTTTGTAGCGGCAGCACCAATGCGGTGGATATGACACCTCCGTGCCAGGCTGGAGGTTGATTTAGCATTGTCCCAGTGCTTTCGGCCCGGCCATCTAAGCTCCTTACATGGTCGTTTTGCGAATCATGGGGGGACATCGATGCGAGACCGTGATTCTAGGATGGTCCCTGTGTAGGTTTGACACGTAAGCAAGGTTATGCCAGGCAAGAACAGTGGCGGACGTTACAGGGCTGCATCCTTGTCCAACAGCTTTCAAGGTCAGGCTATGAGTGATACACTTGCATGACAGATGTATATAGGAACCTCGTAAGCTCCATAGCGAAGCCCTGTTTGAGGTGGGATTGTCTGGACAAGTTGGGACGTTGCGCCGACGCCCCTCAAATCACAATGGACGTCGTTCGTCTGGATTTCACTCTACTTGTGTGTTTGAGGCGAATATGTGATGGCGCTAGTATAAGGTTATGGGCGAGGGAAGTGGAGAGGAACGACCATGAAATGACAAGCCCTGGGGACTGCAATCTGGCCTTCTTTTCCGACAAATACTAACGCTGACGGCCGCATTTTCTCTGCTTAAGATAACAGAACTGAAGGCTGGCCGACTCTGTGCATTTTCGCCGCCGAGAGTTCATTGTAGATATGCAATCTTGCAATATCTTCTGTGAGAATTAGATGTGAAGTTTGAAGCTGTCCCACACTTTGCTGGCATGGAAGAGTCCGTGCCCGTGCTCGGAGCTCGCAAGATGATGGACTGAGCTCACCCAGACCATCTGCAACGTAAATGCGAATGGATCTCACGCCAGTTTGATCGCATAAGGCTCAGGTCTTTGATGGCTCAACAAGGCAGAGTGAGCAGCGCCATGGCTGCAGATAGGTATCGGTTTCGGCAATCTTACCCACTCAGAGGCCGATACTGGCCGGGTAGGCGAGGCATGTCCTCATACTGTACCTTAAGGTATTGTCTGTCACTGGCTCGCGTGGCTTCCTATGACTTCCATTGACACCAGACAACATGGCCAGCGCAGTGGATAAGCCGACGTACACCATCATTCAGGCGGATGGCCTCTACCCAGTATGCACATTGCCCCGCTGCGATTATAGGTACTCCTTCTAATACCGTTGCAGGATGATACAGTCGAACAAGCCATATTCGCTCCCACGCCCTCTCAGAACTACAACATTGAATATGTACAGACGCACCTCTGGCCAGATGGAGCGTCCGAAAGACGACCATGGTCCAATATACCCGAAGACCTCAGAAGAAGAGTCAATGGCATTGAGGTGTTGAAGATGTCCTTTACAGAACAAGACCTGGAACTTTTCCCCAATTTAAGGGTGATATGCAGGATGGGCGTAGGATACGATCGCCTAGATCGCGTGGCTTTGGCCAAGAAGGATGTCATTGTCTGCAATGTGCCTGATTACGGTACGGCCGAGATAGCAGACCATGCAATTGGACTCATGTTATCCTTGCGGCGCGGAATACTGCTTCATCAAGACCGGCAACGATCAACTCCGCCAGATCCAGTACGTTTGAAACATCACAAGCACATACTTGGAGCGCTCTCCTAACTTCGTACAGTGGATGGTAATCGACACACCCCTGGTTGCCAGACTGCAGCAGTCCACCTTTGGCGTATTCGGTCTTGGTCGAATAGGTACAGCCGCAGCATTGCGGGCAAAGGCGTTTGGCTTCAATGTTCTCTTCTACGATCCTTACCTTCCCAACGGCGTCGACAAGAGTCTGGGCATTGAACGGACCAAGGACGTGAAGGAGCTTTTCCGAAGGAGTAATGTGCTCAGCTTGCATTCGCCCTGCACGCGCGAAACCCGCAGTATGATTGGCTACTCGCTGCTATCTCTCCTCCCGCGAGGAAGTGTGCTTGTCAATACCAGTAGAGGTGAAGTCCTTGATCTGGACGGCGTGCAACAATGCTTGGAGGAAGACATCCTAGCCGGCGCCGGCTTAGATGTGCTGCCTGAAGAGCCGATTCCAGAAGACAACGTTCATCCGCTTATCCAAGCCTACCGCAACAAAGAGCCATGGCTGGAGGGAAGAATGGTCCTCACCTGCCACACCGCCTTTTACAGCCCGGAGAGCTTTGTCGACATTCGGGTGAAGAGCGCGCAGACCATGAGAGATGTTCTGATCGATGGACTAGACAGCAACGTTATTCTGCCTCACATGGAGTGAATTCGAAGAGCATCRAGTGCTTGGTTGGGGATGGATCATCGTCTCCTATCTATCCTCTTTTAGTGATGTATCATGTAAGAAGTAAGTCAAGCCAATTTTCGAAGAGATATTATTTCCCTCTTGGCAGGATTGGCACGGAGCTCAAGGATCTCCGGGTCTCCGCGTGGGTGGGCTTGGTATCATGGGCAACGATCGCTCGCCCTACGGTCAAACAGCAGTCCTACGGACGGCGGAGGCGACGTATTAGTTAGAGATGAAGCGACAGATTGGCTAGAGCGGATCACAATGCTCTGTCCGTAGATTTTGATCTCCGAGCTCCGTCAAGTCGGGTGTAATACGGCGCGATTTTAAGAACAACTCTGCAACAATCCTTTTAGGCGATAGTGCGACGCTAGCATTATAGGGTATTAGAACCTCGGTAATTAAAGGTGTATTCCGTACAATAAGTAACAAGTAGCGTAATTTAATGTACGCGTGTAATATTCTCGCTTTCCTTCTTTAAAGTAATTTTATTTAAGTCTACGATACCTAAGTAATAATAATAAGGATAAAGTAAAGGTATAATAGTATTACGCGGGCAGCTATATAACTCTTTATATAAGTAAGTAAGATCTCTAAAAGAGTAGTAGGATAAAGACCTATTACTCTTTTAGCGACTCTTATTAATATCTAAATACTAATATTAATATCTACTACTCCTACTACTATACTACCCCTTTACTACTTACCTATATCCTCCTCCTTCCTCTATACTACCTATATAAAAGCCTAAGAAGGCAAAGAAGCCTAAGTTACTATATTTATAGCTAGGTTATATCGATACTATAAAATACTAGAGGGCTAGAACTTTCCCTAAGGATCCGGATAATAATAGCGAATACGGATATTTTAAGTAG